GCAACAATCTTACAATAAGATCAGCCTTAAATGAATCTCTTTTTCCTGGAAAAACAAACAAAAATAACATAATTTACAAATTTGATAAAATATCTGTTGAGAAAATAAGAACTATCTACCTAAAATTACCTATACCACCGAAAGCTAAAGAAACCCACTTTAAAATAATGAATGCAATCTATCCTTCAAAAGAGTTGTTAAGAGCTCGTTTTAATATTGATAGCAACAACTGCTCTTTTTGCGAAAATCACATAGAAACTATAGATCATATATTTTATGAATGTCAGAAAACACAATTGTTCTGGAAAAAGCTAGAGATGTGGATCAGAACTAAAATACCACTCCCAGTTCACATCACTAAAGATATGATAATATTTGGGATTATATTCAATAATAAAGATAAAGAACTCTGCTATAATATCATCCTCTGTTTAGCCAAATTTTTTATCCATAAACAACGAATTTTGCAATCATCCCCTGTCTTCAATGTTTTTTTAATAGAATTTCAATTATATTTAAAATCCCTGAAACAACTCAACAAATATAGTGAAAATCTATATAACATGTTAGCTGAACTTCCAAAGTGATTTCATAATTCTGTATGATATATGCTGTACCCTCATTGAAAGCTGTACTTGTTCTTCATGTTCTTTTGTCTCTTGTTGTTCTGTTTTACTGGATACTTACAAATGTTATATTAACTGCTCCTTTTGAATTTAAGTTTTGAACTTAACATTGTCAAGGTGCCATGTTTGTTTGTAAATTTACTAAATAAAAAAAAAAAAAAAAAAAAAAAAAAAGCTTCAGGTTAGCTCGTAGCTAGTTCGCCTGGGTGTCGTCACTCGAGCCCAGCCTTACAGCCCCACCCTCAGCACCTCCTCTCTTCCCTTTTATGGAATTGTCTGGGCTGGACGGAACCTGTGACACGGTCAAAATGGCGGTGGTGGACACCTCCCATTATGGACAGATAACGTGAAATTGAAGCCTATGGAATCGAATTGTCCAGTATATGTACAGTCTATGTGTTGAACACTGACCAGAATGAGCAGTATCACACTCAATTGCTTGCAGAGGAGTGTATTCATGTGTTACATTTTGAGTAACAAAGACCTCTTGAGGTGAGTCTTCACACATCATTATTATTGTTCAGATCAACAGCAACTTTTATGGAACTATCTTCCCCTGCTTCTACATCTGCAACCTTCTCAAATCTTTTTACAAAACCAACGGGGTTGTCACTTACCTTGTCATTCCTACTTACCTGTACTTTCCTTCTTGGAAGATGTTTTTTTTTACCTTAAAGGAAGAGAAGATTGTAGGTACAGCTGTGTCCTTCAGGCAAAGTCTCCCCTAAAATAAAAAAAAATAAAATAAAAAAAGAGATTCACACACACACACACACACATCAGACAAGGTCAATTTCTGTATCTCAAAAACCCACTGGTACACCAGAGCAGTGTGTGTGTGTGTGTGTGTGTGTGTGTGTGTGTGTGTGTGTGTGTGTGTGTGTGTGTGTGTGTGTGTGTGTGTGTGTGTGTGTGTGTGTGTGTGTGTGTGTGTGTGTGTGTCTGTGGGTGTGTGTCTGTGGGTGTGTGTCTGTGGGTGTGTGTCTGTGGGTGTGTGCCTGGCAAATGGGTTGTGGGATGGGGGTGTAACTGCCATAATTGTTTTCACATTTGTGGGGAAGGGATGGGAATATGGGTTAAATGGGGTTATTTTAATCTGTTAAGCACTTTGAGCTGCATTTTCTTTTGTATGAAAAGTGCTATACAAATAAAGTTTGATTTATTTAAGTTTGAACTTGTTGCGCAGCGTACCGTCTGGCATCAATACACAGCGCTGCTTGTCATCGCGTGCTTATAAGCACATTCTGGAGGCCACGGTTATTTTTAAAACTTATTTCTTACATTGAACTAAATAATTACACTGACATTTCTTTATTTTACTATACAAATTAGGAGCCCAATGCAAATAGGAGTGTCTACGTAAATCCCTACATATAACCATAAAAATAGGGTCTAAAGTACATAGAGCGCAGGTCTAGCGTCTTTGGGGGGCACCATATTAGACGCCATGTTTCCTTCTGGCCGGCTCGGGGTCCTGGGCCTGTCGATGATGTCACACTAGATGACTGGCTGGATGTACGACTTATGGAAGTTACATTACTACTTTCAAAAATATTTAGGAAACATTTAGAAACATGAATTTAATAACAGAACTGCAAAACCCTTTCCAAAACATATGTGAAAGAACAGAATTTTTAAAAAGACGCAATATATTTTGGCAGAGTGGTATTTCCGTAGTATGATGACATCATCAGCAGGCACCGAGCAGATTCAAAAAGTACCGCGCCAGATGGAATTAAGTGAAGCCTGAGGAGTCATGCCGAGGTTGCATGCTTTCTGCTCCACAGAATGGTTATTTTTTTAACTAGAGACAGTCACAGTGATACAGTGTAAAACTACCCTTAAATGTATGTATGTACTGGCCCTATCACCAGGAAACCCACCCTTTAAGCCAATCCTCACTAAACAGGAGCTGGGAATTGTGACAAACGCTATTATCATGTCTATACTGGACTACTGTGATTCCCTCTATGCCTTCTTGAGTCAGTCCTCATTTTCAATGCTGCAGCTGGTCTAAAATGCTGCTGCCAGGTTCATCTACACAGCATGAAAGCAGAAGCTTGTTACTCCACTCCTGGCTGCCTTGGACTGGTTACTAATGAAATGTCGCATTCTGCTCAAAATTCTTGTCTTTGTCTTTAACTCTCCATCTGGATCAGCGCAACCATTTAGCCTCACTTGGGACCCGTTACATCCCTGCAAGTTGTCTACGCTTGGTTCAGTGTGACCTGTTGGTGGTTCTTCTGTCAAAATGCAAGGTGATAATGCATTTGCGGTTCTAGGTTCTTGGCTCTGGAACCAACTTCCATTAGAGATATAACAGTCCATGTCTCTACCCAGTGGCTATTTACATGTGCCCATTTTCCCCTATCCAATTCAAATCTTGGTTGATTGGAAATCCAAGATCTCTGTTTATATGGGCACTAACTGAAATGATCCAATCATGCCGTGAGTATACATAAACCAAGCATTCAGTCCGATTACATAGGTTGAGCATGTGCAAAGATGTCTTTCCCGGAAAAAAATTGTTAACAAACACCATCTTGTCTGCATGCCTTTCCCCTCACGTTTTATTTTCTTATTCTCTAACTTTGTCCATTAACTTACATTTTTTTCCCTGTTATGAACCATCATCGCATTTTTACCTGTATGCTTTCGTTTTTACTGATCGCTTTAACTTAGCTACATGCTCAGTGGTACGTAAAACTACTGCTCCTCCGCCTCAGGAGAGGAGAGCAAGATAACTTCTCTTTACCACCAGCCATGTTTTCGACTTGTCCTGAGTGGCTGCAGAGGCGGAAAGGCATCACGCCGAAGTTGCACACATGTGTGGTGGGCATTATTTTACTTCAACAATCAGAATGAGTATGTACTTGGGCGTCAATCGGAATGGTGATCGGACAAAACCACCTCTCTCAGTCGGAACGGAATTTGATTCTGATCAGGCCGTATCGGATCTGAATTTTCCAATTGATATGTTTACATGAAGAATTTTTGATCTGATAGGGCATTAATTCCAATTACATGTGCATATGCAAATGTATCTAGTATTAAAACCAGACTAAAGCTTTATTTTAGATCAGTTTGCTAGTTTTATTAATGTTTTTTTCCTAATTGCTCTTCAGTCTTATTTCTTTTATTTTTATAGGTTTTTTTGTGTTTTATTCTTTTATATTATTATAATGTTGCTATTACATTGCTTTTATGTGTCCCTGCTCTATGTACAGCGCCTCCTTGACTGGGGTGGGAAAGGGCTTGAACTGAAAAAAGATCATTGCAATAGTTCTGGACATCAGGGGCAGATCTAGACCAAATTATCCAGGGGGCCACAGTGGGGCCAGTATTTTTTCATGGGGCCGCAAGAAAAAAAAGGGAAAAATTAGGGCAATATCAAAATTCTTTTTTGGCTCCGCTAAATGACTAATTTTGTGCTTGTGCACAATTTTACCAAAGGAAATTCCTAGTACTGTGAAACTACTCACTTTTTTGTTCTCTTCTTTTTCATATCTATCTTTACTATATTTTGGGGATCAAATTTATCAAAACATTTCCTTTACTTTTTTCATGTGGACATGAATGCATGAATGAGTTTCTCTAGGCCCTGTCTGGATATGAGACCTCTGAGTCTCTAGCCTTAGTCTATAGCCAATAGCCCTAATGTGACCAGTGAAGCTCATGTCTGAATCAGTTATGATACCAGATATCTAACCTGAGTGTTTGTCTCTTTATTCCTCTGGAGCCAATAACTTCCATCCAGCCCTTATTTCTAAAGACAATAACTTCAGTCTTTTATTTGTTTAACTGAAGGAAGTTTGATTGCATCTAGTAACTAGCTCACTCCAGTCTAGTGGATCACAGTGATAGACCTACATAGATTTAGGTGTCATCTGAATGCAACTATGATAGGCAATGTTGTTATTGTGGAGGACCTGATCTGGTTGGGACAAAAAGATAGCACTCCAGAGTCCTAGAGCCCCACATGAATCTCACTCAATTACAGCCCCGCATCTTTTCCAAGTTTGTGAAATAAATAGTACCGAAAGAATTTAGAGACGTGGCTGCATTTTGTGAAAGTAACTGGCTGCACAGCTAAATATAACAGATGTCACAAGATTTGCGTTGTGCATTGGTGGCGAGTGGAGACCTATCCAAGATGGCGACCGGCAACTACGGCAGCGCCAGTCGAAGGGGGCGTCTACGTGACTAGACCCGATCATATCTGACAGTTTCTGACCTTTTTTTAGTATACGTTTTGTTATGTTTTTTCAAAATCGATAGTGTTCTTTTTTTAAATAATAAAATGTTCAATAATTTCAATTCCTTCATATTTAACACATTTATTACATAGCCTATGTTTAATAACTTCCGGTTAAGTGAACACTGGCGTGCCTGTCATCGCTGCCCTAAAGGTTCTGCGTATTCTACGGTTGTTACAAACGCTCTAATCGGGACAAAGACAAACGTTTTGTTCGAGTCCCGAAAGTAGTGAACAACGCCAACTACGTTTTCGCAGTTTGCTCTTCCTGATTGGTTCAACGAAAAATGAATATAACAACCAAGATGGCTCCGAGAGACGGAGACAAATGATGCCAGATTAGAACAACAAACGTTACGACCTCACACTCTCGTGTACACCTGTTTACATCTGGTTCCGAACGGACCTCTGCTCGATCAGCGGACCACTGACTGACACGCACGCGCCAAGAGACTGCAAAGAAACCGCTACTCCCCTGTTTGCTAACAGGGAGGCAGCTACTAGCATTAGCTCTCTGTAACTGCGGAAGGCGAGTTGGGAGAAGACACTCCAAGAAGCAGAAAAGTCTGTATAGCATTTAATTAAATAAGTGACGCATCCGTTAAATTCGTTCACCGGCTTACAGAGTTGTGTGCACTCGGAGGAGGTGTCAAGGAGTTTATCTCTACTCCGCTGATAAGGAGAGCTGGAGAGACGAGAAAGGCGTCATCTTTGCTTGACGCCATGGCTCACTCCCCTATTCAGAGTGGACTACCGGGGATTCAGGTAAAAAATAACATATTTTTGCTTCTTTCACGGGCTAGCTCATTTATTTTACCTTTCATTTTATTTGAAGTTAACTAAATCCACTTAAAGAAAACTTTTTGTACCGGGAAATTGTCTCAGAGTCAACTTCTTGACGCCTTCACCTTTGCTTTCATGGCATGCCGAAGTCCATGATGTAAGTTTTGGGTACTGTGGTTATCTTTTAAGTGTTGTTATTTATTCACCAAACTGGAAAAGTGGTCTAGTGTCACATTTAGGAAGTTGGGAATGGCAGATGTCTGCTTTTACGAATCAGCTGAATAGTTGTTTATGATGATAGATGTACACTCACGCCCAAAACGCATTACTCCGTGTGTTTCCAGTTGTTAATACACTGTCTTTGTAATAGTAAGGATGTTACACTTAATAGTTTAGATAAATTATTTCATTCATTCATTGTGGTTTCTTTTCCTCTCATAATTACTATATAATGCCTGACTCCAGTTATTTTGTCACTCTTAAGTTTAAACAAGCTAAAAACATGTGGACAACTTAAAATAAAAAGTTAAACAATAGCTGAAAATAGGGAATATATCAGCATGAGTATCGGCCAATCATGTTCGTCATTTTAAACATATCTATGTCCGTCTGTTGAGATATTTTTTCCATCTTGTTTCCATTTGTGTATTTATTTCAGAGGACAAGGGGGGTGATGATGTGCAATAGGGAGCTTAAGTCTCCTCCCTTTCCGGTTGGCTCATGGGTCCCCGGAAGAATGAAAAAATTATTGCTAGTCAATGGGGCTAAAAACGCTATTTTCTAATCCGCTTTACCTTAGACCCTGGATCGCACATATGTTGTACTGCAATTTAAATGAAAGGTAATGATGGGTGTTTCGACCTTGCCAGTCACGTACTTTGAGATTTATTAGCTTGTAAAAGTTTGTAATTAGCATGACTACACACCAGAAATCGGCACGTCGCATATGTGACGTTGCCACATAATCTCCTCTCCCCTAACGTCGAAGATACTTACCAAATGGCCAGATTTATGGTGGTTCTTTCCTTCTGTGGGAAGTTTACTGACCTTACAGCCATTTCCCTCAGTTTTCTCCGTGTCTGGTTCGATGACGTCACTTTCGTGATGCGGATTTGTAGTCCTGGACTTAGTTTCATTCAAATCCTAAAATAGCGTTTCCCCCCGTTTGCAAATTAAGGCATTCTTGGTATCAAAATGTGTTTAAGATTCACAGACATCTTATGTGAAATCCATGGCACAAAACAAGCAGAATTAGAAATTAGCATTTTTAGCCCCATTGACTTTAATTCATTTTTTCGTTCTTCCGGGCACCCATAAGCCGACCGGAAAGGGAAGAGACTTAAGCCTGAGTCATGCTTCTCCGTCAGCTCCAAAAGGGAGAGACATGCATGGACAGACGGAGATGTTTTGCCCTCATACTTTTCCGTCTCCAGAGGAGTGTTGCAAAACAATTCCCTGCCAGGACAACAGAGGGCGTAGTGCTGTTCTGTGGTATCCTGTCATGTATCCGGTCCAAGATGGTGTGTTTATAATGTGATTTTTGTATATAAGAGACTTTTTAACACAGACAAATTTGTCTCTCATCCTTCTCCACCTCTTCATGCGCTCGCCACCTCTAAACCCACGTTTCCTGTTATTTCCGTCCACAAATAAAACGCTTGCTGCGCATCTTTTCACTCCTCCAGTCACGGGGAATTAAACGTTCATATTTTTAGAGTTTTTTCGCGAGGTATTCTTCAAGCTTCTCCTTGTCTCTGTGTTTAGATATCCTCGGCTCTCTTTATGTTTTTGAGGGCGCAATGGCGGCAGTGTAGACGACCGTGGTGCCCTGACCAATGACAAGCTTGCGCTCTCCGTCTCGACGGACGGATGTTTAGAAAAGAGAGCTCGACTCCGTCCATCCTTGCGGGGCTCTCCAGCAGGCCCACATGGACGGATAATGGCGTTGCGTGTCTCCGCAATTACGCAGACGCAGAAGCATGACTCAGACTTTAGGCTCCCTATTGTTTAGTCATGTGACAGTGATGGTTATCATCTCAGAAGTGGTGTCTGTATATATTAACATAAATACAATGCTCAGCATAAATGAGTACACCCCACTACATTTGTCAGAAAACCTTTAGTTTCCTTTCAGAATCAACATTTTATATGAGATACCATACTACAAAATACCCCCTAAATGTGGGTCATTGGTTGTAAACAAGATTTGTTAATTTTCACACACAAAAAAGTGATTTTCCTAACAAATCCATTCAAGCCCTTGTTGCAAAAATAAGTTTGCCCCAATTATATTCTTAGGAGAAAAACTTAGACTACAAAATTCAAACTAAGGCATTTAACCACAGGTGAGTGTGAGTCTTATGATTAATCTAAGAGGTGTCCAGCAGACAGGTGACTATAAAAGGGCATTACTTAACAATGAAAAGCCCTTCCCTTTTCATGCTGTCAGCAATGGCTCCACATGGAAGAGAAATGTCACAAAATCTGAGAAAGGAAATCATTTCTTTACACAAAAAAGGTGAGGGCTACAAGAAGATCAGCATAGCTTCACATATCAGTCAAAATAAAGTAGTGAAAGGGATTCAAAATTTAAGAAAGATGGAAATGCAACCATCTTACAGAGACGTCCAGGTCGTCCACGGAAGTTAACATCTTGACAGGAGTGTCTTCTGATGAGAAGGGTTGAAGAAAATCACCATGCAAGTTCACTGCAGTTGGCTAAAGCAGTAGAAAGCCAAACTGGAGTGACCGTTTCCTGTGACACTGCAGAGGAATGGCATGCATGGGTATCGTCCACGAATGAAGCCTCTCCTAAAGCCCATGCACACAAAAGCACATCTAGAATTTGCTAGGGCCCATGCTGAAAGAGATGAGGACTACTGGGACTATAGACTCTGGAGTGATGAGACAAAGATCGCTGTTTTTGGAACTAATGGTTTCAAAACTGTATGGTGTCATAAAGGTGAGGACTTCAAAGAGAAATGCATGGTGCCTACAGTGAAACATGGTGGTGGAGGTGTGTTTATGTGGGCCGCATGAGTGCTGCTGGTGTTGGGGAGCTGCATGTCATTGATGGTATCATGAACTCAATAATGTACTGCTCTATACTGAAGGAGAAGATGCTGCCATCACTCCGTGCACTTAGTCGTCACACACTTTTCCAACACGACAATGATCCAAAATGCACATCTACAAGTACTGACCTGAATTCAAACATGTGTTTCCATATAGTTTATTTGTGTATATTTAGCGTTACCGTTGAATCAGACATTAGGAGCTCTTCACTGGGATTTATGAGGCCAACAAAATGTGTGTAATAACTTGTGGTCCATTGATTATAGTCATAACTCCTCTTTTGAATTATGTGTGACTAACTGGTGTGTTGAAAATGATTTGCATGGGTTATAGCACATGTTCCTTCAAAGCGTAGCTTGTTGCAGTAGTAAAGCAGGCTGCAAACCTTCATCTAAAGCTTAATGAGGGTGTGGCGCTTTGGTTTGAGGAGGAGACCAGACTACACATTTGTGCAGATGGTTGAGAATCAAACATGCTTTTAGAGGGATGATCAGCTGGCTTTGGTTGCTGCAGTAAACCTGCTGACTTTGGATACCCAACATGAGTAGGCGTCGCTCACAGCCCTGATGTTTTTACAACTCCAACATTTTAGATTTCACCTGGATGACTGATCACACCAATGTTATGACAGCGTTTTTGTTCTGTTGTGTCTCTGCTCTGCTTTGTTCTGCACGGCTCGGCCTTTTTCGTCTTTGTTGTGAGGTCAAATTCAGCAGCCCCTCTGCCAGTTTTTCAAAGTGGTAGCTGCTCATCTCGCCTTCCTTGTAGCACTTAGCACTTATACAGGAAAGTGTTCTCATGAGGGACTGTAAAGCAATTTGCTGTGTACTCTAATCCATCATCATCTTTAGGCTAAGTTACCTGTTCAAGTAGGAATGAAGCTTAATTGCTTGGCCTTTTTTGAAAACTTCAAATATATCTCCATTAAATGAAATTGGTATACATTTAGGTGATGAAAATATAAAATTACACTTGTTGATAAGAAAAACAATGTATTTAAATTTTAACATTTAACTGGACAAGTTGGAGGCTATTTCCTCTCTGATGCTCCATGGGGAAATGAGCATTTTAGTGCAGTCAATAGTTTAGGATGTAGTCACTCAGTTTGTGTTTAGCTTTTGTAGTGGAGGCCATTAAGCCACATTGATGATATTTTATGATGCAAGTTTTATGCAAACTACCTTGAAAAGGGTTAAAAGTATGCTTAGATCCAATCACGTGATTTTCGAAAGGTCTAAATGGGCTGAAAAACATCAGATGTAACCTTATAAAACAACAAACACGACCTTTTAATGTTAAACTGAGAGATTTTCAAACAGAAAAACTGATGGCCGGTTGGCCGGTACAGTCAAAATCTCCATCGGTGGCTAAACGTATACCATACTCACCATATTTATACCATTCATTCCTACTTGGATGTGTTCTCTCTTTTGCTTCTGTTTATTTTATTCTGTTGCTGAATTATCAGATTGGGATTCAAGATTGGCAAATACTCAAAATCAAATGAGTTGGATCAATGGAACGTCTCTCGTTAAAAGTACAGCTGCATGTAGGGATTGGGCCACTTCTGAAGTGAGAAGTTGTGTAATACATTAGCTACTTGTGCTGGCTGTAGTTTTTAACGTGATTTGAGTTGATCTGGTCTAAAAGACACATGTCGTTGCTATAGAAACCACATCCTAACATCAATTAGTTCAGCATTTGCTCTGACAGCTGCTATCCAGATGGCTGCTGTGCTGTTTAAGCAGGTTGAAGTTTTGCAAGTTTACCAAGTTGTGAGAGAGTGAAACATGAAGTGGCTCGACATTACACAACTTATAGCCTTTTGGTTTCACTGTGGTTCTGCCCCAGAAAGGACCCCCCCCCCCCCCTTCCAGTATTTAAACAACTGAAATCCTAGCATTTTGTTTAAATTTCAAATAGTTTTATTTAAGATAGAAAAACATGCATCAGATTTCATCCATTGGGTCTCTTTTCCCTCTCTCTCTTTTTTTTTTCTCAGAATTTGAAAGCTGATCCAGAGGAGCTTTTCACCAAGCAGGAGAGGATAGGGAAAGGTTCTTTTGGAGAAGTCTTTAAAGGCATCGACAGTCGGACTCAAAAAGTTGTGGCCATTAAAATAATTGATTTGGAGGAAGCTGAGGACGAAATAGAAGACATTCAGCAGGAAATTACTGTGCTAAGTCAATGCGACAGTCCCTTTATCACCAAGTATTATGGATCCTATCTGAAGGTAAGCTTTTATTTCATTTAGTGGATTAGTTTATGATGCACATGATGACTATGGTAATGGGGTTTCTGCTAGCAAAAAGAGCCAATATAGGTCAATAAATAATTGAAATCTGTAATGGAGCTAATAAGTGACGTTTTGGAAACGAGTCATAAACCAGGCTGACATTGCAGTTGTAGTGAACATTTTGGACTGTTACCAGTGCACTTTGCAATCACAAAGACATCTAAATGTCAGCAGAAGAGATGAAAATAGATTTTTTTGGGGGTGGTTTGATCATATAATATATTTTTGAGTGTATTTTGCAAAACTTGGAAAAAGGATGCTGTTGCACTATACCCCAAATAAATCTGTTTCTATATATCTGACAGTGTACTGAATTTCTGAGGTGTTTTGTTTTTAAATTTCCCTTTTGTTTTCCTGTTTGTCTGCTTGTTAAAGTTTGGTTCGTATTGTGTGGGCTAAGGGTGACTCTGGCTGTGAGGATTATAAAAATATATCAACTCACATTTTATTCTCAGTAGAAAAGCAAGAGATTTACAAGCAGTTGATGATTTTATTGTTTTCCGTTTAGCCAGTCAGTACGGTTACATTCACATCTAAATGAAACTGTGGCAATAACGGAGCTAATGCTTCAGCCAGAGTGGAGGCCTTAATCCCAGTCTACATGTCCGTTAGTAAATGGAGTTATTGAATGAAGTGTGTTCCACTCCGCAACAGTAGGTGGAGACATGCGTCCTTTTGTGTTGACATTCTTCCAGTTAGCCTTTAGCAACACAAATGGTAAACAAACGCTGGTGGGAGTGAAGCAGACAGAGTAAAAACACTATATGCACAATGGCTGAAGGATTGGATTACAACAACTCTGCAGCACGGTGCATACCGTGTTGTTTGATGGTGTTACACATCAGATTCATGCAGAGACTTGTGGTGATGATATCATCAGAAAACCCCGTCTGCGGTGTGGTCACTCCCAGAAAGGGGCGTACCCAGACCGGTCATAGCATGGCTAAGCTGGGATGTTGTTTACATGTAGAGAAGTTTGGTTATTTCAGCCGTGTAATCTGATTGCTTTAGCTCGATTAGGAGCTGTCCAATTCGGTTTAACTTCAACTGGACTGAGGCAATAATTTGGTTTTCTCCCACTGAATAAATAAAACATATTTTGACTGAAAGAGGATTTGTGTTGCTTTTAATCGGATTCAAACTTTTATCCTGCTGAAAGCAATTTAGCATAAAGCAGAAGTTAACTAGCTTAAATTATACTTTAAAATGCTGCATCTGTGCTCCGGGCGCTACTAGTGGGAAATGCTTATCTGACCTCACTGCTGTTTTTACATTTCAGGGTACAAAATTATGGATTATTATGGAATATTTGGGTGGAGGCTCAGCTCTAGATTTGGTAAGTTACCTAAAACAAAATCAACAACCCTTCTTTGTTCATTATGGCAGCTGTTGTATTTGTTATATTTTCATGATGTTATCCGTCACTCTAGCTGGAACCAGGCTCCTTGGATGAAACTCAGATTGCCACAATCCTAAGAGAAATTTTAAAAGGGCTGGAGTATCTGCACTCTGAAAAGAAAATACACAGAGATATCAAAGGTACAACAGCTTATCTGAACAGCTGATAAAAGCATCGTCTTCTTCGAGCAGATAAGCTAAACGACAGATCTTAGCATATTTCTGTCTCTGCCTTGTTAGCTGCCAACGTGCTGCTGTCAGAGCAAGGCGACGTGAAGCTGGCGGACTTCGGCGTGGCAGGTCAGTTGACGGACACGCAGATAAAAAGGAACACTTTTGTTGGAACACCTTTCTGGATGGCACCTGAAGTCATAAAGCAATCGGCCTACGACTCAAAGGTCAGGCAGCACATCTTGTCCTGGTGTTACCGTCAGATTGCAGACGTGCTTTTAGAATAAATCCTCTAAAGGAATGTGGTATTTAGCGAGTTATTCTGATTTAATATTATAACTTGACATCTTCTTTAAACACTAATATAAATCTTCACGATCAGAGTTTAGATAAAAAATGCTTTTAAAAATATTTTTTCTGCCTGTGTTTTTACGTTTCTGTGAGAAAAGAGCCTGTGTATATTATTAGAACGACCAAAACACGAGTGACTTTGGTTAGTAAGCACAGCTGTTGTGTCACAGTCTTCTATTTGCAGAGCTTCCTCAAATACTCCTGTGTCGCTTTAGTCAGCCAGTTAAAATGTCACTTCTCTTCATTTTGCCTTTGCTTTAGTGGGAAATTCTGTGAGATTTTACCCATTTTGGTGAAAAAAATATCTAGGCTTTTTTGATGTTCTTATAGGCAGACATCTGGTCTTTGGGTATAACCGCTATAGAGCTGGCTAAAGGAGAGCCGCCCCACTCCGAGCTGCATCCCATGAAAGTCTTGTTCCTCATCCCAAAGAACAATCCACCGACTCTGGAAGGAAACTACAGTAAACCGCTGAAAGAGTTTGTTGAAGCCTGTTTAAATAAGGAGCCCAGCTTTGTAAGTTTAAAGGAATTTTGTTCTTCATTGCATTGACCATGAAAAAAAAACCCAATCCTAATGGTATTCACCATGTTCTTCCTTTTTACAGAGGCCGACAGCAAAGGAGTTGTTAAAGCATCGATTTATTGTAAGGCACGCCAAAAAGACGACCTATCTCACAGAGCTGATCGACAGATACAAGAGGTGGAAATCAGAGCAGTCACGGGACGACTCCAGCTCCGATGAATCTGGAGAGTAGGTTGTTTACACCTCATCATCTCGCTTGGTTTCTAATCACAGCAAATGCGCTGATGTGTCTGAATCCTGTTGATATATAGCGAAACATCCAATAAGAAAGCTGGTAAATCCGATGACAAATGGAACTTCACCATTAAGGACCCAAAGGACCTCCATGTGCCTCCCAGTACGGTTCAGAATGGGGCACCTAAGCCTGCAGAGTTAGAAGTGGAGAAGGAGGTGAGACTGGTATATACAGTCAAGGTGAAAAATGAGATTGTTTATGTTTTTCTTTGTTCTTAAAATGTTTCTTTACCCTTGTGCAGGAAAGTCCAAAGGGCTCTCCGTCCCAAAGCCTGTCGTCCATATTCTCTCCATTGTTCAATGAGGTAAAGCAATCGCCTACTTACTGGGGATCATTTAAATCAAGGGTGTCAAATATGCGGCCCGCGGGCCGGATGCGGCCCGCAAGTGGGTTAAGTCCGGCCCGCGAGATGGTTGTGTAAACTTTATTTTCATACTTTACAATGTAGCGTGAAAATAAACTCATCTTTGTGAGCAAGTTTTCTCTGTAATGAGTATAAATAAAACAAAGCTGTGCTCAAGGCTCACACAAGAACTTGAATCCCATCCTGAAGTTGGCTGCCACTCAGGATGTGACTTCTGATACTGATGTGCTGGTGAAAGCTAAAAGATGTAAAGTAAAATGAGTCAAATATACTTTAAGTGCTGCATGAAACTGATCTAGCCATGTGATCTGTAAGCTCTTTGAATCACTTAGGAATATTTTTTATTTATTGATTTTTTTAGCTTTTTCAAATTTTCAAGTACACTTCAGGTGTTGTACTTGTACTATTTTGGATACACTGTCCTCAGGCTCCAGCTTTGTTTTATATTGATTGTATTAAAACAAAGAAAACAATCTGAAGTTGTTTTTAATTTACCGGTCCGGCCCATTTGGGACTAGATTTCCCTCAATGTGGCCCCTGAGCTAAAATGAGTTTGACACCCCTGATTTAAATCAAGGGTGTCCAAACTTTTCAGGATGAGAGCCAAAATCGAAAAAGTTCAAGCAGAAGTCTGAAGTTTTTTATGTCAGGGTAAAAATGTATTACACCTTTTCTCACTACTTCAGTAATCACAGCTGGAACGCCTCTCGTTCGTCAACTCGCACCTTTAGCCTGCCAACGGAGCTAAAACACACAGTTTTACTATTTTTATCTCATGTTTTGCTGTTTATTCACAGATAAATGTTTTTTAAAGACTTCCATGTTCATAAGAAATGTCGCCAGCTCTGCATCTGGCTAGGCACTTATGCAATGCACGCTCTGTATGTGAGTGGATGTTTAACACTATTGGCTAATGCTAAGTGGTGCTCAGCAAAAAAAGACGTTTTATCTACATTATTTCACAGAACAGAGTGAGACTATCACATTTATGGATTTCTAAAAAAAATCATACATCATTCCTGAGAAGATTGTAGCTACACTAGCCCTCACAGACCACAAAAGTCTGATTTATTTTTTGTATGCAAAAATTATTTTCTGATTATTTGTTATTTGTAATCCTCAAAATAGCTCCAAGGTAAGCATTTTGGTACAAATCTGAACATTAAAAAAGTCTACATGAACAGCCAACTGGAAAGACAAAATTCATCGTGGGCCACACTAAATAACTCTGTAGGCCACACTTTGGACATGTCCTCTTTAGATCTAAATGATCAGAAGTTAACATTTTGGATCTGGATCACCATATATGCGAAAACCCGTCCCACAGTGAGGTGGAAGTAATTGGAAACCTGTTGTTGCAGCTGAAGGAAAAGGGTGAGACAAGTAACGGCAAGCCAGAAGCTGCAGAACAGCTGAAGAAAGCCGTTTTCCTGGCAGATGATGCACACCCGGGGATCTGTGACTCACTCGTGGCTGAACTACTGCAAAGACTTCAGAGGTGGTTCACAATCTTATTTTTTAACCCTCCCACGGTCTTCATGGGTGATGTAGCGTTATGGATTTATGCTCTTTTATGAAAGAGGAACCATGCTACGTATTAATTCGGAATATTAATTTTAATAAATCAATAACCAAATTTTATATTGTTCAGAAGACTCAAAGGTTGTTTTCATTCATAAACTGCCGATAATATCTGAGTGTCTGTGTTTCAGTTCAATGAGGAAACAAGTTTGACGTTTAAAAGTTTTAATTCTTCAAATTAAACTAATGATTTTGAAATTGACAAACAGGAAATACAATCAACATTGATAACTTTGTGGGACAATCTTTTTAACAGTTGATAGGCTGTTAATGCTCAAATAGACCTTCTGTAGGTGAATGAAGATTGAGAGTGATATGATGTGATTATGGATGCGTGTGGGTGCCAAGTGTAGTGAGAATTGAACATGAGATGAGATGAATGCATGTGTGCATCTGATTTTGCTTCAGGAAGAAACAGGTGTCTGAGTGAAGTGATGGTTTGAATAAACTTAGGTTTAGTTGTAAAAGATGCATCAAAACGCTAAACACCGTGTTCTGTCTCACCGAATTCTTTTGGACCCTCTTTCGGATCCGGGGCGTCACCTTAGGATGTTTCATCCAGGGCACCTTGGCTGGCAGAGAAGACAAAGATGCGCTGCGACCCGGTCCAGAGTTGTCCTCGGTACACTTTGATGGTAAAGCGTTTTGTCGACGCGCTTTCTTAAGTTAATTCACTCAGAAATCAAAAGACTCGGTAATGAGTCTGCGTTAGAAGTTGCGATTCAGCTATTCTGCCTGGCGTGGCAGAAACAGCGTGAAAGGGGGGAAGAACGAGCCAACAGGCTCTGCCCCCCCTTTGGTTTTCAGGTCTGTTCTCTCTCGTTGTCCAACACGAACTGAATCATAAGACTGAAAACTTACCAAAAACCTTTCTCTTCTCAAAGCAAAAACATGTGCGTCATCAAATGTGTCTGGATTTTACTGTGGGAAGGTGTGTGTGAATGTTTGTGTGCTTGAGTGTGAAGGTCAGTAACAAACATTCTCAACATTATTTAAGAATGGATTCATTAAACCATTATAATTACCCCAAAGCTAAATAGTCATTCATTTGATTAATCACATTTATAATGAGCAAAATGATAATGGTTACTTTAACATTAAAATCAAGAAAAAGAAGTTTAAACTTTATGTTTTGACTTGGTCTGGGTACAACTCATGTAAACACATCTTCTGGTAGACTGCAGGTGGCAGATGTTATGGTTTCCTCCCAGACTCGCTGGCGTTCAGGTCTTAATCTGTGGGTGAAAGTTCTCAGCGACCCTGCTTTGACACAGCTGAGTCCAACACCACCTTTGTGATAGAAAACCCATATTTCCTCACGTTACAGTGACCCCGCCAGGAAAGTTGACCATGGAGCAGGGTTGATGGTTTATCACTTGAGGTCCACGTGGCAGGGGTGAGGTGGTGCTCACTCCTCACCCCTGCCACGTGGACCCAAGGGATGAACCATCAACCCTGCTCCATGGTCAACTTTCCTGACGGGGTCACCCATGAAGACCGTGGGAGGGTTAATCCAGTTGGGATGATTTTTATTATAAGTTATATTTATTTCACATTGATTGTTTCAAGCTGCTAGCTCGATTAAAGACTTATAAATGGCTAAAAGAAGATAACAAATGACTTTTCATCCAACCTCTGAGATTTCCAACTTCATAACTTCCTTTGCAGAGGTGAAAATGTATTCATTTACAAGCTAAGTTTGCAATATTAACAACAAAAGTGTTGTAAAGAATTGAAAAGTTTTCGTTTGTTGGTGTGTGAACTGATGATTCGTTGTGTTTGGCAGGTTTTCTGTGCCACAGGAGGCCTCTGCTCAGTGACAGGAGCTGCTCTGCTCTAATTTCTCACCCTGGTGGCACCAGTCCGATCTTTTCCTCTGACTTCCAAAGCTGAGATGAAATCTCCCAGGAAGGTCTCCATCACTCATGCCTGAAGCAAAAGCCGGCCTACTTCCCTTCTGTTGAAATGCTAGCACAGCACCAGAGGGTTCTGCTCAGGCTGGCTGCTCCAGCTGCCACCTGCTGTACGATGTCTTTTCTCTGTACCTCCTTCCTCGACTGTTTCATTTTGAATCTAGGGTGTTTTTGGTGATTTTTGTGGTTTTTTCACAAAGGTTTACACTCAACATCCTGTTGGAGGAAATCCCCTGTGTGTGTGTGTGTGTGTGTGTGTGTGTGTGTGTGTGTGTGTGTGTGTGTGTGTGTGTGTGTGTGTGTGTGTGTGTGTGTGTGTGTGTGTGTGTGTGTGTGTGTGTGTGTGTGTGTGTGTGTGTGTGTGTGTGTGTGTGTGTGTGTGTGTGTGTGTGGTGGCGCGAGGAGTGATGAGTGGCTTAAACTCAGGTATCCTGCTTTAGGTGGATTGAGTCTTCTGGGAGATGGAAGGAGCTCTAGCAGGGTGGTTGTACAGTCTTGTAAATTAGCACATTTCTACAGATTCCTCTAAGTGTGTAAAAAAATGGCCACTTGAGAAGTTTAGATAATGGTTGTTGGGTAAATATTTTGAGTCTAAAGTGGCTGCAAATGAAAATTGCCTTGCCTCCGTACTCGTTCTTTTGTATCAGAGACTGATTAATTTTTGCCTCCGCTCTTTTAAGTTCTCATCCTGTGAATACCGATAGTTGCCCCCTGTCCCATTTTGCTATAGAGTCATACACTTCCCAATTCTTTTTACTTGTTGGATTCTGCTGTGGCTGAAAACGCGTCTGAGAATGTAAAAGCCGGCTGGTTCATCGAAGCCTCTCCGGTTTTAACGCCGGATGCTGTATTCCAGCCTTCATTCCACAAAAGGTGGTGCTGTTTTTGCTGTGTGTGCACGTGTGTTTGTGAAATTGCTCAGATAGACCGAGTTTTCGTCCAGTCATTCCATTAATGTGGCGGTGCCATCGTTTTGTTCATAAATCAGCAAGACTCTTGGTCTTCCTATAGGAGCTGCAGTGGTACCATCTCCTCGATGTACCGACTGCTTGACTTGCACTTCAGTTATAAATGCCTTTGACTATAAACAAAGTAGCCATAAAACAGTAGCATGACACTTGCAGCATTGTGCAGGAATGCATCATATAACAGTCCTGGACGTCGCCCGCCGTGGACGGACCCCGCTGTCAGGTGTAAGTATTAAAGCCAAGAGGTGTTGAGACTAGCTGCACTGTTGCTACTGATGACTGGGTGTTCAGCGGGACGTCCATGATAGTATCGACAGCCTAGTCTGGCCTGAGCTGTATGCGTTGTAGCATACCGTCGCAGGAACCAAAGAGTGTCGAATCCTGAACACGAATAAATCAGCCTTACAGTGTTTGTGATGAACGGGACGAATGCGATCAGTTCAGCAAATTAGATTTTCTGTTCTTTTTTTCCCCCATCTTGCATAAAAATGCAAATGTAGGTTTTATTACAACAGATCTGGGTGTTTTTTTCTGTTTCACTCTAAGAACTGTTAGCGTTGAACAGAATTTGTAGGACTCTTGAGTGTCACATGATTTATTTATGCAAGTTAAAGGAACAGTTTGCCAAGATGGGAAACACTCGAAGCACTCAAGAATATTTATTTGAGCTTTTTCAGCTTAGAAACATTTGAACAACTGTTTGTTTGGCTTGTGCGCCATCGCCTCTTTTCCAGGGCCTTACATTGAAAACAACAAAACAAACTTAAGCAAATTCATTTTAAAAAATGTGTTTTCCACTGTTTACAGCAGCTTCAAACCCTAAAAATCATCTCTTAGTCAATTATATTCAGTGGAGTTTTTGTGACGAATCTGTTTTTCATGTGTTTTATTCACACTGTGCATCTTATGGCTGTTTGTTCAGAGATCATTTGATAAAATTAATAAACATCCCTCAAACTGTTCCTTTAACTAGCAGAGAAATAATGAAGTTTTTATTTTCCCCACGATGCAGAATGCCCGTGGTCTGCTTGCACCGGTTGTTTTGCTTATCTGTCCCAGCGCTTTGGTAAAAAGTGTCATTTCAACATCTCTGCCCCTCTGAGACAAACACAATTAGCACCTTTGACCCGGATTTCTAAGTGTTGCACTTTGTAGGTTTATTGAATTTTTACAAAAGTGGTACTTATTGCTAAAAATGATGCTGCGGTTTTATTTTTGTCTCCTACCTTCATTTAAACATGTCTTGATACAAACTGGCATATATTCATTTCACTTTTTTTAAAATAACCACACAGAGCAGTATTATGTATCAGAAGTAAAGATTTAGGGGATTTGTGATGTGTTCAAGTTTTATTTGACACTGGAGAGCAATCATTTAAAAATATACATTTCACTTTGTGTGACTTTGCTGTCCAGTATACATGTTTGCTAATTCATGTTAGATTTATTGAACGCTGCCGACGATTAAGAGTAAAATAAAGATTCATCACAAACAGTTTTGATTGGGTCTGTTTTTCCAAGATGCCGTTTAAAAAACAAAAACAAGCCGACATTAAAATCTTTCAGCAAATACCTCACAGCAAGTTTTATTTATACATCCAAAAACAAAAGATCGAATTTCTCACACTATATACAGATATTACATACAGTGTTTGTACACAATAACATCATTTGTACACAAGAAAAATATACATAAAAATGTAAACTTTTGTATACAAAAAATACCTTAGACAAATCAAACGAGGACCAATAACAAAAGGTGACTAGATTAGCTTGTCCTATCTTTAAAAACGGTAATACAGTACATTCAACGGGTATAGGAATTTGTCAGCCGTCTGAAGTCGAAGCGGTTACCTGTGCCTACGAGCCCTGTACGCTTTTGTTCTACGTGGTTTTGAAGCAGACTGGTGCAGCCGCTAAAATCTCATGCTAGGTGATTACAGCAGTATTGCCACATTTCAAAACAGATTCATTCTTTTCTGACTTTTTCTTGTTTCTAGAGAAATCTGCAGTTAGAGAGAATCCCAGTCTTCTGCAGTGTAACAAAATGTTTATGCTTCAAATTTTTGGGGAAAATAAAGAATCTGGGCGCTTTTTTCACTGGAAATGGTAAAAGTTCTAGCTGGTTCTCATGACAACTGTGCGTGTAATGAGTAAAAAAAAATTATTAAAAAAATCAAGTTATAAAGGACAATTGAAAACATCACTGATCTCATCCACTCTTGTGCAAATCTGTTGAAACAGTTCATTGATCTGCATTTTTCCAACAACATCATGTATACAATCCAATGATTCATAACAGCAAGCTACTATCTTATGTCAAAATGCTCTCACACAAAAAAAAAATCTGACTTTTTCCTGGAATTTAATAGCTATCAAAAAATATTCTCCATCAGAAAGACAAAACAGCACACACAAACAGCGATCTCTTCCGTTTTGATAGCTATTAAAGACAAAAACTCACTCCACGAGACACGGTTTCCACTTAACACATCGCAAATGACACATTTTCCAATCCATTGCATCACCAAACCCCAAGATAGACTCTATTCTATGTAGCTAGTATGCAACAATGTCTGATCATTTGTTTCATTGGTTAAAAAAGCCTGTGTGAGTTCAGAGAGAATGGGCGAAGCGAGGAGGGGACGGGACGGGGACTCGTTTCCTAAAACTACACCCAGACCTCCGCATTGCGTAGCTAAAAAAAAAAAGGAAATCACGATTAAAATAGACAGTGCTTTACTTTTAGACGTGCAAAGACACTTTACACCATCATGGTTTCACCTGGCTTGCGAGTAAATGATACATCTCTAATTTATGTCCTAATCCCGTGTAATCTGACTTCTCTGAGACATGCAGGTGGCTGAAAACTATTGTATGCGTGGACCAGAGAGCACCTGTGAGAGTAGACACTTAAAAATCCCTGCACTGCACCATCATCCATCATCATCCTCACCTTGTAACACTGAAGCTCACTGATTCTTTGACTCGTGAGAAAGGAAGATGGCTTGAACGGATTAAAAAGGAAAAAAAAAACAGGCTGGTTTCAGCGAGTGAGGCTACACGTGATGAATTTAATACCTCATGATGCTAATGTGTTTATTGCTTTAAGAAACTAGATTGATTTTACCTTCAACTCGTCTACTGAGCCTCTCAGAGTGCCACGAACAACGGTGAGGTCTGAGAATCGACATCTGAGCAAATTAATAAATGAGCACATATACAATATACACGGTATAAAAACAGCTGTTTAAAAAGGTTTTTTTTTTTTTGGTAAATTTTTACGACTGAAATCTGATTTAATGACAGTTAAATAGTATAATGGGTTACAAAAATGTCACAATGAGCACGCTTATTTTTTTCTTTTCTTAGACGCAGTGTATAAAACAGGAAGGGTGGAGGGATAATGCAATGGCCATCTGAGCAAAGCAGGGTACAGTTGATCTTTAGAAGACAGGATTTAAAGAGACAGTGCAGAACTTTTAAAGTAGGGTGTCAGAAAAAAGGTTAGGCCCCTTGAACAGCTTTAGTTTGAAGAAATAAAGACTGTCATAAGCTAACGGCTAATCTAAGAAAGATCTACGTTGGTTAAGAGCATTTAAAACTACTTTAATCCTACAGAGTTTTATGCTAACGCTTTTTGCACATAGTACAGATAGCAGCAGTAGCAGCTAGCTGTTAGCGATACTACTGCTAACAGGGACTTGTTTTGCTGGAATATCATTTGTAGTTTAGCTTTCTTACAGACATCCATATAAATAACTAATAACGTGATGGCTCTTTACAATAGCAACTAGTAGGAAATCTTTCAGATTAGCACTGTTTCAAGATAGCAGCTAATTTACTTTGGTCTTGGACTAGCTGTTAGCAAGTCAATCCCGTCAGAATTGATCTTTCTTCAAACTGAGGTTGTCCAAAAGCTATGACTAAAGCCCCAAGTTTAAAAATCCAGACTCTCCCTTTAAAAGAGAAAATGAAGCTGATCCCCGATCGAGGAGTTTAGGATTTCTGAGCACTGATGAATTAAATCTCTGTTGAGGTCCTTCACCCGTTCGTTTTAATCGCAGAATCGGACTGACGCCCCCTCCTGCTGATGGACAAACACGTGGACTCAGTTACTTTAAATCTTACCATCTGGTTGCAAAATAGGAGAAAAGATGCTAACGATTAAATCCAGATTGTGCAAATTCATCCTGAAACAGTGCACCGTCACCACATAAAGTAGATGAACAGGGTGGTGACCAAGAAGCCGGTGACTGAGTCCACACGTCATCATGCAAACGCTGCACCCGTCTCACTCATTTGCTTTGCGTGAAGGGCGGCGCGGCGCTGTTGGCACTTGCAGCGGTGGCACTAACTAAAGAGAAGCCGGCAGGGGGCGCCGTGGAGCTGTGGCTCGGCTGCACGTCTTTCGGGATGCCGCTGTGAGAGGCCAGTTGATGGCCAAAGGCCGCACTGAACTGAGGGAGCTGCTGTTTGGGCTGCGTTGAGGTCAACAGATTGTGAGTGGAGGATGAGGGGATGGGGGGAGTGGACAAGCCTGTCATAGTGCTCTGGGGCATCACTGAGAGAGCCGCCATGGGCTGCAAAGTCACAGAGTGGGTGGTGGCGGGTGGCGTGGACAGGGAGGTGGATATGAGATGACCTTCTGACCTTATGAGATTGCCGAACTGCGTGGGGTCAGTGAGGGGAAGGGTGAGGTTGTTCCACGTTGAGCGTGGGGCCCCTGGGACCCCGCTGAGAGGGACTTCGAGAAGCAAAGGGGTGTCTGTTTGAAAGGAGCTGGCGTGGGGGGAAGATATATGGTCACTGTACGGAGATGGCACGTGCTCACTGCTGTAGTGGCTGGCTTGGGGAGATGACGTGGGCCCTTCCGACTTTGTCAGGACGTGGGACGTGTGCGTCCGAGGAAACGTTCGCTCTGTTAAGGAGTTCTGGGTGAGCAAGGAGATGCTGGTGGTGGCCACAGCAGAGGATGAGCTCAGGTTGGAGCACGACGCTGGGGACAGGCTAGCCGGCTGGGATGGTGGTGAGGGGGAGAAGTGATCCCCGGTGGACTGCAGCAGGTTGTCCTCCAGCTCCAGGCTGGGGAAGTTCTCTGTGGGGATGCGGCTGTGGAGAAGGTCTCCCATGCCGCCCGTCTGGACTGGTCCAGGAAACACCGCCATGGCTCTGTGGTCCACTCCTTCAGCAGAGGTCAGGTCTCCCATGGAGGTCAGGCACACCAACGAGTCTGGATAAGACGCCATCGCCTGCAGCGCACGTACTAACTCCTCAGCCTCCTCTGTGGTGGGCAGCAACTCGCCGTTCTTACCTGGAAAATAAATGAATACATTTACAACGTGTAAAACAACAACATGAAGAATCTATGATCTGACTATAAAATAACCTTCAAATAAGTCAAAGTCCTGCAGGTCATCAGATAGTCTTGGTAACACATCAGAGAAATCCTCCTGGTTGAGCTCGAGGTCGTTTGGAATGTCTGCTATGTCGCTGGTGATGTCATCAGGAAGCTCCTCGGTGCTCAGGTCAGGAGTTGAAGGGCTCCTGGAAGAAACAGGAAACAAAGCCAAGGCTTTAGAAGAGAAACACACTCCCACCGAGAACAGAAAAATTATGACATGCAGGTGCGGGTCAGACCTGATGCTGGCCTGTGAGGTCATCAAGAGGCTCGTTGAGGGCATTCCCAGGTTCCCCTGCGGCAGCGCTGGTGGTATAGGTTTCTGTGGCCTTCGAGGCCCTCTCCTCCTTTTCTTCTTGTGTTTTTTGGTGAGCGCCGGCGGTTTGGTCTTTTTACGTGGCTTTCGCTGCTGCTGCTGGTGGTGGTGATGGTGATGATGGTGCTGCACTCGTCGGTTTCCGTCCCCTCGCAGAAAATTATCCTGGGGAAAAAGGCGTGTAAAAAAAGCAGCTGGAGGTCGGACTCTGCTCATTTCTGAAGAATAAAAAAATGTCAAGGTTTTCCATCAGCCACTCAACTCACCATCTTTTTGGCATGCTCTTCACAGAGGGGCGTCTGGTGCGTAATGTCAAACACCGGGATGGAGCACTGCTGCCCGTCTGCAAATTTGGCTGTGCAACTAGCAAAGAGCTGCTGGGAACGACTCAACAGAATGTCTACAAGAGATGGTGAAGGAAAAAAAAAAAATAAAAAAAAAAAGGTGCGCTGGGCATTAAACATTACATGTCACAGCGAAGGCTCAGTGCACAGGGATCCCTTAATGTGTGATTTATCGAGTTATTTTAAAATTTCTTAAATATTTTGAATTAAATGCATAATTACAAACACCAGAGTGCAAAAGGATACGCTGAAAGCAGTGTCGAGTGAAGGGCAGGGCTCTGTTGCTGCAGGGCTGACCCTTTGTGCTGCCAGTGCAGGTCACCGAATCTGTGCTGGGCAGCTTAACTGGAATGGGACTGCAAAGACATACATATCCAGAACAGAGCAGGTAAACTACACATTTAAGTGCATTTGAAACTGAAATCGACACAGCAAGAGAATCTGTTCGAAATTACCACGAGGAGCCGCGAGAGGCACCACTCAGCTCCTGGATCAGCTGCCCTGCACAGTCGGGGTTGTTGCTCGCGGCATGCAGCAAGGCTTTGCGGAAGGCATAACGGTATCTCTTCTGGCGGATACTCGCCCTCTCTTGCCTGCACATGTGCTTGTATTTTTCCTGAAGGTATGAGCACAGCCTAAGTAGCCGCGTCCTCCGTGAAGAACCCCCACCGTCCTCCAACCTGCATCCGAAAACACAAAAGGTCACAATGTGACATCTCACAGGTTAATGGGTGAGGCTACATGTAAAGATACAAACCCATTCTCTTGTCTCCATGAACCTTGAAAAGGAGAATATCTCTCTGCCTCTTCTTCTTCATCGTCATTTTCGGCACTGTCCTCTGACCAGTCCAAACCTGGAACATAACTATTTAGAGCGACTCGTCTATCTCAGACAGTTCTTGTTGCCCTAAAACCATCACCGTGCACACCTTTAAATGCAACATGAGAATTTAAACTCTTAAAAGTTATTTAAAACTGGTCACCTAGATGAGGAAAGAGGTCTCCGTGCTCTCGATGTCTCTTGGCACAGAGCTGCACCAGGTGTTGCAACCTGGTGAGGCAGTTGGCAGAAGGTGAGAAGGCCGAGGGACGCATGACGACCACACGCCGCTGATTGTTACTACCGCCATCCTTGCAGTTGACAGGCAGTTGAGTAGCAGTGAAAGGCATTTTCCTGCTGAGCGATGGTCCAGAATGTTGCCCTGGACTGGGTGCCATGTTCGCGGGCATCCCTGGAGGCAGAAAGTTGACCGTCTGAGATGGAGGTGGATTGCATAAAAAACCCTGCTGCTGTCCTGGGAAGGGGAAGGAAGTCACGCTGGAGTGTTGAGACTGCTGGAGAAGACCTGATGCCTGAAGGGGTAGGTGAGTGTTCAGCGGTGACGAAGGGTGGACGCGGGAAACGGGGGAGGCCGTAAAGTGCTCGGGAGTTGACTGGAAGAGTTCTGTGTCATGGCAGAGTTTTTGGTTGAGCACCAGCCGACTCTGTAGTTTCTTCTTGATGCTGTTGCCTTTCTGAGGAGTGCCCACCTCCTCCCCGTCCGTGTCATCCTCGTAAAAGGCAAACGGATCCAGGAGCTCTCCATCGGGGAGCGGTAACAGGCGTGAACAGGGGGGAGATGGTGGAAGTTCATCTATTCCGTTGGGAGCTCTCAAAACTAAAGAGGGCACAGTTATGTTGAGAGCCACCGACTCCAGGTGCGCCCGAGGACGCACCTCCTCTAATGCATCGTGTTTCTTCTTCCGTTCCTTCTTGGGTAAAAAGCCAAGAACCTGCAGGTGGCTGTTGCAGTATCTGGAGAAAAATCCCAAACAAATTGAGCAAAACCCAAATTATTTAACATTTTGTTTAGGTCAAATCAACCATGCACACAGAGTCATGCACACCTGCGGTCCTCTGACTTTGGAATGGGGTTGGTGCACCGCTGGCTGTTGTACTTTGCCACATATTCACATTGTTTGAAGGGAGCCGTCTTATCCTCCAGAACGTGCCGGATGCAGAACGCATAGCCGTTTAGTCGGCGCTGCTTGCACAGCTTCGGACTATAGGAACACAACGGTTTATTGTCCACCTCTGAGAAGTGTATGTGTTTGCCTTCGTACATCACGTGACTCTTGTTCTTGACAACATCAGCTGAGGAGATCAAGGAAAACAGTGACAACTATAAAACAGAACATTTAACGTACAGAGGTAGGTGAATATTCACTTCAGCATTTTTTTTATTTCCTTAACAAGTATCTGATAAACGTACTGGTTAGTTTCATGCTCTGACTGGGGACTCACTTCGTTTTAATTTCGACGCATTTGAAAGTTTTGTTTTCTAAAACTCTTGAGGACAATTGTGCACTTTAAGAAGGTGAAATACAACAAAAACACACAGTGACCAGAAGAATTTATCCTTTTGTATCCGTATTGATCATAATTTAAGAAAAACTTCAGTCAAGCATGGGAGAACCGGATAAGCGACAAACCGTCACTAACATTAAGCTACATTAGCTCAAACAACCGATGGAACATGTTAAACTTTTAAGTGTGACAATCTAAAGTACTCTAAATCTAACAACAGGCCAATCCCAATTCCAGAAGGCACCACTGTATACATTTACTCCCAGCTCTATTTTTCATCAAGAACCACATGCAAAAGCCTTCATTTGCTAATAAGCTAGCAAAGCTAAAAACACTAAATTAGAAGGCGGTAGCTCACCAGGAAACGGAAATATCAGCAAACGTTACATTGAGTCCGCTCCACAACTCTGTACCGGCGCACGACCCGGCTAGAAGTTATAATGAGCGGAGATTTTCTCATGTATTTTATCAGAATCAGTAGCCCCGCTGATTGTAATCACACATTTAATACAATTTATCAGGAAAGCTATGTTAGGTGTTCTTAATGGATGCAAGGAAGCCTCGTGACGACGAGACGTGAGCGGGTCTGCCGAGCGCAAATTTCGTCTGCCTGGTGCGCCGGTGTGTAAATGGAGGGAACCCTCAAAAGAGCTATATTTGCTTAAGTTTTATTAACAAAAATATAAGTATAAAATAATGTTGCCTGTAACTGTTACTTGGCCCTTCTAATCAATTAATATAAACCAACACGACGCGTCTCCGCTTATATAATTACGAACAAAGGCTATAGGCCTGGTTTCCGAGGCCTTCGCCATGAATCGATACAAATTAAGACCATTATCGTTATATAATGTGACGTTAGTATCATTTTGGGGATCGGAGTGTTAACATAAGGTATTTGCGTACATCCACGCAGGGGGAAAAGGTTTTGAGGATCACCACAAAATAAGAAACATAATTAGGAAAGGCCTTTTGATCTCGCAAGGCAGCGGTCTCTGGTAAAAACGGAAGTCCGACTGAAGCGAGCGCAAAGCGGCCCGCTCAGAAAACCAGGTCGGGGCTGCGCACGACTCGGCTTACCTTGAACTGGTTTGGGCTGCGCAAGGTATTCGCTCCAGATCAGACGGCCGAAATGTCTATTAGTCTCAGCTAGGCTATTTGGCCATCGATATTCCGGATCGGACGGTAACGCTGGTCTTCATCGAGCTCAAATTTTCTCAAAATAAGGACGCATGTAAATATTTGCTATCCAGAGCAAATTACAAGCAGTAGGTAGCTGCTGAGGATATTTGTTGGATCCACAGCAGACTCCTCACAGCACCACTACAGGCACTGCGGGGACATGACAACAACCCGCTCAACAACAACAACCTCTCCTACCATATTGGAAATTCAACTTTCTTAAAAGCCACTCAGCGTGCATTTATCATAACTACTCAAATGAAACAAACGTTTGGAGGAAGGAGTCGCTTTTTATGTTAAAATTTTAAAAAATAAGCGACGGCAAATCAAGCAAAGGCTGCTGCTTAGTGTGAAATCCACCTGGACTGTCTCCTCATCGTCCACATGAATGAGTTACCAGCCCTGCTGTTCACTAATGATAGACACAAGTGTCAATCACACGCAGCTTCCACCAGAAAACCATTTCATTCACTTTTAAAGGGTACAAAATTAAATAAAAAATGTATTGGGCTTAGTACAATTTAGTTTATTAATGTTTATAACTATTACAAAATATGCACTTAAATATTCATTACAACATGTATAAAATATACTCTGATCCTAAAAACAACTTATTTTACAAGACTTTTATTATCTTTGGTCACAGATTTAAAAAGTGCTTCTTATATTATGATTATTTTTAAAAGCAGTTTCCACTATAGAACTCTAGTTGTGATTGAACACAAGTGAATTAAATATCCACCTAGGAATGTGCAAATGTAGGAGTTGTGCGTATCATTTTTCAAAATAAAACTAATAGTAATCCTTTGTGCTTTAGCATATGCCTGGCTCCTCCACGGCCTGTGCTCCCTCTGTGACCGCTTTCACACTTTGCCATGGTCTGGGAGGCTCTGCTTATCGGATCTGCGGGTAAAAATTGACAGAAAAGTTACTACATTTAACTTCTATAGTATTTATGAAACTAAGAACTGTTGAAGAAATATATAAATCGAAGGATAACACTGCACAAATGAACCAAGCTATTTTAAAATGAGAATCATTTTGTGCATACCATTTCATCTAAATATTACACTAAAATGTCTGTTTACCTAAATGTATTCTGATTATTCATTCTAATGGTGGTTTTACAAACATCACTTATTAAAAAATAATCTATTATATGTAAGTTTGTAAAAATGTACCGCAAAATGATCTCACAGATCTCTTAAATATTTACGAAGAGCTGGAATTTAGTGCAATAAATTATTGAAAATGTTTGAATTTAATTTAATTTTTACATAAAAAAAAGAATCACATATCCTTTATAACTCAGATCTCTTGACATCACATTGTGGATTAGCACCACTTTCTTAGCGTTTTCTGAATTTAAAGAAGATTTTCAAACCTGAATAGTAAAATATTATGTTTTAGTGACAGCAAACTCCTGGATTATTGAGTTTTGTGCATCAGCAACCTACCTGTCATATAAAAGTCTTTGGCAGTGAGCTGTGGAGGAACTAAAGGTGGAGTTAGGTAAGCCTGCTTCACTGCCTGAAACAGATAAGGCAGACAGCACCTCCGTCAACTGGAGCAGCGTGACGTAAACAGAGACAAATACCAACCTAAGAAATATGTTGTTGTTAAATGATCCAACGGCTGACCTTAAACAGTTCATTAGCCTGCTTAAAGTAGTTAGCCTCCTCGATTTCATCATAGCGAACAAGATTGGGTGAAACCTCAGCTTGTCTGCCACGCACTTCATTGAGGCTTTCATAAGGCAGAGTTACTCCAGCAAGCTTAAAAAGAGGATACAATAAATACAGTGCTTTAATTGTCCTTTTAATAAAACATATATTAAAGATGTGGAACGCTCATTCAATCATTTGCTGTGGTCTCTAGTAGGAATGAATGTCTTGTAAGTTGTACTCTGGGGGGTAAATAACAGACGCACCATTTCCAGGAACTAGAAGTCACCCACATCACTGCTGAGCTTCAGACAACATGTTTTGGAGTCTTATTTCCTGATATTTGGACATCTCGCCACGAATTAGAAAACAGCAACACAACTCCACCACTGACTTGCAACATGGATGTTTTTTCTCAAATTACACAAGCCTGGAGGAGCTTCTGCAGTGTGGTGAATTTGTTAATGCTAACAATTAGCTTCTAGTAGCCAAGAAGTTCTCTGCTGATTCCTGGACGCTAAACCAATAACAACCTTCCCTGTCATGAGCCCAGATGGGCGAGTCCATGAATGCCAATTCACTGAGTGAAGTAGATCTGTGGGGATTTTCAAATTCTAGTGTTTCACCATCTATTTTCTACCAGAAGCTAATTTCTGTGTTCCACACCTTTAACATGTTAGTGCAGTTCACCTCAGATATGGCTCTAATGATCCTCCAGTCCTCCCTGGCCAACAGCACATTTTTCTGTATATGCAGCTCCAGGGAGTATTATGTCGGCCATGGATGCGCCCACATCGCCATGGTGACCTGAGTAAATATAAAACCGATTCTAAAGATGTGAGATCTTAATAACACTGACAGAGAGCAACTAATAAGCTCTTTTTGATTAATGTATACACTTGAAATCCTTTACCAAAGTATCTAAAGCTGCTGCAAATCAAGAGTGAAAAGTGACCTTGATAAACTATCAGGTAGGTCTGGACGAGTAATACATCCATCATCAGCTCCCAGCAGGAACAGGACGTTAGGTGGGTTCTTTCTGATGGTCTCCACTCCTGGTTTGTACCCAAGATCAAGTGCTGCCACTTGACTTGCAGCCCTGATGACACGAATGTATAAAAATATTTCAATTCTAGACAAACACTGCACCATTAGTAGAAGTTTTTTTTAATGATTATTACCTATGCAGCACATTAAAAACCTTCCAAATTTCCATCGCTCCACTGCTGACACGAGCATGTTGAGCAATAGTTGATGCAGCGGCCATTATCACTGCTCCATCCTCGCTCTGCAGGCAGCTGCTGCCAACAACAACAACAGGCCGCTTCGCCGCAGCAAAAACCTGGAAGAGGGGGCAGAAGCCATCAGGAAGAGACATTTTGGTGACTGATAACCTTCACAACAAGGGACGATCGGGGCGTTTACATCAGTGAATGGATGGACTCCTGAAGCGATTTGTTGCAGGACTTTGGCAGAATCCCCGAGATGGTCGTACGTGTAACTTAGCTCCACTTCCTTTCCCACTAAAGCAACATGCAACTCACTGTGCTGCCAGCTGAGGGGAATTTAATTAAAGACTCAAATATTTAACGTCATTCAGAACATTACGTTTAACCACCAAAGATAAACAAACTACTGACCTTTTCCTGATTCGTGCGTTGAACAGAGGAGCTTCATAACGCGGGTTGGTGCCCACCAGCAGCAGCACATCCGCCTCTACAATGCCAGCAATGCCCGTGTTCAGTAGATGGTTAGAACGCAGGTCAGAGCTGTAAATAAACAAATAAATCACTGCTTGTAAAAACGTATCAGGATGTGTTTAGATCGTTCTTACCCAGCCCCGGTCGTGGGAAACTTCTCCTCAGTGCAAAGATTATCACAATTCAAACGGTTCAGCAAATCTTTGAGAGAAACAAGAGCCTCTGCGTCCACCAAGCCTCCAACAACAGCAGCAACACTACTTCCTTTAGCCCCTTGCAACTGTTGACAGACTGCATTTAATTCTGCTTCATTCAACCCACAAGATTTACATGATTTTACTCCACCGTGATATCTAAGTAGCATTGGAAGCTATTGCACAATTACTAACAGTTCCAGCCACTCGGGTCAGCGCGTCTTCCCAGGACGTCGGAACCAACTGCCCAGACTCGTTTTTCACCAACGGCTGAGTGAGCCTCTGTCTCTTAAGGCCATCATAAGCAAACCTGCAAAAATGAGACAAGAAAATGATCATAAGGGATGTAAAGATTTGAATTTGCGTACGACGTAAGCCCCAGGTGAGACGGACTCAACCTGGTTTTGTCTGAGATCCACTGCTCGTTAATGTCCTCATGGAGACGAGGCTAAATCCTCATCACCTCCCCTCCACGTGTGCTCACAACAATGTTACTGCCCACTGCATCCAGAACGTCAATGGATTCAGTCTATGTGAAGATAATAAGACATCTAGGGTATAGATATATATATTTTTTTAATATTATTTATCTTAGACACGTAAAGAACATTGTAAAAACCTGGTCTCCCAAGGGCGAGCGGTGAAAGCGTAAGGTTTAGATGTCAGGGCTCCTACTGGGCATATATCAATCACATTCCCAGACAACTCTGACATGAACATCTTCTCCACATAAGTCCCAATCTGTAGGTCGTTCCCTCTTCCGGTGGTGCCAAGGTCCTCCACACCAGCAAACTCGCAGGCAAATCTTTAAGAAAAGGGGGAAAAAATCACAATGTTATTATTTGAGAACAACACAGCAGCGTTGTTTCCTGCTGTCGTTGAAGGCTGACTCACCGCACACAGCGAGTGCACTGGATGCAGCGAGTCATAATGGTTTTGATAAGAGGGCCGATGTTTTTGTCCTCCACGGCTCTTTTGCCTTCAGTGAAGCGACTCCTGTCACTCCCGAACTGCATGGACTGATCCTGCAAACACAATCAGGATGAATCAATCTCTTTTTTTTTTGTTAAGTCTGATAAGCATTTGAGTCAAAGCAAATGCAACTGTGAGTTACCTGTAGGTCACATTCACCTCCTTGATCACAAATTGGGACAATCCAAAGGATGGCTAGCCAACAGGAACTCCATCACACCCTCTCTGTGTAAAATTAGGCAAAACCTTTGACTATATGGTTTATATATCACTGTGATGTTCTAGCTTTTATTAATCTTAGAGTTAATTCAAGGAGAAAAGGCACAGATAAGTGAGGCCTGCACCGATTTTATTCTACCTGGCTTTTCTTGTTTTGTCAGAATTTGTGAGAATATTCCAGCCTCTCATGACAGGCATGGCACAAGCTGCCACTGGCTAGAAGAAACACACAAGTTGTGTGTGGTTATTAGTTATTTAAAGCAAAGACACCATCGGAAACACGTCGACAGCTTTTTAAATACAAACGTGCAGGGTAAACAATACCTTTGGAACTTTTTCTATCTCCACAGGACACATGCGACAGTTCCCAGCGACTGACAAACGTTCATGGTAACAGAAGCGGGGAATCTGCATTCCTGCCTTCTCACATGCCTGGAACAGAACATATCAGGTGATGAGATGTTACATGTTGTCGTTTAATGATGATGGATGAAATGACTGTGTTACCTGCAGCACAGTGGTTCCTGGCTCCACCATGACAGGTTTCCCATCCACAAACACCTCCAGGAGGTTTCTGGCAGCAGATACCGTGCAAACTTCAGGCACAAACATAATTATAAATGTCTTCACACGGCTATTATTTTCACCAAATACATCCAACAAAATTGCAATTGCATCACTCAATTCTCTTTTTCCCGTAATCCAGAGTGGAAAAATCTGTAAACCAGTTTTTAATCTGTCAAGTGTAACAGTAACATGGGTGCATGGGATTCAAATACTTACTTAGCTGGGCACAAAATACAAAATGGCTATTATACAAAAACACAAACCCCACGTATGCGCTCTCGATCAATGAATCATATGATGAAGTGGCATATTGTTACCATTGTGTGACGCTGCCGCGCCTCCTTTGATAACAGAGGCTGGAAATAGACTCCGACTCACAACAGCAGACACACGCGGCATGCTGGAAGAGATGCGAAAAATCATGATATCAGGAGATTAATCAAATAATCCCACATCCACTGGTCAGTCATTTAGCTAAACTAGTTTACACGTGGCTAGCAAAACAAAAGGCAGGTGCTAACGGTAATCCCAGAGGCCTTTGAAAAGAAACGAGCCACACATGTCTGGAGTCTGGACAGCTACAGTCTGCATGGTTATGACTCATTTGTTTGTGTTTACAAGCACCGTGAAACGTCGGAAATTGTTGAAAAACGTCACGAAATGTGCCAAATTCCCCAAATCCCGAGAGCCTCGTCATGCTAACGTTAATCAACCTCAACGAGCGATGTTACGTTGAGTCATCATACCAGTTTAGGGCACCAAACGTGCTTCAGTAAACCACTTTCGTATCTAACTACGAGGTTTCTATATAATATTTGGGATTTGTATTCCGCACAAACGACCGTTTTCTTACCTTGAGTCACTGCTTCAGGATTGCGCAGCTGTTTTCTTAATCTGCTGCGTCACGGATTATCTGATCCTGTAGCCTATATATGATCCAGAAAAGAAGGGTCACATTATTGTTTTCACCCATCCATGTAGGCATTTATTGGCCACAATTAAAATACTAAAAACGTATAAATCATCCACTAAGCTTGTTGAGAGTAGAGACAATCTGACACCAGCGATTTTTTAAAAATACACTTTTTGGTCATTTGTGTTTTTCAGTTTTTGCAGAAATAAAAAAAAAACCGAATATGAACATAAACGCATTGCTAAATTCTTGATATGTAAAATCAGGAATGTAATCCCTGTTATAATGTCATGATCTCCAAGAATCCACACTTTATCCTGATCATTTAAATGATGACATTCAAAATGGTCACATATTCAAATCTAGAGTGAAACAAACTTTGATGTAGAAATAATTGTGTCATTTGTGTCAAAAAGTACACAGATCTATCCCAGAATCCCAGTTAATGGACATGCTCAGTAGATTAAAAACTTTTTACTTTCAAAGTTTACTTCCTGTTTACATTTTCTCAGCAGACACAAGCATGTGTTCTCACCATCATCCTGCTGAGATGTCTCCCTCGCCAGCCAAACCTGGCTTCAAAGAGAATTACAGAAAATTGAAGAATGTGTAAAGAGACCCTCCGAGAATGAGTCATGCTCATGCATACCTCTAACCCATGTGTTATTCTTTTAGGACACTTATTAGGCACGCGCACACACACACGCACGCACGCGCGCGCACACACACACACACAAACTCTAGTCTAGCTAGCATTCGTTGAGGACCGTCATTGACTTCCATTCATTTTTAGGGACTGGATTGTGACCAACCATAACCCCACCTCTAACCATAACCAGTCTACTCCTAACCCTAACCTCAACTAAAATTTATTTCACATCATACCTCTAAAAATAACCAGTAGAGCTCTGTCATGTGAGGACTAGCAAAATGTCCTCACTTTACTACGAATGTCCTCAGTTTGCAGGTAAAAAAACAACTTTTGGTCCTCACTTTGATGTATAGACCGGTACACGTACGTACGCACACACACACACACACACACACACACACACACACACACACACACACACACACACACACACACACACATACATGTTTTTATGGGTTTGTGTGGACTAAGTTTTCTGAGTTTTTTGTGTGGACCCTGACTTCCACTATAGCTAGAATGGTGCAAAAATTATGTTTGCCTCTAGGTGGGAGTAGAGATTCAGAATGTCACCCAAAATATGGGAAAACTCAAACTAAAAGCTTGTATTTATTTACAGTCATTGTGTGGACATACTCCTGTTGCCGGGCAGATTTGCGCTTTTCCTCACATCAAAATTTCTATTCAAACCAAACTATCTCATGCAAAATTTATATAAATACACATAGATACATATGCATACACACAAATACATACACACATATATATATATATTATTTTTTTGACAGTTTGATAGATACAAATGCATTTTTTATTAGATGGATATATAGATAAATATATAATGTATTTGACACAGATAAAAATGAATTTATTAGACAGACAGACAGACAGACAGACAGACACAGACAGACACAGACAGACACAGACAGACACAGACAGACAGACAGACAGACAGACAGACAGACAGACAGACAGATAGATAGATAGATAGATAGATAGATTCTAGCAAGTTTAGCAGCTACAGTGCTGGGATTTTTACATTTATCTATTACATTTTATTTGTCAAGTACAAAAATTAAATCATTCTTCCCGATTTTTACGTTTAGATTATATATAAACTTTAGACTAATTCATGCAGTTTCATTAAAAAGAAACAATTTCTTTGCAAAGCATCCTTTTATTAAATTAAACAGAAAAACAAGGATTTTTTTTTTAAATCCTATAAATAGCTGGACATTTTAAATGACAGCTTTCGTTATTTTAACTTCAATTGCTTTTGAAAAATAAACTGGGGGAAAAAGTGCCTTTTAAAATGTAGTTTTTATGATTGTAGCCAGTGTGAACATACATCTGTTCCAAATTTAAAAATATATATATATATAAAAGCTTAGAAACATGCCTAGCATCAACACACCTAGGCCTCATTGTGTCACACCAAAAGAACTCCACCTCACAACACTGAGACATGTGAACCACGAACAATCATGCGAACGCAAACAGTTTACAACCGTTTCCTCTTCTGTGCTGTGATGGAGTTGTAGACATGGTTTTTAATATCTTTCCAGGTTCTACTCTTGAGCACTGGCTCTGTCTTAAGTGCCTTAAGGTACTTTACCAGGAATGGTCTCTAAGGTTATGTACTTTCCAAGCTGTCGCCATACTGCTGCTTTCTCAGCTGAACTCCAAGGCCTTTTTTTCACCCCTTGTTTGGTGAGAAGAAGCTGATCCAGTTCTGCAACAGAAATCACAAGTAGGAAATATTTAAGGATGTTTGATGGTTAGGGATATTTATTATCACTTTTCAATTAGTTTTAAATATATGAAGCAACTGAAACTGTATTAATGCATTATATTCTAAGTCTCAAAATATATATTATTTTGCTCGCTAATAAATTTGGTAATACTAATACATGACTTGGATCTTATGATACAACATAGTATATTGCAACAAAATGAAAAGTGTCATACACTTATTTTAACTGCAATTTTTCTTGATTCTGTTTATATATACACATATATATATATATATATATATATATATATATATATATATATATATATATATATATATACATATATGTATATATAACCCTAACCCTAACCCATTGAAGACAGTATTAAACTATAATGAGCGTTTGTCAGCTGTCTCATACTCATTATTTGTTCACGTAACGTAGTTTAGGACTTAAGAGAGAGAGAGAGACGCCTGTCATCCTTTTCAGAAGCTCAGGGCGGGCTGCTGTGAGCTGGTTCTGACCCAGAAACCAGCTAGACTGGGCTGCTGGTATTTTTAAAAGCTGCCCATCCTCTTCTGGAGGTCGGGGCGGGCGGTCCGACCCTGATCTATTCTCCAGAAGCCCGCAGGTTATTTTCAAAAGCCTCCCCTCTGAGGATGGCATGCTTGTTGAACTCCATCACATCACTGGGATTGTAACCCTCTGGTCTGAAGTGTTCACCACAACGACCGCATTTTTTTAAGCTGAAGCAGAAATGAAGTCTCATATTTTCAGCTGCAAAAAATACCTCCAATGCACAGAAGATAGTGCCGTTGTTTTTCTTATTTGGAAACCCGAGGACTCGATGTCCATACAGGCTGGAGTTTATATACCCACCACAAACAATAGTTTATCAAAATGAACACAATTCTAAACTAGTGAACACACACACTGACTCAATAACATGATCTCTCTACCCTAAAACTACCTACCTGCCACACTGAGCTGAGGCAGCGCCAAGCTCATGACTCCCTCTGGCTCTATCAGAGGCTAAGATTTAGAAAAAAAAGAGTGTTTGTAGAAGCTTTGCTGAAAAATAGCACTTTTTACTCGAAAATTTATGCGGTTATGTACTTTAAAACTCATAAGCATTTCAAATTGTACTTTTTGGACAGCATTTTACATGAATTTTAAAAAATAACCTGCAATTTGCTCTTTAATGGCCTTGGTTGCTGGTGGTGGTCAAAGTGAACCGGCGGTGCCTAATGTGCTTGTCAGTAGGAGCCACAACTTTTAACACAACATGAGCCCAAAGACACAAATGCAGAAATGTACCTGTCTTCTTTTTCTTCTTGAAGCCCTCTGTTGGTTCTGCAGATTTGGAGCTTTGGCTCAACAGTTTTGCCTGATCTGAAAAAAAACATGCAGAACATATTGGTAACCAATATGATAGCAACAAGATTTATGTAACATCAGACTTCAGTAAACCTTGTGCTGTCTCATCATGTGAATCTTCAGGTGATTCAACAATCTTTCTTGACCTTTTTACTTTGTAGGTTCCTTCAATGAGAAGAAAAACAACTGTAAGTTTAAGGTTCGACTTCATCTAGCTTTGACTCACATGAGAAACAAATGTAGATGATGGCAAACAATAGACCTTTGAGAAAAAATTTGATTAAAGTGTAACCTTTATTTAATGTTTATATAATTCATGTGTTTGTTATTTCATTACTTTGGTCAGTACAGTAATGCTTGTGATTATGTAGATTTGAGTTCTGGGTAAAAGAGGCTGATCTGTTTACAGCACCTACTGGTGGATTAGGGGAAAGAAGACATGCTGTGTTAACAGAAAAGCGTAGGAGAGAAAAAAGGAGGAAGTGGAGTAGCAGCGGCTAACTGCGCGTTTGAGTTTTCTGTCCTGCCGTTCGGAAATAAAGAAGAATTATAAAACCCAACTGTAGCCTGTCTACCATGTACTACCGAGAGCCGGCAACCTATCTACAAAATAACGGTTACAAAAGTCCTCTTCTAGAAGAGAATACCAAATTTTACAATTATAGGCACACTATGACTCTGCACCTGTTTCTGGATGAAAGACTACATCACTGAACTCACACAGAGTCAAAACTGGCCTGTATACCTATATACCCCTTCATTACTGGCTCCCCAAAGAGCAGTGTGTTGAGCCCCTCCCTCTTCTCTCTGTACACCAAATTACCCATCAAACCATCATCAAATATGAATAAGACACAACCATCATTGGACTCATCTCTGAGGAAGATGAGTACACAAAGTGGAGCTAGAGCAGTCCTTCAAATTCCTGGGCATTAATCTCTCTGAGGACCTCACCTGAAAATTACACCACCCAGCAAAGGCTGTACTTTCCCCTGGATGGATCTGGTTAGTGAGCTACATCTTTCTGGCCTGTGAGCTGCATACTGTGGACCGCTAGACGTAATTGTTTTCACTAAATTCTAGGGATGCTCTATATTGTCTTTTTTACCGATATCTGATCTACCAACATTGTCGACTCGTAATTTCCTATAAAAATGCTCGATATATGCTCTCACAAAAAAGGAAAACTAAAACATTTTAGGTTTTCAACATCTCTGATCATTTATCATGCATGCTTATATTTTAAACATTTTCTGTGCAAAATGACAACTACTTCAATAAGTAACAGGAAAAGTGCCATATTGATATTGTCTCCAACAGCAGCTGAATCTCTTTCTCCCCAAGTGTGACACTAAGATGGTGTATTAGTTGGTAATGGATTTTTTCTTAATCTGTAAATTGCAACTAAGATGAGTTTATTTATGCCGTCCGCCATTAAACCAAAAAGAAGGAAATCACGTTGTTATCACTGTTTGATGTCATATATGATGGAATATGATACTAGGAGTAAATAAGCCAATCACACGTAGGCTTCATTTATGTGACATTGCATCGCTGCAATACTTTTACCATGGATTTTACACTGAAACTGTGTGTGATTTCCCGTCTAGCCCAACGGTAACTGCGGAAATTGGTGCATCCCAGGAGTGGCTCACAGAAAAATTAGAACACGATCTTATCTTTAGCGCCTCGGCATGCCGCTCCTGGGCCGCGTCTGAAAATTGCCGTGACGCAGCTTGTTTGTGACACTCCATATACTATTATGGACTCTATTGCAAGCGGTGCCACGCCACTGGCGTTCCACGGCGTTGGCGTTCCACGGCGCTTTTGCTGCCAGTGTGCAGTAGGCTTGAGAGTTCAGCATGGTGTGTATATGCAAATCTTTAAACTAGCAAAAATGAAATGAGTATATGATAAAATACACAGAAATTTAAACCCAACACCCAACAGCACAAAGACAAATGAAGAAAAAATGTACCTATCTTATATTTCTTCTTGATGTCCTCTGATGGTTCTGCATATTTTGAGCACTGGCTCAGTGGTTCTCCCTGATCTGAAAAATAAAGAACATTCAGAATATATTAGTAACCAAAGTGAATCAACTACATTTATGTACTAAATCACATTGCAGTGAGTCTACGGGTTTCAGCAAGAAGGAAAGAAAAGCTGTAAAGACAGTAGTGAGAGCAGTCATGTTGTCTGGTTAAGAAACGGCATAAACGAAGAAAAGACGGGAGGTAGAAGAGGTTGCAGAGCTCAAAATGTTGAGGTTATCTTTGGGAGTGATGAGGATGGAAAGGATCAGGAACGAGTGTCACATATGTAAAATCCATCTGCAGTGAACCTTGTGATGTCTCACCATCTGAATCTTCAGCTGGTTCAACCTTCTTCCTTGGCCCTTTTCCTCTGTACGTCACTTCAAAGAGAAGAAAAACAGTTGTAAAATCAAGTGTGACCTTATTATCATTAGGTACTTTAGCCAAGCAAAAGTTTACCTCTTTTTCCTGCTGTCTGTCTGTGATCATCTGATGGTTCTGCTCTTGTGGGCCTCTGAGTCAGAATGTCAGGTTCTACAAGACAAAACATTCATGAACATCAATCCTGTCTGACAGATACCAAATAAAATACTCAAATGTTATCAAATAAGTAAGAAAAAAACTTTTTTACCTCACTAAATCCTACAATAATTTTTTAATGCCATAAAACTAAAATAACGAACTGACCCCTTCTTTCCACCGGAGCCGTCAGCAGCACGTTACTGCAGCAGCACGTCTTGCTCGCGTAAGCTGCTGCTTGGCCCTTCCCACGAGACGCGAAGCAGCAGGGGAGCAGCTGTCACCGACAGAGCACGAAGTCACACAAGTGACTTCGTCAGTAAACACAACAAGCAGGAGAAAACTACAACATGGCTCCAAAAGGTTTGCGTTTTATGTTCTGTCCGTTTTATAATTGCCAATACGGACCTGAAAAACAAAGGAGACCGCTAGCTAGGTGATAACTTCTCACGGGGCCGCACAGTTAATAACTTTTTTTAAAGTAAAGCAACCGGAAGGCAGTACATTTCTTAATTCTGAAAATCTCGGGAGCTTCGCTCCGTTCCCGCGTCCGATTTCCTGTCTTTCCTTCCCCAAAAATGTCGCACTTGACCCGTTTCAGAGGCGTTGCGCGTAGAAAATAGAACCGGCGCATAAGGACGGCAACATGCTGCTGACGGCTCCGGTGGAAAAGATTCTGTTGACCACAGCGGTTCCTTTCAGCAGCTAAGACGTGCTGCTGCAGTAACGTGCTGCTGACGGCTCCGGTGGAAAGAAGGGGTAATAGTCAATGGATAACTGAAAATCAATGAGAACTGTTACAGTTGATCACTAAGCAAAACATTTTTTCAATTCTACAAATCGTTTAGTTCCATTTTTCTGTTCTTATCTCATACAGAGTAGCAAAGTTTCTGTTTTTAGCTTATTTTGCTGACAGTTTCAGCTACTTCCCGAAGGTGACAGGAAGTACCCAAAACTGTCAGCAACATAAGGTAAAACATAAACTTTGCTACTCTGTATGAGACAAGATCAGAAAAATGGAACTAGAAAAGAAACACAGAAAGAACATAAGGAGTTTTAAAGAAAAATACTAATATTTTTTTTCTCTGTGGCACTCTATTTCTTTCACATATACACAATTTGAATTAGTATCTCAAACTATTGACTATTCATTTGAAATGTGACTGAACACATGGTCATCATTTAGCCTTTAGTGCAAGTTTTAACGGTAACACATGACCTACCCTCATCATCTTCATATTCCTCCGGATTTTCTTCCTCAGTATCTGCATTGTAATGCATGTCCAGAGCTTCATTACTTTTACCACTGTCCATCAGTGTCTTCTGTTCATGAACATAGCTTTGGCTGAGAGAGGTTTTGCCAGGGTTTTTTAATGCATCATGTGTCTTCATGAGCTTAGGCTGTGAAAAGGTTAGTTCATCCTCTGAGGAAGGAGGAGCTGATGGGATATAATCACTGTCCAAATCATGGCTGGAGTCTGAGAAAAAGTCCTCTGAAGCAGAAAGCTCCTGAAAGAAATAGAGCAAAGACTCAAGTTTAGGACAGGAATTTCTAAACCACAATTCTTAACTTAACCTTTAATTACACTTCAGAAAAATATTTCCAGCTGCTGACTTTGGTTCATTCTTGCACTTCTTACCTTGCTGCTGTATTTTCAAAAAATTTTCTCCAAAATACGTTTAGCTCTAATATAGGGCTGGACGATAATTCAATAGTTCAATATATCTATCGATAGACATGTGGTGCGATAGATAAAAAAACTGGTCAATAAAACTTCGATTAAAAAGTTTCCTTTTTTCATTATAACCTATCAGGTAGCAGCATACTAGACTCACTACTTAAGCTTGGTTTATGCTTGACGCATTTACTTTCCGCTTGGTGATGCGGCTCGCGGATGAAACGCGCTTCACAAATTGCAGTGTTTATGGTTCATGCGGCTTGTCTCTGCGGTGAGCCAATATTCTCCCAAACTGAATGGGGCAGCATGGAGCTCTACGGCATGCATCCAACACTACACCATAGAAGAAGTAAAAATTACTGTTGTTTACAACATGGCATTCCAGCATTTTTTAACAGCATCCTCATCTTTTCTGACAGTGCGAGCTATTTCTCTCCACGAATTATTAACAACATGTTGATCACGGTGATCTCTGAGAGCTGAATCATACAAATGTCTATTTACGAACCTCTGCCATACTAGTTCTTGCCAGTCCGCCATGTTTTTCCGCGTCCGACCGTCCGCGTGGTTAGAAAATTTCCTAGGTGTGCGTTGCGGAAAGTTTGGGCCGTGCGGAGGCACGGTGGAGGGGCGTGGTTGTTAAAATGACGGAACTTTTCCGCGTGGAGCCGTGCGGACCTCGCGGACGCGTCAAACATTAACCAACCTTCACTCCTAACCAATCAAAACCACAGACTCGGCACGCTACGTCACCAGGCCCTCCCCTCTCAAACCAAAAGAGAGCGAAAGGAAGCAAGATGTCTAGGGCTGCCATGATTAGTCGACTCGTCACGACAACGCAGACAAATAAAATAAACCTTATTTTATAAACAATTTTTTAAAATGTCGCCTGCTGCGGCACGTTGGGCTTTTGCTTCCTGCCTCTCTGCTCAGCCACCACTTTGGCTCCAAGGCGCATGCGCAATGGTGGCTATCCAGCTCAGCCTTCATCATCGGAGAAAGTGTCGAGTCGCAACATATCTGAAAAGTTTGGGAGCATTATACTAATTCAAAAGAAAGCCACATGGTGCAAACTCTGCAAAGCAAAACTCTTTCACAGGAGCACATCGGCGATGCACGAGCATCTTAAGAGGAAGAACAGAGCCGCCTCGGTAAGTTTACCTCTTGTTAGCAGCTGACATCAACAGAGTTTGTTTATGTTTATGTATTTAGCAGACGCTTTTGTCCAAAGCGACTTACAAGTGATAATCGGCATGTTGCCCTTGAACAACAACAACAACAACAACTTGACATCAGTCATGGGGAGGAGGGAACAAGGAGTGGACAGTAGAGAGGGGGACGGGTGCAGGGAAGGTGCAAGTTTAGAAGATGCTCTCTGAAGAGCAGGGTCTTCAGGAGTTTCTTGACAATTGAAATGGAAGCCCCTGTTCTGGTAGTGCTTGGTAGGTCATTCCACATTTGTGGAACGATGCATGAGAAGAGTCTGGATTGTCCTGAGCGTGGTGTAGGCACTGCTAGTCGACGATCCTGTGATGACCGGAGCGGCCAGGCCGAGACGTAAGCCTTTGCAAGAGGATTCAGGTAGATGGGAGCCGTACCATCTCGGACTTTGTATGCTAGTGTTAGCAGTTTGAATTTGATGTGTGCTGCTAGAGGTAGCCAGTGGAGCTCAATGAACAGAGGGGTGACTTGTGCTCTTTTTGGCTATTTGAAGACCAGACACACTTCATTCTGGACCATTTGAAGAGGTCTCACAGTACAGCCTGGAAGACCAGTTAGAAGGGCATTGCAGTAATAGAGGCGGGAAATGACAGTAGATTGCACCAGGACCTGAGTGGCATGTTGTGTTAGGTATGGTCTGATCTTTCGTATGTTATACAGCGCAAAGCGGCATGAACGAGCAACAGAGGCAACACGATCTTTAAAGGTCAGGTGTTCATCCAGATTTCGAACTGCCTTTGAAGGAGCCAGAGATAGGAAGTCATTTTGGATTGAGATATTGTGCTGTATGGATGGGTTTGCTGGGATGACAAGTAGTTCAGTTTTAGAGAGGTTGAGTTGGAGATGGTGGGATTTCATCCATTTTGATATGTCAGAGAGACAGTTTGATATTCGTGCAGAGACAGTGTGGTCGTCCGGTGGAAATGACAGATAGAGCTGGGTGTCGTCTGCATAGCAGTGGTAGGAGAAGCCATGTGATCGAATGATCTCACCCAGTGAGGTGGTGTATATGGCAAAGACAAGAGGTTCTAGAACAGAGCCCTGGGGGACTCCTGTGGCAAGATGGTGCATGGTAGAGGATTGTCCAAGCCAAGAGACAGTGATCCCTCACTACTTCGCGGTTCGTTTATCGCGGATTCACGACTTTGCAGATTTTTTCTTTGGAGCCTTATTCAAGGGAAATTCGCCGATTCGCGGAATTTTTCACCGATTCGCCGTATTTTTCTGTCATGTTTTGGGGTAAGTGTCTAACCAAAGACATACAGAATCAGACTTGAGTCGAGGTAAAAGATAAACAATAATTTTATTTCTTTAATGATGAGAACTGAGGGCGCACTGGTGATCCAGTGGAGGGTAAACCAGGAAGCGGCAAAATGCGGAAGTTCAGGGTGAATGTGGAGTTGAGCCGGGGTGATATCCAGAGGCGAATTGTAGATTTCCAGGTGGCAGAGTAGACGGATGAGGAGGACGAGGTAACGGAGAGGGAGCGTGAGCACGGTGGAGAGCGGGACGGCAGAGCGGAGTTGGTATCCAGGCAGCGAACCGGTGAGTATCCAGAAGTCTCCAAGATGGGAGAGAATCCGGAGGAGAAGCGAGTCAGGCAGTAGTTAATCATACGGCGTGGTATCTGGATAACCGTCCTCCTTTTAAAGCCGTCCCGCTGATCAGGCTGATGAGGATCAGCTGCGCTCCCTCTCCTGTTAAATAAATACTGTAAATATGGTGTCCCTACTTTGCGGATTTTCACCTATCGCGGCCAGGTCTGGAACGCATCTACCGCGATAAATGAGGGATCACTGTACACTAAATGATCGTCCTGTGAGGTACGATTCAAACCAGGCGTGTGCTTTCTCTGTGATGCCCATGCTAGAGAGTGTGGACAAAAGGAAGCCATTTTTGACAGTGTCAAATGCAGCCGATAAGTCGAGCAGGATAAGCACTGAGGATTTGGCAGTTGCTCTAGCTTCTTTTAAGGATTCCATCACTGCTAAAAGAGCAGTTTCAGTGGAGTGGCCCTTTTTGAACCCAGATTGGTAAGGGTCAAGCAGACAGTTTTGTGAGAGGTATTCTGTGATCTGCATGAAAGCCACCTTTTCTGTGATTTTGGACAGAAAAAGGAGGAGAGAGATAGGTCGGTAGTTCTCCACATGATTTGGAGGAAGAGATGGTTTTTTTTAGCAGAGGTTTAACCAGAGCATGCTTGACAGAGATAGGAAATCCGGATGTCAGTGAAGCGTTGATCACATAAGTGCCTGCTGCAGCTACTGTAGGAGCAATAGCTTGGAGCAGCTTAGTCGGAATGGGGTCCTGGGCATGTAGTAGGGCGGCTGCACGTGACAAGCTTGGACACACAGTTCTCAGTGAGAGGGGAAAAAGAGGAAAATGAAGCAGTAGGGCCTGAGATGGTTGGGCTAGAAGGAGATTGTGGTAGCGAATGTTCAGGAGTGGCCAGTTGAGTAAACTGATAGCTTATAGCTGCCAGTCAGTGAAGAATGAGGCAAAGGTGACTGCTGATAGATTTTTGGTACGAGGTGGAGAAGGAGGGTTGAGCAGAGTTTTGAATGTCGAAAATAGTTTTTTGAGAGTCAGTAGAGCTGAGAAGAGCTACTTGTGATTATAGCTGCAGCAACACCAGTAGAGATGGTGACGTTGTTACCTTTAGAACACGTTTGTATGTCACATATTTTTGCTCCAGTTACAAACGCTAATGATTGATTCCATCCCGCTACGTTAGAGTGGAGTTTACAGACATATATATGACAACAACCATCTACCAGGCTGGTCCCACTTCACCACCATGATGGAAAAGAAGAGTTACACAACTTTTAAGATGTGTGTGTGTGTCAGTTTCTCTCTAGATACAAATAAAATAAACATTAGAATAAAATGCATTTATGAAAAAATAAAAAGGTCGCTGACTGAACAATCAAGAAACCTAATAGTTTTAAAGCATAAAACATTTTCTTTGTGTTAAAACTTAACCTACTTTATTTGATTTAACAGAATGATTAATCTGGTAAATAAACTAACTTTGATATCTTTTATCTTTACACTAAAGCAGACCCTCAGAGCTGCCGATGATCCCTGACTGCTAACGTGTGGACTAGCCGTGCTACAAAGGCGTACCTTGGTGTGTCCTGCTATTTCCTGAGTGAAGATTGGAAGATGAAGCACTTCAACCTTGCCACCATGCCTCTTGTGAACACAAGTCATTTTTGGTTTTAGGTGCCTACCTCCATGTAGTTGTAGCATTTGTATCAACAGGTTACAAGTTAATTAAAGTGGTTTGCTAAGCTATCATCTTGTCTTTATTATTAGATGGCCCATAGCTGATCACACTTCAGACTAGAAGCTAATGATGGTATATTAGTGCATCCTGGTGCAATAAGCTAAACTTTTATAAATGACACGATTAGTCGACTACTAAAATAGCCATTTGTGGAAGCCCTAAAGACATTGCAGCAAGAAGAGGCAGAGAAAAAAAATCAAAATACCAAAAATAAAATGGCCAGGGGTGCATGTAAAATATTTTCTACATTTTTAAAATATATATATATTTTTTTCAATAATTATCAATTATGATCAATTTAAAACAACATTTATCTACATACTTTTTTGCTATATCATCCAGCCCCACTCTAATAGGCCATTGGATGCTTTTCTTTAGACTTTCAGCCCCATGTGCTGAGAGTTCAGACTTTGGCTCCAAAATACAACTTGGCAGTGGCCAGAAAGAAATTTTGGCTTAATTTGGGGACAACAGTCTGTAAAGCTGCTGCCATGTGACCCCTGCACTTTATCATGTGACAGTAACATGAAGAACATCCTGCAGTCAACAGAGTTGCTCTGCTGAGCTCACACCTTTGTTACAGGACTTCTTGAGTCTTCTAGTCCGACATTAGTGCAGTAATGAGGGAGAACTACATCTATTCATCTTTCTATTCATGCATGCGCTTTTTATACCTGCTTTATCCATTTGGTGAGATGGAGTACATCTGGACAGGTCATCAGAGAACCAACACAACCATCTACACAGCTACTTTCACCTAATGCCATTTTAAATAGCTGTTTTAATGGTGGTATTAGTTAATGTGAGACACAAAGACTTAGCAGCACAGTAGATTGTTTTAGTAATGAACAGGTCATAGTGTGGTAGTTAGCATGATGGAACTTGTGTGTAGAAATGTTCTTAAACATAACACATCTGACCATGCGTACGAACAGCATCTAATAGTAAAATGGTGTAACCGTAGTATTGAAGGTCTCAGTCATCCACGATTCTTCCTCATTCACAAATTATTTTTACCCAATCAGTAATTATGTCTGTGGAGAAACAGTTTTGTCGTGTAATTGATATTGGAACCGATAAAAAGGCATCTGTGACCGACGGGAAGCTGACATTGTAGCATGGTAGATCTGTTGTTGTTGGAAGATTTAGCAGACCGTGTTCTCTAGTGGACATTTTCCCTGTAGTGAGAATCTAGAGGTGCTTTTGAGTAGATGCTGCCTCCTGACAGAGATCCTTCTGGAGCTGTGACATGATTTGAGACCCTTTGTGGAGCCACTGACAAACCACACTAATCTAATTCCAGTACATACTCCGTTATTGACAACTTTGTGATTTCTTGCCACTGGGACCTTCCAACATGAGTTAGCTGACAGACTGGGCCAATGCTGCCATCAGTGAGCTGCATTATGCCCTCATGAATACAGTGGCATTTTAATGGTGAAAAATCAGGCAGATTGTTTCCTATCTTGATTTGTTCTCAGTTTAACCCTCCCACTGTCCTAATGGGTGACCCCCGCAAGGAAAGTTGACCATTGAGCAGGATTGATGGTTTATCTCTTGAGGTCCACGTGGCAGGGGTGAGGTGGTGCTTACTCCTCACCAATGCCAGCTGTTAGCTTTCTCAGCAACCTTACTAAAGGAACTTTTCTTTCCAGTACAGGAGGGGCCTCTGGTTTATTACGGTTAAAAAGCATTAATCAAGCTAGTTAAAGTTGGGTTGCTATAACACACTGGCAAATAATTTAGTTCCAAACCAAAACCTGAAATAACAGACAGCTAAAGAATATTCTAACCAGTAAATAGTTGTAAATTAAATTTTTCATATATGTTGGTAGTACGTCCATTCCAAGCATTAGCCTGACCCAGGTTCAGTTTACTGGCAATCACAGACGTTTTTAATTCAAACAAAGCTGTTTAGTGTCGGTACTGATTATGTTTGGTTAAAAATATAAATTTGTTATATATGATCTTAAAGTTATAAGTAGAAATGTCTAAACAAATTTAATACAACACTAAATCAGTGAATATTTTGTTTGATTACCAGCTGCCTTCTGCCTTCATGGTGACCAAAATCCTAAAGATGTTTCTAAAACAATTTTTTTTGACAAAATAAAAAAAAATTGTCTGTTATTTGTATTTTCTTTTCAAGAAAAAGAAGGGAGAAAAATAATAAAATTCAATTCGAATTTGGAAGAAAAAGTCTGAGATTTTATTTTTAAGCCATATTTAAGTCCTATAGGATAATTAAGAAATACTTACCATTATCTCTTCCTGTTCTTCTTCCTTCTGCTCATTATCTACAAAAAAGAACATGTAAATGTGAAGGAATTTGCCCCCAGTGCATTCATTTCTAAGGTGCTTACCCAACTAAACAGCACATTTTATCAAGCTTTTTTGCAAAATCAGACACATGATATAGCATAATTAATATATGAATATAATGAAACAAAATAAATTAAAATATAAAGTACAATCAGGAAGGCTAGAAAAGTCAATAATAATCCCAAGTGATCTGTTTTCAATTGTACGCCCGTTGTGTTAACCGTAAGCTGAACAAAAACGGGCATAGTTGCTCACTCTGCATTGACTGTGGACAGTGAGGAGACCCATCCAATACAGCGACAAAGCTGTTACGTTCTCCAGTGGCCAATGGGGCATCTACGTATTCATGGCTATGATTGGAAGTATTTTCCTTGTTTTAGGTAATGCTTCCAGGGTTTTTCCTGGCTCAAACTGAGGCAGAGGTGGTACCATCTTGACCATGCACCAGCACATGCATATTCTGTGCATTCAACTGCCTCACTTTTTTAAAGGCAAAAATTTTTTTTCATTAAGTGTTCTCATCTAAGTTTCTGTTGATTAATTGAATATCCCATTTGACAACGTTTCAAGTGAAACAAAACTGGTTTGCTGCTAAAACATTTGAAATAAAACAACAAAATTATCAGGCTGAAACAACAGACTTATTATAAAAGGTTCAATAATATGCATTAGATTGTGATTTAGTTCCTTTTTCCCATCTGATATTTAAAGTTTAAAATATTTTTAAAAATCGACCTACATTTCAGTAACATTTTAGGTTTTCATTAATAACCCTCACCTTAGTCAAAATAACACATAAATATATCCAGTAAAATATAATGGATTTCATTAACATGCATTTGTATTGGAAATGGTAAGAACATTTAATTTCTGCTGCTAACAATGTAATGGTGGCATTAGGGTTGTCACGGTAACCAGTGTAGTGGTAAACCCCGATAAAAAAGTGGACAATAATAATAATCGTCTTGTTTTAAAAAAAAAATATTATCTCGGTGGATTACCGTGGCTGCAATGTAGGCGCGGTGACCCTTACCGACCACCGTATCATCTGCTGCAGTTGCCTGCAGCACATGCGCACTTTGTTGTTTACAACCAAAACTTTCTTGAGGCTAAAGCCGAAATAATGGCCAGAGGAGGAGACGGCAGCGCTCAGGACATTTATTATCTCTCAGAGAAGACAAAGTTGGAAGTATGGGCATTTTTTTTGGATATATGAAGAATGCCGAGGGACAGTTGATAGAAGACGGCTATCCTGTTTGCAGCACGTGCAGAAAAAGTGTCTGTGAAAGGCAGCAACGCTTCAAATTTCATGACACATCTGCGTGACGATCACCCACAACTCTACAGTCAACGCAAGGCAAGTTAACATTAGCATTTTAGCTAAAATGCGTGATCCGAGGATTTGGGTTGAGGGAGAATGCAACGATTCACTATATAAAGCAGCCACAGCGCCGCTACATGCATATAAAAAATTGTCGCGGACACCCCCATATTGAAATGACGCTATGCATTACGGGGCTCCCAGGGGCAGATAAGAGTTGGTCTCTCACGTGGCGGCCACACAAATTTGAACGCAGGAAAAACCCTAGCTTCTCTTCTACAGCTGTATATTTAGTGTGTATTAAAAGTAAAATATGAAATAAAACTTGGCTGAGTGGAAGACAAAAATGAGCTATGAGTACTGCCGGTAACCGGCAGAATGCTGTTGTGGTTTAATGTTCACTAGCTTGTAGTCAACTTTATAGACCGTCTTAAACTATCAGCTGATTGTTTGCTTAACAGATTAAATTGTTCTCCTGTATGGGAGTCAGACAATTTCACTCTGTACAAGGAGCACAGGAGACGAGACTGAGCTGCAGGTTACAGTGTTAGTCTGTGCAGCTAAATTTTCCATCAAAAAGTACCATGTTCAATAAAATAATTTTATTTAAAAAATATTCATGTGTTGTGGTTAAAATTGTGGGTCCTTAGTGTAAAAGTTTCAAATACATTAGGTATTTTGACTGTAAAAATTAATTAACTTAATTCACTAACCTATCATTAATACTTACAGCGTTTGTTTGTCAAATAAAAATCACAAAAAGATCATCTCACAGTGGTAAACTACTCGATGTCCACCCACAGGCTGTTAGCTTACTCAGTTACTGTACATTGACCATTTACTGCACACAGGTCTACAATGCAGTTTAGTATTAGTAATTACACATTAAAGGTTGATGCAGCAGTTTATTTTCTTATTCTCTGTGTGACTTAAAATAATTAAAACTAATTAAACTGCTAATGCACCTCAGTGCTTTTTTGCTGGCATAGTTCCAGGATGAACGCACTTCCGGTAATCATTGTAGTTCTGGACCAGTACTGGTATGTTCAGAGAAGCAAACTCATAGATTGGAAGCAAATGTCTTCTTTACAGTTTGAATTGACTAGAAAGTCAAAGGCAATAGTTTGGGCTACAAGTCCTTTTGTCAATATGTCATGCTAAATCCCGGTTAGCAAGCTAAAACAGTGGGTTGAAGTTTGCAGCAAAGCAAGTACATTCAAAGCAATAAAAAGGATCCCTGCAGTGGTTTAAGGAATAAAGTAAGATAATTCAACTGTTCTGAACACAAATAAAAGATAAAAATGATCCCCTGATTTTACTTTGTCAAGCTTACAACACAGGCTACACGAAACTACACCAGTTGTCAATATTTTGACAAAATAAACAAAATACATACACACAAACACCTCACACAGTTAACTATGAATAAAAATAAATCTTACCTGGTTTAGTTGCAGACTTTTTTCTGGTTCCAAACACTGAAACAGTTTCCATCTGCTTCTCCGATGCTCTGCAGCTGCGTGAATCCCCTCACTGATGTTGCTTTCAGGAGCACTGGGAAAGTTGAGAACTGCGTGCAGATCTCCACGTTTTAATAGATTAAAAATATTTCTTTTGAAAAATTGCTCATGTAATGACTTTTAAGGAAATTGTTATGCACTTTTTAACACAGTGTGAAATTTATATTTAAAAAGACAGGGTTCAGATTTGATGTTGAGTGTAACTAGTGTACTGGTAGTTACACATTTTCCTTGAATGCAGCAGAGGTTTAAGAGTTAGCCAGTCCACTGTTTAATGCCACCCATCCCCCACCCTGAGTTAGCCAGTCCACTGTTTAATGCCACCCATCCCCCACCATGACTTCTTGTTGATGAGTGCCTCTGAACTCAAGAGAAACAACCTGTACAGAACAGTTTGGATTGAAAAGGGCCACGTCTCCCTCACCCTGCCTCAATGTTCATGACTTGACCCTGTAGAAAAAAACATTCCCCTTTACATTTTCAACTAGAAACAAAGACTAAAAAAAATTAAATGATTGGTTGTTTTTTTTATCTGAAACCAAAATTTTTAAAAACACCTTCTTTTACATGCTTTTATTTTTAAGCTCACATAAAACTTAGCAAATGGGAGAACATGATACAGGACTAACTTTGAGTTTAATATTCAATTACCTGTCGGTAAATTCTATTTCTAAATTTTTATTTGATATAAGTTCTTTAACTTCAGACTTGGACTTTCATCATAATGAACTATTGTGGGGCTTGATGGTGGTGAAATTAGTAGCAATGTTGCCTCATAGCAAATAAGCCACCTGTTTCAATCCAGCTTGCGTGGCCTTTTTGTGTGGAGGTTGCATGTTCTCCCTATGTAAGCGCTGGTTTCTTTCCACAGACCAAAAACATGCACATCAATCAAGGTAACTGGTGAATCTAAATTGTCCCTAGTTATGAGTGATTATGCGACTGGTTGTTTGTCCCAGGGTGTGTCTCTGTGATGGACTGAGGCTTGTCCAGTGTTTCTCTTGCCCTGCAACACTAGTGAGAATGATGTAGTTAAAAAAATTATTAAATATTGTGAAGACTATTAAAATATACACATGAAACACAACCTATACTTTTTAAGTAATAATATATGCAAACTCCTTGATGAAAATATTAATTAATAGACTTCCTTCACATGTAGCAACACTATAAAACCACATGTAGACTAAAATGAAAAAAATTGAAGCCAAAGATAAATGTATTGATGTGGTGGCCACCAGCAATTTCACACTGACAACAAGACTGTAATGATAAGTTGTAAGTGCTCACCACATTTCGTCTTAATTGGACGATGGAAGGTGGGTCAAAAAATCCCTACATGCAAGAGCTAAAGGCCCGAAATGGAGCCTGAACTAGATTTGACCCCCTTTTTGGCTGCTGTTCGGCTTACGTTTGTCCGAGGCGCACACAACTTTTTTTGGTGCATCCCGGTTCTGGCCCAAACCATACACGTCAAAGTCATGCTGGTCGGAACCCTTTGAGGGTCCGTTTGGGCCGTGTGGGCAGTTTTCCCGCCTTTCTTGCCATGTGGTCTCAAATGTGGCATTTTTTCAGCCGATTTTCACCAAACAAACACCGATTCCGCATGCAGGCACCACCCCGAGCAAGCCCTGGCAATTTTTTAGCCGTAGCTCATCGTTTAAGTGCTCTTTTGGCCTTGTGGGCACTCGACCGGCAGGTGACTGGGGTCATTCTCTTTAATTGTGATTACTCCTCAACGGAACGGCCAATTGGCCCCATTTTCAGAGGGTATTTCCTCATGGGGCAGCACAATCAGAATTCAGTGTCAAATTCCCAGAAACCCCCCAGAAAAAAATCCTATGTCTGATTTCAGCCACAAAATAGGTTCTTGGACACATAGCTCCAAAAAAGACCTGATGATTCAGTTGGTCCAAAGTAGAAAAAAATTTCTGCTTGTGCCAGTGACCCCATCTTTCAGTATGTTGATCTGGGGCCTGGGACGAGTCCACCTGAGGTGGTGCATGCCAAAGTCTTTTGTGGTTTCCAAGATATAGCCCCCCAAAACCCACACTTTTCACTGTTAGGAGGTGGCATAATTTTGGTGCCATGCGTGCCATTGAGCTGCTTGAAAAGACTGAAACTTAGGCCAAATTGAAGGGTTAAGCATCCCTTTCCCCTGCTTGTTTGCTTTGTAACTAGGACAAAGGTGAACCTCATTAAGGTGTACCTTTAATATTCAGCCGCTGAAACTTGGCTTCTGATTAACCTTGAAATTTTTACTGTAGCTTCAGGTGACCCTCTGGTCCGACCCTCCCATTTTATAGACTGCTAGGCCATACAGAAAGGTTAAAGGTCACAAAACATTTTAGGCCTTTTTCATTTTGGGCTCATTTAAAAGACAGAAACGTAGGCCAAAATTAATTTTTAGGCATTTTTCAGGTAATATATCAGCCCCTGAACAAGATAAAAATCTGGAAATATTGGTAAGAGTCGCTACTGATAAGTTGTAAGTGCTCACCACGTTTCGTCTTAATTGGACGATGGAAGGTGGGTCGAAAAATCCCTACATGCAAGAGCTAAAGGCCCGAAATGGAGCCTGAACTAGATTTGACCCCTTTTTTGGCTGCTGTTCGGCTTACGTTTGTCCGAGGTGCACACAACTTTTTTTGGTGCATCCCGGTTCTGGCCCAAACCATACACGTCAAAGTCATGCTGGTCGGAACCCTTTGAGGGTCCGTTTGGGCCGTGTGGGCAGTTTTCCCACCTTTCTTGCCATGTGGTCTCAAATGTGGCATTTTTTCAGCCGATTTTCACCAAACAAACACCGATTCCGCATGCAGGCACCACCCCGAGCAAGCCCTGGCAATTTTTTAGCCGTAGCTCATCGTTTAAGTGCTCTTTTGGCCTTGTGGGCACTCGACAGGCAGGTGACTGGGGTCATTCTCTTTAATTGTGATTACTCCTCAACGGAACGGCCAATTGGCCCCATTTTCAGAGGGTATTTCCTCATGGGGCAGCACAATCAGAATTCAGTGTCAAATTCCCAGAAACCCCCCAGAAAAAAATCCTATGTCTGATTTCAGCCACAAAATAGGTTCTTGGACACATAGCTCCAAAAAAGACCTGATGATTCAGTTGGTCCAAAGTAGAAAAAAAATTCTGCTTGTGCCAGTGACCCCATCTTTCAGTATGTTGATCTGGGGCCTGGGACGAGTCCACCTGAGGTGGTGCATGCCAAAGTCTTTTGTGGTTTCCAAGATATAGCCCCCCCAAAACCCACACTTTTCACTGTTAGGAGGTGGCATAATTTTGGCGCCATGCATGCCATTGAGCTGCTTGAAAAGACTGAAACTTAGGCCGAATTGAAGGGTTAAGCATCCCTTTCCCCTGCTTGTTTGCTTTGTAACTAGGACAAAGGTGAACCTCATTAAGGTGTACCTTTAATATTCAGCCGCTGAAACTCGGCTTCTGACTAACCTTGACATTTTTACTGTAGCTTCAGGTGACCCTCTGGTCCGACCCCCCCATTTTATAGGCTGCTAGGCCATACAGAAAGGTTAAAGGTCACAAAACATTTTAGGCCTTTTTCATTTTGGGCTCATTTAAAAGACAGAAACGTAGGCCAAAATTAATTTTTAGGCATTTTTCAGGTAATATATCAGCCCCTGAACAAGATAAATATCTGGAAATATTGGTGAGAGTCACTACTGATAAGTTGTAAGTGCTCACCACGTTTCGTCTTAATTGGACGATGGAAGGTGGGTCGAAAAATCCCTACATGCAAGCGCTAAAGGCCCGAAATGGAGCCTGAACTAGATTTGACCCCCTTTTTGGCTGCTGTTCGGCTTACGTTTGTCCGAAGCGCACACAACTTTTTTTAGTGCATCTGGGTTCTAGCCCAAACCATACACGTCAAAGTCATGCTGGTCGGAACCCTTTAAGGGTTTGTTTGGGCCGTGTGGGCAGTCTTCCCGCCTTTCTTGCCATGTGGTCTCAAATGTGGCAGTTTTTCAGCAGATTTTCACCAAACAAACTCAGATTCCGCATGCAGGCACCACCCCGAGCAAGCCCTGGCAATTTCGTAGCTGTAGCTCGTCGTTTGAGTGCTCTTTTGGCCTTGTGGGCACTCGACAGGCAGGTGACTGGGGTCATTCACTTTTATAGCGATTACTCCTCAACGGAACGGCCAATTGGCCCCATTTTCAGATGGTATGTCCCCATGGGGCAGCACAATCAGAATTCAGTGTCAAATTCCCAGAAACCCCCCAGAAAAAAAATCCTATGTCTGATTTCAGCCACAAAATAGGGTCTTGGACACATAGCTCCAAAAAAGACCTGATGATTCAGTTGGTCCAAAGTAGAAAAAAATTTCTGCTTGTGCCAGTGACCCCATCTTTTAGTATGTTGATCTGGGGCCTGGGACGAGTCCACCTGAGGTGGTGCATGCCAAAGTCTTTTGTGGTTTCCAAGATATAGCCCCCCAAAACCCACACTTTTCACTGTTAGGAGGTGGCATAATTTTGGTGCCATGCGTGCCATTGAGCTGCTTGAAAAGACTGAAACTTAGGCCAAATTGAAGGGTTAAGCATCCCTTTCCCCTGCTTGTTTGCTTTGTAACTAGGACAAAGGTGAACCTCATTAAAGTGTACCTTTAATATTCAGCCGCTGAAACTAGGCTTCTGATTAACCTTGAAATTTTTACTGTAGCTTCAGGTGACCCTCTGGTCCGACCCCCCCCCCCCCCCCCCCCATTTTAAAGGCTGCTAGGCCATACAGAAAGGTTAAAGGTCACAAAACATTTTAGGCCTTTTTCATTTTGGGCTAATTTAAAAGACAGAAATGTAGGCCAAAATGAATTTTTAGGCATTTTTCAGGTAATATATCAGCCCCTGAACAAGATAAAAATCTGGAAATATTGGTAAGAGTCGCTACTGATAAGTTGTAAGTGCTCACCACGTTTCGTCTTAATTGGACGATGGAAGGTGGGTCGAAAAATCCCTACATGCAAGAGCTAAAGGCCCGAAATGGAGCCTGAACTAGATTTGGCCCCCTTTTTGGCTGCTGTTCGGCTTACGTTTGTCCGAGGCGCACACAACTTTTTTTAGTGCATCCCGGTTCTAGCCCAAACCATACACGTCAAAGTCATGCTGGTCGGAACCCTTTAAGGGTTTGTTTGGGCCGTGTGGGCAGTCTTCCTGCCTTTCTTGCCATGTGGTCTCAAATGTGGCATTTTTTCAGCAGATTTTCACCAAACAAACTCAGATTCCGCATGCAGGCACCACCCCGAGCAAGCCCTGGCAATTTCGTAGCTGTAGCTTGTCGTTTGAGTGCTCTTTTGGCCTTGTGGGCACTCGACCGGCAGGTGACTGGGGTCATTCTCTTTTATTGCGATTACTCCTCAACGGAACGACCAATTGGCCCCGTTTTCAGAGGGTATTTCCCCATGGGGCAGCACAATCAGAATTCAGTGTCAAATTCCCAGAAACCCCCCAGAAAAAAAAGTCCTATGTCTGATTTCAGCCACAATATAGGGTCTTGGACACATAGCTCCAAAAAAGACCTGGTGATTCAGTTGGTCCAAAGTAGAAAAAAATTTCTGCTTGTGCCCTTGACCCCATCTTTTAGTATGTTTATCTGGGGCCTGGGACGAGTCCACCTGAGGTGGTTGCATGCCAAAGTCTTTTGTGGTTTCCAAGATATAGCCCCCAAAATCTAGTAACAGCTTATCTTGGGCTGCATGGTGGCGCGGTGGTTAGCACTGTTGCCTCGCAGCACGAAGGTTGCAGGTTCGAAACTCGGCTCGGCTGCGGCCTTTCTGCGTGGAGTTGCGTGTTCTCCCCATGCATGCGTGGGTTTCCTCCGGGTACTCCGGTTTCCCCCACAGATCACAACATGCCCTATAGGTTATAAATTGTAAGTCGCTTTGGGTAAAAGCGTCTCCCAAATAAATAAACATAAACATAAAAGACAGAAACGTAGGCCAAAATTAATTTTTAGGCATTTTTCAGGTAATAGATCGATCCCTGAATAAGACAAAAATCTGGAAATATTGGTGAGAGTCGCTACTGATAAGTTGTAAGTGCTCACCACATTTCATCTTAATTGTACGATGGAAGGTAGGTCAAAAAATCCCTACATGCTAGAGCTAAAGGCCCGAAATGGAGCCTTAACTAGATTTGACCCCCTTTTTGGCTGCTGTTCGGCTTACGTTTATCTGAGGCGCACAAAACTTTTTTTAGTGCATCCCGGTTCTGGCCCAAACCAAACACGTCAAATCTGTGCCTGTTGGAATGTGCGAAGGGTCCGTTTGGGCAATGTGGGCAGTTTTCCTGCATTTTTTGCCATGTGGTCTCAAATAGGCCATTTGTGCCTGTTCTAGTGTCAGTTTTAAGGATTTTTATTCATAGATAAGCTGTTACTAGATTATGAATAATAGAAATGCCAATAAAAACTCCAAATTATACAAACAAGTGAAACTGGAAAACTTAGAATACGATGCAATAATGCATTTATTTCTGTAATTAAAGTTAAAGTTCCATAGTCATCATCACACAATGATGAAATTCATCTCTGTATTTGACCCATCCCCAGGAAGCGGAGCGTTGGCTGCGCCCAGGAGTTATTCGGTAGTTTAGATAGAAAGACCATTTAAGTCTCTGGAATGCTTTAGAAGTGTTTTTGTATTTTCAGTTATTAATTTTAGTTGATTGGGGTCAGACAAAACTAAATATAAATTAAAACGACACATTATTTTAAAAGAAACTCATTTCATATTGAACGGGAAACAAAATTAATTTTATTCCTAATCTTGCCCACTCTTGATGATTATTTTTCCTGCTTTGTCCCAATAATGTGACTATAAATAACTTGACTCCCATTTCACGGGAATCCTGCAGGCCTCATGTGATCCACTGGGATCCCAAAAATGTGTCAGCCTCTACTCCACAACTTTAAAAGTAACAATAAAACAACAAAAAAAAACTATTAAAAGGCTTTGAAAAACATTCACATTGAAAAAGTAGCAAAAACAATAATTAAGTTGTAAATGTATTCATTATTTTCAATCATTTATATAATCAAAAATCATCTATTTAATTTTTGTTTTCAAGAACTACATGTTATATTTAAAATAAACTGAAGAACTTAGTTGTGCATATTTTCCTAATCAACTTCCTGCTTATATTCCAACATGAAAGGAACAGCCACCAAGAAAATCCAACCATTAGTTAATTAGAAAATTACCATCATAGACAAATAAAAAAAATACTGCCAAATACATATTTTAGCTGCAGTACTGAGAGCGTCCACTAGAGTGACTCAAGAGCAGTCCACACAGCCAATCAGAAAATTCCCTCCACCAACCAATCAAAAAAATCAACTGTGAAAGAAATGTTTTAGCTGCAGTACTGGAGTGTGTCCACCAGGGACACTCAAGAGCAGAGCAGTTCACACACTTTTCAGGGATTAACATCTCTATGGGGTCATATTGTGAAAATTAGTCAGAACACTTATAAGGACAAAGGAAGCTTCCTCTAGGGTTTTGGTTGTGTGGACCGGGTAAATGTCCACACAATGGTGAATGTCCACACAATGTTTGTCTCCCGTCAGGGGTTGGTCCACACAAACCCATAAAAACAAGAACACACACACACACACACACACACACACACACACACACACACACACACACACACACACACACTAATTAAAGTCTATTTTTTTTATTTCAAACAAAAGAGTATGTTAAAACCATAGACTGTACATACAGTTAAAACAGACAATCATCACATTAGGATACTGAATTTTGACATTGGATACAATTGACAAAATCAAATTTATTCAGCTCTTTTTAAACTAATGTTACATTAATGGTCTAAATGAGGTAATATTCTGGCACTCATAAGAAACTTGTAATAATAACAATATATTGTATCTTACATCACTGGATGAAATCACAAACTTTTTTCATTTACTTTGTGAAACATCAATGTCCCAAAAACATTTTTACTCACTAGAGACAAAACAGCACATTCTTGCATCTGGTTATTTAAAATCAGCAATACATTCTATTTCTTGTTTTAAAGCAGCAGTCCAGAGATTTCCTCATGTCCAAAATGTGGCACGGGGGCCATTTGTGGCCCTCAGACTTCTTTTGTGCGGCCCACAAGTGCATTTCTGGAATGATGCATTTTGTCTCTCCGGTTGGCTTTTCATGCAGATCAATACTTAGAGGTTTTTATGCTCAAATTTTTACTAAAATGCTTTTCTTGGGGCTTTTTTGAGGAGTACAAATAACAGAAAATCACCATAAAATATTTCTTAAAAAATATTAACAATAATACATTTTCTTGGCCCACAAGGGCAATTAAAACTACAGTCCAGAGTTTCCCCCTTTCAGGATTTTTTTCGGATTTTTTTCACAAATCCATACAAAGTGATGGTCTGACCCTGTACTGTGATATAATGGATGGAATACATCTGTTTTTATTTTTGCTAAGCCTGTCCCGTAGATCCCCATGCAATTTTACTTGAGTGTCGCTCAGACTTATACAACAGCGTTCGACATCCGCTTATGCACAGATGTAATTCACAGAGCATGTACAAACATTAGCGTACATACCTTGATAGATAGCGACATTTCTTATAGACAAGTAAGTATTTTATGTAATTATATATATATATATATATATATATATATATATATGCATACACATACATATGAATAATTGTGATACACTGTTTTTAGCTCTGTTGGCCTGCTAGATGCATGTTGCTTCCACAATCAAAGAAGTATTAAGAGGTGCAATACATTTTTACACCTCTAGATAGACCCACTGGACAAAAGAAACTCCAGATTTCTGCTTTAAGCGTTTTAAAGTGGGTCTTCTACGTTAAACCCATGTTGAAGCCCTTATATTGTAACAGGTCTAAACATTATATTTTCATTTAAAAAAAAAAGGAAAAAAGTGCCATTACTTTTCCAACTAGGCTCTCCTAGCTCATCCGTCTAAAAACAGCGCCTCTTGCTGGAAACCGGAAGTGAAGCTCAAGAAAAACGTTCCTGACTCTGCTCAGAAAACAAAATAATGTGCAGCAGCAGCATGGAGCTCCAGATTCTGAATCCGAACATACATTTATGTTAAATACTGAAGGTGCACAGCCATACAGTTTTGAGCCAGCAGCATGAGTTGATGGGAACAAGCTTAACAGAGATAATTAATTTAAACAATGAAAGAGCTGCTGAAGCGTGGGAACTTCAAAATGCACACAGACTTGCAAACGCTAACTGGTAAGAGCATTTTTTATTTAAATATATTTTGACAGAAACGTGTCCCCTGACATATTACATCAAACACGTTTCAATAAAAAATTTTTGTTCTCTAATTTACGAGTTTCTAGGGTAGTTAAATCACAATTGCTGCTATTTTCTGACTCCGAATACACCGCTATGTTGGCTTTCTAGTTACTAAATGCGAGCACAGCATTGGTCTAAAACAATCACAAGTGCCGCTTTACTACTTACGCTCAAAAGAAAGTAGTCCCACATTCAAACGGCGAATAAAATGTAGGTCTACTTTAGGTAGGAAGAAAGTTTACTTTTTAAGTTAGTACAAATGTACAATTTTTATGAAACAAACAGCTAGTTGCCACAAGAGGCGGGAAGGAGATGAAACAAAGACGAAATACGTAGAGGCAATGTTTAGCACTGGAGTATAATCACTTCACCGCCATATTGGATGGGCCCTTCATTCCAAAACCTAATCAAAGTTAACGCTCAGTGAGCAACTATGCCTTTTTTGTGAGGTCTATGGTTCCAACAACCCGCATATTATTGAAAACAGATTATCTTGGATTACTATTGACTTTTCTAGCCCAATGAATGCACTAGGGATGACTAGTGACCCATCCAACATGGCGGTCCACATTTACAGAAGCGCCGATAGAAAGCCCCAGTCCGTGTCGCCTCTACGTTTATATGACCTCTATGCTTCTCATATTCATTTTCTGTTGTGGAAATCAATGAACACGATGTCCAAACAGGAGCTGTTACAACCCCAACATAAACAAACATTAACCATCATTAAACTAGTTGAATCCGTGTTACCTCAAAAACTAAAAATAACTGGAGTCAAGCACGTCATCCTCTAAGTTTTCCTTGAGGTACATAATGAGGCGTGTGACTCCAAAACCGCGTGTTTTTTAGGGAAGCCTGCCCACTTCCCTTGATTTAGTATTTTTAAACATCTGCTGGTTATCTGAAAACCTGGAAAGATAACCAAAGTAACTTTCTGACCTTTGATTATTTTTTCTGCCATTTTAAAGAACATTAAAGATGCATTTTATGTTGATTATTTGTGTAATTGCGCTGCTGATCCAAATAAACACTTATAGCTTGGATTTCGTCCACCCTGCTTTTGTGTTAATAAATTATACAAAAAAATGAAAAGAGATGAACTTTGTGTGTGAGTTCAACTTTTCCATTGAGAGAAAATCTTAACACTTGAGCTGGAAAACATAGCTGTGGAAATTATCCACATTGGCGCTCCATGTTTTGTTTTTGGGAAACATGCACTTCTGTTGGGATTATAGGGTAGATGAAGTCAAATAATCATCTGGGCTGCTATCCAGGTGAGTTCCTGGCACAGATTCGATCTCTGTTGCAGAGATCGACTGGCTAAGCTCTCTCAGCGAACTCTTGGTTACGTTTAGACACGCGCTCTTTAGGATGTGGCGCACCTTCTTGCCGAGGAGTATGTAGAGCAGGGGGTTGATGCAGCTGTTGAAAAAGCCTAGACTGGTGGCAAGAGGAAAGCCAGATTTCAAGATGTGGTGGAGGTAAACCGAGGAGTGTATGGATAGCTCCATCAAGCTGAATGCATGGAAAGGTGCCCAGCACAAAAAGAAGGCCAGAATCACTGCAGTGACTGTTTTAGAGAAGCTTGACATGTGAACTGAACCACCAGAGTTTCTCACTTTGATTGATAGAAGTATTCCTGTCACACTTATGGCAGTTAACGGCAGAAGAAAGCCCACAGTGGTACGAATGGTCACTATTGTGATGTGGATCATAGCCGCTTTGTATCCGTTCTGCATGTGGAAGTTGTTGTAGCACAACACGTGGTCGTGAAGACGTAAGGTGTCACGAAAGATCAATGCGGGGCAGCTGAGGAGAGCAGCCATCGCCCAAATGCAACCGCACATGAGCCAGGCTCTGTGTACAGTGCGGTGTCTCCGAGACCAGTTCAGGTGGACCAGAGAGACATATCTGTCCACGCTGAGCACTGTCAGGAACAGGACACTGGCATACATATTCATCACAGACACAAAGGAGTTGATCTTACACATTGCCAGACCAAAGTCCCAGTGGAAATCCCTCAGGATGTAATCGATGTAGAAGGGCAGAAAAAGCACAAACACAAAGTCTGCGATGGCCAGATTGAGCAACCACACGCTGTTGGTGGTTTTTTTAATTTTGAAAGCCATCACCCAGATAACCATGCCATTGCCAATCAGACCCAGCATGATGGAAATGATGTAGACCACCACTGAAATAATGTGGATGGGTTCCGACTGCTGGTGGCCTACTTTCAGCTTCCCCAGGTCCTCGTACTCCAGATTACACGCATAGGTGTAGTTGTAGTCTTCTCCAGTGTAGTCTTCTCCAGAGTCACCCATTGTTGCAGGGATGTGTGCTGGAATAATCTGTTGGAAAGAAAAACTTCTGTTAAATGCTCTGATGCTGTTTCATTTATATTGATCCCTTACTTAAAGGTGCAATGGCAAATCTGCAAAACAAGCTAACTTTTAAACTCAAACACGATCACAGAACCTTCACTGTTCCCATCAGCTATGTCATCCCTAAGCCCCCTGATATGGGAACGATCATTGCTTCCGTAAACCAGACAGAACAAAACACCAGTAGCCGTTTTCTGCGTCCAAACATCTATTGCTATCCATGACGTCAAATGGTGTTTTTCATTTTGGGAATTTGGTAGTTTTCCAGAGCACACCTGCCAGTCATTTTGGGATTCTCCAGAACTCAAAGATGGTCAGTCCACCCCTGGTGGTGACACAGACAATTGGATGGTCCAATCGGTTTCGGACCGAGCCAGGGCTGAGATTTAGAGAAATGTGAGAGATCCACCTCTTTATTATTATTTTACTATCTGTTTTTTTATCTCTACAAAATACTATATTAGAACATTGTTAAAGGTATACTAAGCCGTTTTGCTTCCTTTTAGTACCCTCTAGTGTCCTTTTGTAGAAGCTAAACTCTCTCCCTGCCGTACATTTGTCTTTTTAACACCTTGATCTAACAGCTTGAACATCTCCCAGTGCTCCTAAGTGTCTAGAGGAGTGATTCATCACTAAATACCATGCTATGCCATAGTTTATTTATACAGCACATTTAAAACACAGCATGGAAGCTGCCCAAAGTGCTGCACAGGCTGGACCAAATCATGACCAATCAAAGCAAGAAAAACAGAGGATAAAAATACCATTCAATAAAATCAAATAAAACATGAGGAATACTAAGAACACATCAAAACAAAATACAATAAAATGAGTCACAGTCTAAAAGCCATATTGTAGAAGTGTCTTGAAACAAATCAGTTGTGTTCATGATCTAAAACGTGCAGGAAACGTGCTGAAGCCAGACAGCAGCGTCAGGTATGTCAGCTAAATTTTTTCTAAGTCCCAATAGACCGGAGAGGCAACTGTGAAGTTGCAAATGCGGTATTCTGGCCACAGGGGGCGATAGGAGCTGGGTGGCCTTTTATTAATCCTGTACAGGGTCATTTTCACACATAAGGGCTCAAGAAAAAGATTTAAAAATATGAAAAAGTGGCAGATTGTTCCTTTAAGAAGCAAGAAAAAAATTAAACTAGCCTGTTCTGCAGATTAGCCATTGCAGCTTTGACATGATCTCACCTCAAACTGGCTGTGAGTTTTCTTTTTCTTCAATAAAATGACTTGTCTTGAGCCTCTTTCCTGTCATCCAGTTCCTGTGTTGAAGCTAGGCCAGGGTGTGTCCTGGAACATTTTGTCAACATTCATTTTGGACAACAATGTGGAAAGATAGATGATCTCAAAAGAATATTTAGATTTATTTTCTGAAATGAGGAACTGGCATTGGCACACAGTGTATCATATTTCGGCATCAGACAGAAGAACAAAACACACATTCTGTTGTTTTTGTCAAGTAGAGAATTAAAATAAATCTGTGTGAGAGGCTTGTTCATCTCTTTGTGCCACAGTCAAGGTTAGATTATTTTGACTGCAATCATTCTGAAAAAAAAAACATTTTATAGTTTGTCTAAAAATAATTTTAAACATAACATAAAAATCTAATTTTCAACCAAACAGGAATACATAAATCAAGGTGAGAAAATAATTAAAAACACACTAAATAGAATAAAGCAACCTATACATGAAAGTATAAAACGCACAAATCAACTGTTGCTGCCATAATGTGGGTATTTGGTGTCAGGAACTGACAAATTACACACACACACACACACACACACACACACACACACACACACACACACACACACACACACACACACACACACACACACACACACACACACACACACACAGTTGCTAATATTCTTTATTTCTTTAAGTTTTCAGACGAAAAGTGAGTCACTCACCTCTTGTTTTAGATGAAATCCCGCAGCAGCTCTGCGGGTTCCTTCCTCATGCGGAGTCTCGTCTCTTCTCTCGGCTTCATAAAGTCTTTTCTCGCCTGCTCGTGAAGCCTGCTGCTGCGCCCCAGACCGAGCTGCGTGTGGAGACGCTGTTGTTCAGAGGGAGCGCCAGGCTGACGCGTCAAACCTCAGAGGGAAGAAAACTTATTGGTTTAAACGCGAATGAAGGCAGCTTTCTCTCTGGCGACTTTTCCCACACCTAACGGGACGCTGTCCTGCTCGGACTGTACCAAGAAAAGTTTGGAACGTCGGGATTTTTTTCTTCTTTGTGCGCGTGTCTTCCAGACAAAGAGTTGCTGGAGCTTCGACTGTTTTTCTTCCTGTCAACCCCCCTTTTTATTCAGTCAGAAGCGACTGAGAATGATTTTGCCTTAGTATGCGTTTTCTTAAAAAATAAAATAAATAAATAAAAAACACTTTAGGCGTTACTAGAAAATTTTAGTAACACATAAATTGACCAATTTCTCCAATTAACACCAACCACCATCAAAAAATAAAAGGAAAAACATTTTCATGTCGTTTGCTAGCCTGGCAAGCCATCCTATATTTGAATATAAATACAGAAAACAATCAATCAGCAGTGGCAGCTATGATTTCCCTTTTATAGTCCATTATAAAAATTCAAACGTTGGGAAATTACTATTTCCATTTTCCAAATTTTACAGACATTGTATTTTATTGCATTTTATTTTTTAATATATTTTAAAGGTGTGGTTTACTCGTTTGTTCAGTACATTTGCCGTGTTCTCTAGTGAAAATCAATGCCTTATGAATCATAAAATAAAGAGCTATGATGCTCCTGGTCTGAGATGCAGAAGTTCGCTGGTGCATAGATGGGCTGAAAAATGCAGGAAGCCTAATTTATACTTCTGCGTCGGGACAGACGCACGCAATGCCATTATCCTTCCGAAGGCACACCATTGTCCGTCCGAAGGCTCTCCAGCAGGCTCGCAAGGACGGATGGAGTCCAGCTCTCTTTTCTAAACGTCCGTCCGACTAGAATGAGAACGCAAGCTTGTGATTGGTCCGGACGCCAGCATCGCCATTGCGCCCTCAAAAACATAAAAAGAGCCGAAGATATCTAGTGGCAGACGTGGAGCAGCATGAAGAATCCCAAGCATTTTATTTGTGGATGGAAATGATGGGAAACGTGGGTTTAGAGGTGGTGAGCACACAAAGAGGGGGAGGAGGATGAGAGACAAACTCGTCTAGGTTAAAAAGTCTCTTAAATGCAAAAAAACCCCACAATATAAACAGTTAATGCACTATCTTGGACCGGATACATTGCAACGTCACTATCACCAATTACTCTCTCTCCTCGCTGCAATTTTTTTTTCAAAAGCCTTCCTGTGGGCGGAAACGAGCCAAGATGGGCAAGGCCATGAATTCAAATTCTGTGTGACATAGATATGTGAGGATTTTCCAATCCTAGAGTTTCATCGTCTATTTTCCACCAGAAACGAATACAGGAGATACTGTAGATGTAAGAGACTGTTTTCATGTTCAGCCTGCATGAACACTCAGTGACTAATTATAATCAGAAATGTAAAGCGGGCAGCAGAGGGCGACAACGTCCTCTGCTGCCCGCAGATAAACGGAGAAGGAAGTGACGCCACCATCAGCGTCAGCCTGACGAAGTTTGCAGCCGCAAACGAAACTTTGCAGGTAAATAAAACCTTTCTGTGTTTTAAAAAGAACTAAAAGATGGAATTAGAATTTCAACACAGCAAGAACACACCAAAGATGTTCAAAGAAAAATATGGACAACAAGGGACAAAGGACTTCCGCCGTTTGGAACGATAACATCAAAAACGCGCACGTCTTAGGAACCACCTTCGCTTCAATTTAAGATGCCGGGACGAAAACTTCACGCCAACAAGCAGCTAAAACCACCGATCCGGACCAAGACAGCACAAAACATAATGGAAAGAGCACAGAGAGCACTACTCAAAGAAAGGATAAGAAACGTCATAACCAAACAGAAGCAAGTAGAAGATGAACTGGAAAGAAGACACCTGGACTTAAAAAGGAATTAAAAACTTGATAAACAAACAGAGGAACTAATTAAAGGACACATGATGGAAATACAGGAAAAAGAGTTCATAAAAGTAAAAGAAAGACACATAAAGAAGTTAAACAAACTCATCAACAAGAAAAAGAGGGGGGAAATACAAGATAACGCCACACAAAGCTCATGGGTATGTAATATTTCACAATACGAACTAACAGGAGCAGAAGAAAGCATATTGAAAAAAGGTTTAAACTTTGCAGTAACACCAAAGAAAATACCATATGATGAATTCATTGTAGCAACAGAACTCCATGAGGCCAGCTGTGGTGGCCTCATGGAGGGGGCCATCGACTAGCACACTGCTGCTAACCACTAAAACATTCTCCCTCTCCTCATAATAACTTTTTGCGTTCCTTGACGTTGGATGTGCTACTGCTAGTTTATCCGTTTAATTATAGATCCACTAGGATAAATACAATAAAGTTTATCTCTCACCAAATAGAATATTTACTAAGACATCACGGTGTAGCTATGGACGCATTGCTTGTCTTTGTGTGTGTGCGTGTGTGTGCGCGCGCGTGTGCATGTGTGTGTGTGTGTGTGTGTGTGTGTGTGTGTGTGTGTGTGTGTGTGTGTGTGTGTGTGTGTGTGTGTGTGTGTGTGTGTGTGTGTGTGTGTGTGTGTGTGTGCCTGCTCTGTCTTCTCGATCCCCAGTGAGTCGTGGAGGATGGCTGCTTATACTGAGCCAGGATTCTCTGGAGGTTTCTTCCTGTTAAAAGGGAGTTTTCCTCTCCACTGTCGCTTTATGCTTGCTTAGTATGAGGATTGCTGTAAAGTCACTCACACTTGTCAGTGACTTGATGCAATTTGCTGGGTTCCTTATATAGGAAATATTATTTCTGATTGGCTTAATGAACTGACCTGAATTGGAATGTTTATTACCGGTATGTGAAGTGCCTTGAGACAACTCTTGTCGTGATTTGGCGCTATATAAATAATCTTGAATTGAATTGAACTAGCATGCCAACAAATCACAGATGAGGGAAAGAAGAACTTAGAAATAACGTAGTTAGGACATTAAAAAAAACTGCCAAATTCAACACAGCAATATTACAAAAGAACAACAATCAGCCATGACAGCTTTATCCAAAAATGAACAGATAATTATTCTACCCGCAGACAAAGGAAGAACCACAGTAGTTATGGACAAAGGAAAATATAAACAACAGATGAAACAGATGTCAGAGGACAAAAATACATACAAAATACTTAAAAAAGACCCAACAGAAAGCATTAAGAAAATATGAAAAAATTACTGAAGCCACTACAAGAAAATGGCAAAATAACAGAAAATATGTACAAACACTGGATTCCTACAGCAAACATAACACCAAGTAATCAACTTTCAGATTGTCAAAATAATAAATATGTGCAACAGCTAAACTTGTAAAACACAGAATAATTGTTGCATTTGCCTCAAACTGGTTCTATAATATTCTGTGAACAGATTTAGAAAAATGTCTGATTTGCTTTCATCTGAATTTATCCTGCAGATCTAATGGCTTTTATTTAAACCATCCACTTAGTGTACACACCCACATCTTCATGTTTTCAGTTTCCTACTGGCACACGGGCCTGTGATGAGGACCCGTTTCCTCCAGGAAGACAAAATGGACACCACACAAGATTTCCGCGGCTGATTTGCTCATCTGAGACCTTTGGTGTTTTTATGGGAAATCTGTGATGGCTTGCAAAATTCTGTAATAAAGGGTCTGATCAACTCTCTGATCTTTGCTTTAAAAAATAATAAAAATGTTTTAATGTTTTATTTGTTCTTAAACTTAGAGTTTTGCTCTCTCCTCATTTAACATTCTGCCTTGAGTCAGATGGTTTTGTTTATAAAAAAATAAACTCGTGCAATCCTGTGAAAACTGATGACTGCAGTGTAAATGTTATTTTTCAAACTTTTCATTTTTTACTTCCTTTACTCAACTCCCTTTGCCCTTCTCAGCCCTTCTACCTCGCCCCCTTCATGCACGTCTGCAGTCATGATCCTTATCACCCATTATTTGATTTTTTTTGTAAATGCAACTTTCCTTTAACAACTTACATAACTAGACATACATAAAATAACAGACTTTCTTTTTAATTTGATGTTTTCATCCTCAATTTCCTGCTGGCTGTGAGCCAGAATGTGAAGGAACAGGAACATTCCAGGGGTTATTAGGAACACCTCTGGGTCCTATTTCTGCCAAACAAATCACATTGAAACAAAAAACAAGTTCCAGTAGCTCCAGCTGCCTCAGAGCTTAAGAAACATTTAAATTAATAAACAAGAAAATCCGTAGGCACAAATCAATTTAAAGCTGCAGTCTTTTCAAATAGCACCATCTAGAGGCTGACAAATGTAGTGCACCCTAAACCGTTCTCATCACTTCCATATGTACGGCCAAAAGCAACGCCTCTCATTTGTGAACGTGCACCTTTAGCTGTCCAACAGAGCTAAGACATATTGTTTTACAGTCATTATTCTCACTGCATGTTTATTCACATATATTGTTTTTTTAAAGGCTTACTCAGTATGCCCTCAAATGCTTGCGTCCGCTCTGACTGACTTTTGTATATAAGTGGATGTCTAACGCTAATGGCTAATGCTGAATGGTGGTCAATTCAAATTGCATGGGGCTCTAGAGGACCGAAGATGGTTTAGATGGTGATTGCATTAAATCACATTACAGGATCAGACTGTCACTTTTACGGATTTCTAAAAACAAAATAATCATAATTCCAGAAAGGGGGTAAACTGATGCAGATGCAGCACCAATCTGCCTATTGATCTCACGCTCCATTTTTCCCTCATTCTTGAACAAGAAATACCGAGATACTTAAAGAGCAAGTAACACCTAAATAAACTCCCCCCCCCCCCCCCCCCCCCCATGGAATTTTTGGGGGGCACCCCTGCTTCTTGGTGGGAACCAGGCCTCCACAATGCGGCTCAAAAATTCAAGCAATCCCGGAAGTACCATACATTGCAGTAGTTATATTAATCAATATCCCCTCCCCGCAGCTCGACGGGGAGGGGAGAACCACAAGCCGGCCGGCAGCCCGCGCAGCAGACAGGAGACGCGATCAGACGATGCGCCGAGCTGCGGGGAGGGGGGAACCGGGTGGAAAACATCGGTCTCCCGAGAGCTCCACAAGCCCATAGTCGGAACCCAGCTCCACCAACATGTTATATTTCAACCCATTTTCTAAAGTGCAGCATTATGTTAAATGCACTGGGTTTTACCCTATTACATTTAAATTACATGGTTAAACAGTACATGTTAAAATCCAAGCTCAGCTCTGCAGTGACCTAAAATACATAAATATAATTTTACTTACCGAGACTCCTTGGATGCTCTATTAGTGCAATTAATGCCACAGCAAGTCATTTTGTCCAACAATTGCACAAATAATGTCCAAAAAAGAATACACAAACACAGAGACTAAAAATCCCGGAACAGTTTCCAAGCCAGACCGAGGCTCTACTGAGGCCTTTCCACGGCTCTGTGGTCACGTGGGTCTGATGCTCATTAATTATACAGAATTTTAGGCTTTTAATACACTTAAACAGAAGAGAGAAAAAAATTCACCCCCCTCAGAGTTGTCATGAGTGTAAACTGGATCATTTAAACAAAAAACATGTTTTGGTACCAGGCTGTAAACGTGTTTATTTCTGCTGTGAAATTGGTATTTTTAACATGGGAGTCAATGAGGATTTGCTGGCTTCTGACACCAGCCCCCAGCGGATGAGGGTTGAACTGTAATTTTTGGTTCTTCCGGGTTGGCCTCAATTTTTGAACCGCATTGTGGGGGCTTGGGCGCATCTCTGTCTGCTGCGCGGGCTGCATGCTGGCCGGCTTGTGGTTCTCCCCTCCCCGCAGCTCGGCGCATCTCTGTCTGATCGCGGCTCCTGACTGCTGCATGGGCTGCCGGCTTGTGGAGCTCTGGGATGGAAACCTTTCTACCCGGTTCTCCCCAGCGGCAGCTCTGCGCATCTCAGATTGCAGCGGCGCTTGTCTGCTGCGCGGGCTGCTGGCTTGTGGAGCTCTCGGGAGACCTCTGTGTTCCACCCGGTTTTACCCAGCGGTCAGCCCGGCGTATCTCTGACTCAGAAGCTCTGGTGTTGTGCACAGTTAACTCCGGTTGTAGCTAGGTTGCTACCTCCGTTAGCTTAGCTCCCACCTCCGCGTTAGCTTTGGGTTAGCTTCAGGTTAGCTTGTAGCTAGTTCGACCAGGTGTCGTCAGTTGATCCCAGCCTTACAGCCCCACCCTCAGCTCCTCCTCTCTTTCCTTTTGTGGAATTGTCTGGGCTTGACGGAACCTGTGACACGGTCAAAATGGCGGTGGTGGCCACCTCCCATTTATCTTCAAAAACGTGTTATTGGAGCTATGGAAACCCATTGTCCAATATTTATATGTCGATGGTGGGAACATAAACGTCTTGTCTGTTGCTTTTTTATCATGTCAGATACAATAATTATAATTATAGGCTTATATTTCAGACCTATGATTCCACCCCCTCCACCACCACCCCCACCACCACCACCCCCGTGGCTGTCCGGTGTTTGTGTCCGTCTGTGAGGAGGAGTCTGCTGCTAGACTTCCAGTAGATACAGTAGCAGCCTGGCCACCGCCTTCTTTTGGCTCCCCCTCCCCCTCGTCCTCCTCATCTTCCTCCTCTTCAGCCGCTGCTGCAGCAGCACAGCCCGGTGTCTCCAGGATGGATCCATGAAGAAAGCCACTTCCTCCCCGCACGCACGACACCTCCCCCGCCACGATGGGCCGCGACCAAATAAAAACCTTGTTATGCTGATATATCTGGATATCTCAGCAATCAAATATGAATCATGCATTTGATATTTCTGGCCACTTTGCTCGTCAGCGTCCATTCGCCGGGGCTTCATCCATCACTGGCTTCGTCGGGTACGTGTTGTAACAGCTCACTGCCTTTAGTTTGTTCCAGTATGTCGGATATTTTTTGGACACTTTTGTTGCACCAGATGCGTCTTGACTTTCTGTATTTGATTAAAATTGCGCCCAAAATGATGCCGCGTGCGCTCAGATATGAGCGTATTATCCCGCACAGGAAATTATCCTGCTTAATATGCAGGAGCCCTGATGGTGCATGAAGGCAGACTACAGCACCTTTTGTTCTGCTGGTGGAAAACAGGGCTGTTTATTAATGTAGTGGTCACATTATGACTAAACAGCACTGTGACTATTTTGGAGACTATATGTAAACTAATTCCTGCTATACTGCACAAACAGAAGCTATTGCCTATAATAATGCTGTGCATTCAGATCACCCTGACTCATTCATATCGGTCATATAATGCATCTGTCTGAGCCGTTTCATGACGAATAAGAGCTTTCCTGGTTTGGAAACACTGCATTCATGCATCTGGAAATTCCTTTGCAGTTTCACCCGGAGTCGAGGACGAGGCTGAGAGGGACGCAGAGGAAGCATTGCTAAAGCAACAGGCAACTGCAGCACCTGGCACAGATAGCACAACACACCATGCAGAGGAGCATGAGATCACTTACCCCTCACGGTTGATCTACTATCTGAACGAGGATACGGAGAGCACCTACCATGACCTTAACACATGGGCCAAGAACCAAGCCACAGCGGACCAGGTGAGCCGGCCCTGGAGCAGAAAGTTATGGGGCCCTTGAAGTTGTGAGTTAACTTATAGCATGGGACAAACCAGTCATTTTCCTGTATAAATGTTCTCAGAGATCTTTAACACACTGTAAAATCAGATTAGTTAACTTTAAAAAAAAAGCTAACCAATTGCACTTAAGTATACAAATTTTGCCCCTTGCAGATTGGTGGGGTCCAATATGCGCCTTTTTCATGTTTTGCTTGGCTTCCTCTCAGTTTTTTGACAACTCCTGCTGCAGTGAGCCTTCTTGTAAGCATGTTCAGAGTTTTGGCTGAAATGTTGTGTTTGTTATTTATCTTCTTTTATTTTCAATCCTCTCGTGTTCCTAACGGGGACAAATGGAGTCCTCTGCTGGCCAGAAATTGCACAAAAATGTTTTGTTGGTTCAGGTAGGTACCAGTGGAAGGTCCCTCGGCCTGTTTTATGTAACAACTGATTGATGGAGCAAGTGCTGGAGTGGAGTTTACTGTGCTGGTAGCTCATATAAAGGCTAGCAGGTAGCTTTTGCAGCTCGCCGACTGACAATAAAAAAGCACAATAAGAAGAAGAAGTTTGTCTTTTTTTGGCGTCATTGCGAAGTCTGGAAGTAAAAGTAAGAGTATAATATTTTTAGAGTTGAAGAAAGCATGAAAACTAGACAAAGAGAGTGAACATCGGTGCCGCCTACACTCGTTTCCAGGAGCTGAAGGTGGCTACGACATCATGGACTGATGGTGACCTAGCTTTGTTTACAACAGTTGTAATTCTGCTGTCAACCAGCAGGGGGAGAAGTGGAAAAATATTAATTGTTACTGTGCAAATTTGTCTCATGCCTTTTTTAAAAATTAAATTTAAAAGAAAGTTAGAAACAGGCCTTTTTTGGTGGATTATGTTGAAAAGACTTTAAACATTTTCTTTTTTTTTTCTCTCTTCTTCAGCCCGTCCACCTCGCCCAAGTCAGTTTCCAATTAGAGGCATTTGGCTCCAGGTTTGTTCTGGATCTAAAACTAAACAAGTAAGTCCTCGTCTCTTCTGCACCTGCGCTACAATGATGCTCCTTGTTCCATGCTCATCAATCCCATATTATGAGCAATAATAACTGTTTTAAAAGAATAAAATAATTTATTTTCAGAATCTGTTCCAACCACTTGAAAGGAACTATCTGAATGTTATCTTTGTTCATGCAGCTATGGAGGGTTTGTGTTTTCTGCAAAGTCTGCATGACCCTGCAGGGACACTGTTGCCTCATTTATGGGAAATGCTTCAGCTGGGAGACAAAAAGCGTCTTTAATAATTCAAAATAGTTCTTCCAGTTAAATGAGATGTTAAAAGCAGCGAGTGAGGATTAGAAAGCAGATGAAAGTCAGCATTGATAGGCATGCAAGGGTTTAAGAATCCTGCTAAAATAAAGTCAGTCTTTTTTGTGCAAACTATATTTGGCGTAACATAAATGATTAAGACTGTGAATGAAACTTCTGCTGTTTTTATGCAGATTCAGCTTTGAAATTTTCAAGACAGGACCAGAAGTGGAGTTTAACTACATGCTTTATAGCTTATTGATTCCCATCTGGTGGTAAATGCTGTGTGTTAAATCTCAGTTCAGTCATCTATTTGAATTTAGCTGCAGATAATGTGATGAGGAATACTCAAACTTGCTGTGTCAGCATGCTGGTTTTTAAGTGCTACGAGTGGTTCTGGCGTTACCGCTGGACAGAATCGTTTTGATGCAAAGAGACATTTGCTCTGTGGTCGGCCATCACCGTCCTCTCTGATATCAATTTGCTCCATTAAGCCAGTCTGCATGCACATCATATTTTCCAATGTCTTCACCGGATTATAAGCTTTGTTTCCATGTAAACGATCGGTTTAGGCTTCAAGCTTTGAAAACCTGCAGAATTTTGTTGTAAAATCTCAAAATCTACCTGTGATATTTTTTTGGAGGTTCCATGTCGTGGAGGAAAACAAAAACAACTATCTCATCTTGTTCCCAGGCTGTGCAGGCGCATTAAACGAATGTTATTCTGTAAACTGCCTTGCTCAAAACAGCAGCGGGGCTTGTGACCTTGAATTCCAGCTGTTTGTGTGTAGGTTATCTGTGAGATGCTTTTTTTTTTTGGTGAGAACAGCGGTTTGAATTCTGCTTAGTGCTGTTGCTGCTACAGAACTGAGCTAAATATAGATAGGACCTGCAATCTGCCAGTGCATGCCACTTTATCTGCTCACCTCTTGCTAGCAACCGAATACAATACTTGCTCTGGAAGAGCTTTAGCTTGCTGCTACTGCCACAACCACACAGCGTGTTCAAAGGGAGGAGTGCGTTGTTGATTTTCAAGGTTACCCAGAAAAAAATAAAGTGCCACTGTGGCACAAAAAAAATCACATCCTCTTGAAGTCAGCTAACCGATTGGGTGTAATGTTAAGGGGATGCTGAGTCAGTCAGCGGGAACTGACAGGAGGACTCTGTTGTGTTCAAGGTGAAGCCAAGGCCTCACAAACATTTTTCACATCAGGCCTCATAGGTACCGTCACTAGTTTCTGTTCCTGTTTTCCTGATGTTTCTTAACCAGAGAAGCTTGATTTAGGAGAGAAATAAACAACGCAGCGTTTTTACACGCCATCAATGTGCTAGCTTGCTCATTTGACAGCACAAATCTTGTTCAGCTTGTGGAGAGTGTGGTGGGGTTACACCATCATCATCTTTAGGAGCACCGTAATCTGCCGGGTCGCATTTAGACGGGGATGTTTGTGTAGACTGACCCAGTCACCATGTGGTGTTGGCTGTTCTTGCTCGTGCGCCAAACAAAGTGGCGCTCGCAGCATTCACGGCCACAATATGCGAGTCAGAGCCTTCAAAGGCAAGCAGACAGAAACCCTGGTTGTCCTCCTTGGGACTGCACCACATTCCTCCACTCTAACTAAACCCAGTGTTTGTTTTTGTCAGTGACCTGCTGTCTTCTGATTATGTGGAGATCCACTATGAAGATGGGAAACCAGTTCTCTCAAAGGTACGGCTAAACGGTCTGTTATTTGTTGTTTTGATCTTTTTAGAGACCTATCAGTTGGATAAAGGTAGGAATGATAGAGATGATTTTAGGGTAGAGGGTGGTGAAAGCTGGATCCTGCTGCTGCTGCTGCTGATTCAGACACAGGGCTGGGCTGGGTATACTGGAGCTGAATCAGCAGGGTTTCACTCCCTTGCAGCCTCTTCTGCTGAAACTCTGGTCACATGACGAGGGAAAGGAAAGCTCTCTGCAGTATCAGTGCAGGCTGAGATGGATGACGCGAGACACACACACACACACACACACAAAGCAGCAGAAAGTAAATGATGTATAGTGAGGAGAGTGTCCTCCTCTCACCCGGAGATCGTAGCCAGAAGCTGTGATGTGGTGTAATACTTTCACTTCTTCACAAGCACAGATGTAGACCCCTGCAGATAAACCAAAGGAACATCTGTGACTAAAGCTGCTACACTTCTAGACCTGCTTACAACTTTTGATTAATTAGTTGCTATTGTATCTCTTAGCAAAATATCTCATGATCCGTAGGGTGGGTTTTCTCACAAGTCTTAGAAAATAATCACTGGGTGTTCTTCTACAATCGCTTTGGAGATGATCAGATCCAAGATGAAAGCCACAGCTAATCAAAATTAATGCATTAATGTTCTTCTAGCTTTGCCTAAATGAAATTCAAGCTCTTTTCAAGCACTTTGAAGGGAATATTTCTAACATTTTATGCATGCATAAGCAGTTCATACTGAAAAATCTGTCAAAAGGGCTACATTTAAACATTTAAAGTATTTCTTCACAGGTTTTCCATGTGTATTCTTATTTTTCTTGGTCAAAGTTTGCATTTGGACAAAGAAAATGTTCAAACACCTAACATAAAAAGTCCTGCTGTAAAGATAACAGCTACAATTTAGTTGGAAATGTTTCTTTGATTGGATTAAATGGCAGTAAACATAAACTCAGAACAATTATTTGAAATCACTGTGCTTTTCAAAACCTTGACAATACCACATCAAACCTTAAGCTTTTTCCAGCCTTTGATTCATAATATCGCTAGTTTTGATATTTGTGCATGCCCTACATACCATATTATTGAGTCATTTAGTGAATTATCTTTGTTTTGCTGCTGCATTTCCGCTGTCTTCTTCCCCTGCAGGGAGGTGAGCACTGTTACTACCACGGCCAGGTGAGGGGGAGCGATAACTCCCAAGTGGCCTTATCTACCTGCAACGGGTTGCAGTAAGTTAACCGCAGAGCTGTGTGCATCCCTGAATATGCTCCGATTTCTACTCCTCTGTCCTCACTGGCCTGCCATCCTCTCTCTTTTCTCCCCCCTCCTCCTGCCTTCCAGCGGGATGTTTGACGACGGAGTCCACGTGTATCTAATCGAGCCTTTGCACCAGACTCATTTAATCGTGAGTTATTCTATTTGCAGTCGACCGCGAAATGTCAAGAGACATTTCCTGCAAGGCTTCTGGTGTTTTGTTGTTTATACTTGAGGATATCCTGATCCTGTGTTTTTAAAGGAAGGAGGTGAAATATTGAAGATACAGTGTTTGAAGGGAATGAAATCCTCTGCTTCTGTCTGGATTCTTACCCTTTATGATTTTGTTTTAGTCAAATGAACGCCCAGCAGCCGTTCCATTGATTTGAGTATGCAGTTGCTATTGATGCAAAAATGTTTCATTCTCCTGACCACAAGGTAACGAGCCCTGGGAATGAACAATGAAGCTGTGGCTGCAGCTTTATTAATGTATGTCCACACATGTATTTGTGAGATCAAAAAGCATGAAGGACTTCTTGATTAAATGTCTCTCAGTCAGTCTTAGGTGGGTGTATTGAGACGGCATGTCTCCTGAGTGGAGATCCGTTCAGATTTTACAGGAGAAAAACTTTTTTTTGACTCAACTTTGGAATAAGTGATAAAAGGGACAAACAGCAATCCTCTTGTTTTAGTTTCTTCACCTCTCAGGGATTTATTGGTCTCTTAGATCATTCAGATCCAACGGTTATTTGACCAAAAAGAAGAGAAAACAAACCGTGCACAAAGGCTGCAGGTTGTATTTTAGTTTGTGCATTTGAAACTAATTTAATTTACTCGTGTGTAACAAGCTGCAACACATCATCCCTCTCATGAGTTAATTATGTAAAAGTCTTTTCAATAACATCTGTGCTCAAGCTACTTTACTCATTTTTCCATTAATAACTCATAGTTCGGATTTTATAATCTATTTGTCAAACTTTACTAACTTTTTGTCAGGTAATAATACTTTCTGACCCTCATGAGTTCTGTGGTTAAGGGTAACTTGTGTTTTTATGTTTATTTATTAGATTTAATCATCTTCTTTAATCATCTGTGAAACCCGATGTGTTTTTGGTTCAAGGTTTCTCAACAAGCTTAATTGGATCAGAAACTTTTGTTCCATGCACATCATGTAATATCGTCATTATTCCCCTGAGGAAAAGAGTTAAATGAAATTGATTTAGAGGAGAAGATTGATGCACTTTTTTGCAAGTGTGACAAACATGAAGCCGCCATTTAGATCAGCTCAAATGAAAGAAACTAAAGCAGAAACAGCTGCTTGGCACTAATCAGGAAATCAGAACCCCTTCATCCTTTTCTGCTTGAAGTCTTATTCACAGATATTTTTTATTTATTTTCAATATTGAAGTAATTAGATAGAAATTACATTTGTGTAGGAAGGACATTTGCTAATGGGAGGGAAGGCTTGAGTCATGGCCCGTCTTTGGTTCTACACTGTAAGAAATCAAACGTTGTGTTTACTCACCTCGGTTAAACCTAGTTACTTAATTGTAAATATTAGAATACATTTACTTTTATCATAACAATAACAGCATATATTATTATTATTATTAACATATAAGCAGTTGACATAACTTAGTTAAGTAAATTTAACATTTAATTTTTTACAGTGTAAAAAATACATGAAATGAAAATATTCTAAACAAAATTTGACCAGCAATAATAATTTAATACCGTTTAAACATTAAATCCAATGCATTATATGCATTTTGACTTAAAAGAAAGCACAGGCACACTATCAAGGGCTGCATTCCATTTCGAAGAAGTCCCGCATGTTAGTGGTCCTAAATAACAATCAGCATGCACAGCTGCAGATATATTGTGTGTTTTATGTCATTTAAGTTAGTGCAGTAAAAACTCTCCCTCTCTCTTTGTGTCCACATTCAGTTCTGTTGGTTTTATATGTGATTCCTTTCCACAGGACACAGCTGCAAGGCCTCACAAGCTGAGACGAACAGCCTCGGGTCCGCTGAGCGGTGATTCAGAGGAGCAGGGTAAAGCCTGGGTCTTTGTCATCCATCATCTTACATAAACTCGCCTCCAACCAGCACCACACCTCTCAACCCAGACTTTGTTTTCCAAATGAATGTGAAACACAAACAAAGAAACATATTTTTATGTTTTTCCTAGCATGGGTTTAATGATGTCAGATCCAATGTCAGTAAACGGGCTGGATTTCATTTTTATTTTATGCTATGTGCCAACAGAGAAATGATGAGAATTTTTTTTTCTGGGGAAAGTGTTATGTTCAAACCTCATTTTTGTTGGCTTTCATGCAAACACAAGCCAATGTTGTAAAAACATGAAATGGGTTGAAAAGTCCCTGTTTTTCCTGTGTGCATCTGCAGTGAAGGAGGAGCAACTCCTCTCAGAGCTGGATGAGTTGTCCTGGCTGAAGCGCAGAAAAAAGCGAGCAGTAAGTCTCTGGCGCATCCTCCCTCTGAAATGATGCAACGTTTTTCCTTCGCCCTCTCTCGTGTTTACGATGACGAATAAGAGATTAGTCTGCATACGGTCAAACACGCTGTGGTAATACGACCTCAAATGATATGTTCTGAAGCACCATGTCATTGTTTTGATTTTGCAGATGCCTCGCAGCGTGTTTGAGGAGATGAAGTATTTAGAAGTCATGATTGTCAGTGACCACAGTATGGTATGTGTGTTTATTGTCTTACAGAACGCAACGGCATTCAATTCCTATTTTAGCTTCTTATATTGTTTGAAATTTTTAGCTGTTGATAAACATTAGATACCCAAATTTTTCATGATACCACCCAGGAATGAGGTGTTTTCCATTGTGCAAAAAATGTACCACTGAAAATAAAGGTGCAGTAAAAAACAAAGTATATAGCTGCAGAGACCAATAATGGGACGAAGCTTGCTAGATACAGAACACCGTACCAATTGTAAAGCACGGCGGCGGTAGTGTCATGTTGTTGGGATACTTTGCACCTAAAGTAGTAGAGGTTATTATTCCAAAGGGAAATCTTGAAGCAATGTTAAAAATGATAATTCACAACTTTACGATTGGACTTCTGTTAATAGCTGTAAAGCTCTTTGAACACCCTCAGTTTTTGGAAACACAAATTAGTTACTAGCAGAATAATAAGCTAACAATTCAATTTTACAACATTTATGTTAGAAAATTGGAGTTTCCAGCCACAAGTGCTACAGTTGTAGCCTGTTAATCTAGGCCAACCGCAGCCAAAGCAACATATTTTGCTCTGTGGGGTGGTGTAGCCACGCTCCACTGTAGCCTCAGCAAATCTACCATTGGCTCGATTAAGTTTAGGTCCGGCCAACCACAGGGCTATAAGTTTGTAGAGAGATGTTTGGCAGGCTCAACACCAGAAATGCAATTAAGCAGAACTACAAAGATGGCAGCGACTCAGAAATGGCATTCTTGAAATGACTTTGGTGTTAACTTTGGACAATTTAGACTTGGGCTTTTCTTTGAGATGTGGGCAGATAGAGGTTCTTAAGTCATTTATGCTTCTTCAGTGCTATATGGCAGACTGCCTCATTGACTTATGGGCCATTCCCATCTGTACCGGGTCGGCCCGGGCCGGGTAGCCCCAGTCGGCCCCAGCCTGGCCCGGTTGATTCCACACATCCTTGTCTTAAGCCCATGTGGGCTGATTCTACCCACCAATCAGAGGCTTGCTCTAATGGAAGGTGTGAATTTGCTGTCAGCAGTGGGTGTGTTGGCCCTGGTCGGCCTGAAGCAGACCCCCTCGAGAAGAGGGCTGAGAATGAGCCTTGGTTGGCCCGTAAAAATACCAGGCCACCCAGATATGTAAACAACCTACGCTACCCGGCCCGGCCCGACCCGGTACAGATGGGAATGGCCCATTATTGTCATCACTATGGATAGGTCCCATTGTTTGTTGCTCTGATTGGTTCTAGCATCGTCCAATTGCGTGCAGAGACAGTTTGAAAGACAACCATATATTCCACTCCTATGACCGAACTCCGATTACGGGTTAATGTTAAAGTCAAGTTAAAGTTCCATAGTTGTCACACACACACTGGTGTGTGGTGAAAATTGTCCTCTGCATTTGACCCATCCCCATGGGGAACGGTGACCTGCAGACAGGAACTATTTGGTGGTTTAACCCCCAATCCAACCCCTTAAAGCTGACTGTCAAGCAAGGAGGCATTGGGTCCCATTTTTAAAAAGTCTTTGGAATCACCCAACCCAGTCCCAGGGCGGACACTCTACCACCAGGCCACTGAGCTGGTTGCATTCACATGGGCAGCAGTAGCTGTGGGCAGCAGTAGCTCAACAGGTTGAGCGGGTTGTCCAGTAATCGGAAGGTTGCAGGTTTGATCCCGGCTCCGGACAGAGAATTCTGCTGTTGTGTCCTTGGGCAAGACACTTAACCCACCTTGTCTGCTGGTGGTGGTCGGAGGGACCGGTGGCGCCTGTGCTCGGCAGCCTCGCCTCTGTCAGTGTGCCCCAGGGCAGCTGTGGCTACATCGTAGCTCATCACCATCAGTGTGTGAATGTGTGTGTGACTGGATGAATGATACACTGTAGTGTAAAGCGCTTTGGAGTCCTAACTCTGAGAGGCGCTATACAAGTTCGGGTCATTTATCATATAGGATGGCTTGCCATTCTACTACAGTCACTAATTTCTGTAGCAAATAACCAAAATGTTTTATGTAAATGAGCATTTCATGTGAAATCTGTGACGTTAGAAAGGTTTATGCAAACTCCTTAGCATGAATTGGCATGCAATGTATATGATTGGAGTAATTTTAAGAAAAAAAGAGAAATTAGCCAATAGCTGATCAGAATTAATCTCTGTTTATCAAAACCGAAGTTGCTCAAAGATCTATCTGTGACAGGTAAGGCGATTTCCGCGTACTTACTTCAAAATTGCTGAAATGTAAATTTTTTTACATTAGACATAAATTAAAAACAAGGCCGAGCACTGACGTTGAAAAATGTTTTTCTTCATACACATGAAGTGGAACACCCTCAACTACACTACAGTTAATTTGTCCTTTTTTCTGTCTTTAGTATAAGCGACACAAGAACAAACAGCACACTAGAAATTTTGCCAAGTCGGTTGTGAATCTTGTGGATAGTGTGAGTATCCTTTTATCATTGAACAGCATTTTCCCTCAGTTTTAGAATTTCGTTGATTAATGATTCATCTTTTGGTTGCATCCCAAGCAGAATAAAATTCACCTTCCTCAAATTTCCTTCATGTCTCTCTCGTTCTCTGCCTCTCGCTCTTTGCCGTCCCTATTCACCGCACACTTCAATGGCAGATCTTCAAAGACCAGCTGCATACGCGCGTGGTTCTTGTTGCTTTGGAGATCTGGACGGATAAAGATCAGATCCCCATCAGCGTGAAGCCTCTGGAAATGCTACGGGATTTCTCCAAGTACCGACAGCAGAGCATCAAGCTGCACGCCGACTCGGTGCAGCTCCTCTCGTAGGTTCTTTGCTTTGATGCGGTGTTTACATTTTTTTGTCAGTAGTAGAGTTGATTGAATCAAAAACATGAATAATACATGGTGTGATTAGCATATAAACTTTATTCTCCTAAATTAATTTAATTGGGTTGATTTAAATAAGAGAAGTCCTGAAGAGTGATTTCCCCTCTCGCTTCAGATTCTTCTTTCTAGTTCTTCTTCTGGAGTTTTGACCTCTTTCTCCTCATTTGCTGTTCTAGAAACGAGGCCTTCCACTACCGCAGAAGCAGCACTGCATACTTTGGAGGCCTGTGCTCTGTGAGCCGAGGGGTTGGGGTCAACGAGGTAAGATTTGCTGTCCAATATCCAGTATCTCAGCGCATAGTCATGCAGAAGAATAATCTGTTTTGTTTCTGCAGTATGGCTCCACCCCGTCCATGGTAGTGTTCTTATCCCAGAGCCTGGCGCAGAACATGGGCATCCAGTGGGACCCTGAATCCAAGCGCAGTACGTGGGAAAAGTGTTTTGCTGTAATCAGAATCAGAATCTTACTTGTTATTTAACATATAAGAAACAGGGTTTTTCTGGAATGTTTAGAAATCTGCAGGAGTTCTACAGTGAGCCTCAAAACTTTGCTGTCGCCTTGCTTGAGTTTTGGACTCATTCAAAATCAGCAAAGTTTACATAAGTTGCAATACTCACCTTTTGTGCTGCCATGTGCGTCACTATGGCCTCCATAACCACTCTAAATGTGAAAAATCCATTCCAATCATTTTCAGTCAGTTCTAGGGATTACAAGCCTGAAACAAACAATTTCAGAAAGTCCCCATTTGTGATGTCACAAATGAGGAAATTATAAAAGAACCATCTCTCATGTGCAAGGGTGGTCAGCTGCTGAAGGAGCGGCGACTCTAATCTGAGTCCCTCCCATATATCTGATTTTCTCAGCTTATAGCAATCTGAGCGAGGGATGGATGAGCGTGGCCAGCTCCAGCTTGTTTTCTTAAAATGATAGAGCCCTGAAACGGCTCATTCTGGAAGGTACTGAAAACGTCAAGAATAAAACTGCTGAAATTTCTTTTATGTGAGAGGGATTTAGTGCAAATAACTCCCAACATGTTATGTAATCAATAACATGTTTAGTGTCAAACATAGAACTATTATAACTTAAGAAAAGCAGTCACAATACGTCTCCTTTAAAGCAACTGGTTTCAAACTCGTGTTAAATTTGTTTCACAAGTTAAAAAAGGACAAGAAATGTGGGAAGGTTTTTGGGAATAAAGAGAGGGGGGGCCCTGGCTCAGCAGGTTGTCAGCAATCAGAGGCTTGCCAGTTCAATCCCAGCTCATCCCTTGTCTATTTGTTGTTGTGTCCTTGGACAAGACACCTTACCGCCTTGCCGCATCGCCTCTGTGTAGCTCGCCTTGAAGAGAAGTTTCTCAAATGCATCAATATAATACAATATAAATTGCTAACAGATTGAGAAACCTTGAGACTAAATTGTGACATGACAATTTGCAAACTTTTGCAAGTGGTTTGTATTCACCTCATAACCTGTCACATATAAAACACGTAATTTTGATTCTGACTGTAAATCTGCATGTTTTCATGGACTCGTTCAGAACCCAGCTGGTTGTAATCTGCAAAAGGTGTCAGTGGCTAAATCCTTCACATCCTTTTTGATAAGATGTTGGAGTCCAAAAATGTGATTCAAGTTCAGGTTTAGGATGTGTGTCCTTAATGATGCTGGCTCTTGAATCACCTAACAGGTCAGAAACATGCAAACTGTCAGCAGATCGGGTCCCAAAGCTGCTTTAGGAAGAGTGTGTCTGTGTGGAAACAGGCTGGAAGATTTCTAAGTCCCATAGCACAACATTTTACATAAAAACGCTAACATCCACTGATGGTCGCTGCTTCTTTTTCCTAATAAATGTTTGTCCTGCTTTTCTCCTGCAGAAGAATGTGGCTGTGCTAACTTGTTGACCGGGTGCATCATGGAGGACACCGGGTAAATTCCAACACACACTAACACAAAAGAGATAACAGAAGCTTGTTCCTGTCCACTCAGTGATGTAATAATCAGCATTTTGGCTGCATAAGGACGGTGATCAGTTTGTCAGTCGCCTGTTTTGCATTCTACAGTACTATTTATTTAATTATTTTTTACCACAAATAGAGTCAGTGAGGACTAAATACACACATTGTGCATGCACAATTCTCACTTATTACATGATTTCCTTTAATCATCTTCCTGTTTCTTTTGAATCTGAGACTTGAAACAGGAGACAAAAGATTTGGTGCTGGAAATTATTCAGTCACTTATTTATTTATTTTATTTTATTGCCCAGAGACACAAACGTGGATGTCTTTAACTGAATATAAAAGGGTCCATACGATGCCCGTGTGTTCTTTTAGAGATAAAGATTAAAACCAGATTTATGAAAGTGGGGAAATTAGCATGCAGCTGTAAATCATACAAAAATACAACCAAGAGCATCCAGTTCTGTCCTAGAGGTTTTAAAACCATCCATGCAAATAAACAAATGAAAAATGTTATGAGTTTGTGTGACTGTAAACTATGAAGAAACAGATGGAGGAACTGAATACAGATAACTTCTTTTAAATGATCTCCTGATGTACTTTCCGACTGCAGAGTCCAGCACCCACAGAAATTCTCCAAATGCAGCATCACAGACTTCAAGGAGTTCCTTTTAAAAGGAGGAGGCTCGTGTCTGTTCAACAGGCCGACTAAGGTCAGGTGATCGCATGTCTGCCGCTCCTCTAACTCGCCACAGCTGCCATGAACCACTTGTGCTGAAATCACACTGTTTCATCTCCTCTTGGCAGCTGTTTGAGGTTGCACATTGTGGGAATGGGTTTGTGGAAGCTGGGGAAGAGTGCGACTGCGGGCTGAGAGCAGTAAGTTTCAGATTTTTTCCTCACTGTCTGTTGTTGTCTTGTTTTGTTTGAAGTTAGATTTATTTTACTAAAAATTTTCTTAGGACTGCTACAAGGAATGCTGCAAGAAGTGCTCCCTCGCCAACGGGGCGCACTGCAGCGACGGGCCTTGCTGCAATCACACGTGTCTGGTACAAGCTTAGCATCACGGTACAGAACACTTGCTTTTCTCTGTAAATGTGACTCATGTTCTCATCTTCTCATCAGTTCTACCCGCGAGGCTACAGCTGTCGCTTTGCTGTGAATGACTGTGACATCTCAGAGACCTGCTCTGGAGACTCTGGACAGGTGCTCCTGTGTTCTTATTTCTGCATTTTAGTAGTTTTGAAGATGACTATTATAAGAGGATGTTTGTGACTTTGCAGTGTCCTCCCAACCTGCATAAGCAGGACGGTTACGTCTGCCAGGTAAACCAGGTAAAAAAAAAAGGTTTTAGTTTTATCATGCAACAATTGGTTTAAGAACAACAAACTGAGGAGGTGAATTCACTCCTATTTTTTATTTTTATTTGATTGTTTTAAGGGTCGCTGTTACAGCGGAGAGTGCAAGACCAGAGACAACCAGTGTAAATACATCTGGGGATCAAGTAAGAATAATTCACCTTGGTTTTACGTTGGCTGAAGGCTCTTTAAGTGGGGCAAAACTAGCTGTTTTGGTTGGTTTTCATGCACATTAGGTGAAGTTAATAATTCAACACTATATTTATTAAACTGCTGCTGTGAGAGATGACGCCTGCTATCTTGGCCCTGGATATCTTGACAAAAACTACAGTCTGTTTGGATATTTGATACAAAAGAAACTTTAAATTATTAGAATATGGTACTAAAGTCCATTTATTTCAGTTTTTCAACTTAAACTGTGAGACCAGCTAAAGCAGGGGTGTCAAACATGCGGCCCGTGGGCCGGATCAGGCCCGCACACAGTTTAAATCCAGCCTGCGAGATGACTGTGTAAACCTCATTTTCAGACTTTACAATGTAAAGTCTGAAAATGAGCTTTCATTTTTTCAATTAAACTACTGGTGAAAGCTAAAAGATGTCAGGTATCAGGAGTCAAAGACATGCATGAAACTGATGCAGACATGTGATCTGTGAATCAGTTATTTGAACTACTGAGGAATAGTCTAGGTTTTTTGTTTTGTATTTCACATTTTCAAATACACTTCAGGCGTTTTATTATTAATGGTGATGTTGTGCTTAAACTATTTTGGATACACTGTCCTCAGGCTCCAGCTTTGTTTTATGTTGATCGTATTAAAACAAAGAAAAAAATCTGAAGCAGTTTTTAATTTATACATACTTTAATTTTACTGGTCTGGCCCACTTGGGACTAGATTTTCCTCAATGTGGCCCTTGAGCTTGACACCCCTGATCTAAAGGCTTAGGAACCCTTTGCAGGTGTTTTGGATTCATTAGCTGATTAAAGTGTGACACTTGGAGCCTAGCCTACAATATTCTAATTATCTAAGATTTTGAATTTGAGGTTTTTGTAAGCTGTAAACCATAAACATTACAATTGTTACAAATAAAGCCTTGAAATGTCTGGCTTTGCATTTAATGAGTCTATCTCATGTATTATTTCTCCTTTTCTCCTTTTAAAGAGCAAGTCACCCCCAAAAGAACTTCTTTTTACTGATAAACTATATAAATGAGTGTCTAATTGTGCTGCAGACATATGTAAGTAGTTAATAATTTGGCACTTTAGTGCCTCTTAGTTAAAATTTAAATATTCTATCTAAAACTGTCAGTGTTGCTCTGTCGTCAGGTAAAAACTCTGCACTACATTTGAACTTAAATCTGCCATCGCTATTGGCTGAGAGGTACACAATGATGTTAGCTAGTACATTATGATGTCGCAATGCTGTTGTGAGCCTGTTTGCATGTATTTGTGGCTCTGCCCTCTCGGTCTGCCAGGCAACAGCATTTGGAGTGGAGTTAGTTTCTTGTAGGGGGTGACTTGCTCTTTAAAGAACTTTCTGTGCTCAATCCCCGCGTGATGTTGTGACTATTGCACGACTTTCCAAGAAGCGCTCAGCGGTGCGGCTTCATCCGCGACCGCTTCTGCCTCCGCCTCTGGTGAGCCCCAGGCTTAAACTGTATCTGCCTAACACTGGTATCCCACAAGGAAGTGTCCTTGGTCCCATGCCATTCCAATCTTCTCACCCTATAGTTCTCTGCAAGATACCCAGAGTAAGATGTTTTTAGATGACACAGGGATGAGTCTTCATAGAGATGTTGAAGCAATCCTTTATGAGATGATTTGCTAAGGAGATGGCACCTACTTTTAAAAACGTAGGTCCTGGGGGTCAATCGCCAAAGCCACAAGGAAAGAGTACCTGGCAGCAGAAGAATTTGGGAAAGTTGACCAAAGCTAGGCTCAAAACCACAGTCCTGGTATCTTTTTACGAGTGTGTGGTCTTGATTTGAAAACAACTCTTCCAACTGGAAAAGCAGGTCCAAAGAGTGGTTAAATCTGGTCAGAGAACAACCCACACCTGCAAGAAGCTAAACTGTAGCTTTCCTCCAGTGACTGTGCTCCTTGCACTTTAATTTTACACAAAGATGTTTTGTTGTTCTTCATAATTATCATTCGTCACTGTTGAGTTTATTCCTCTCCCTTTTGCTTCAGAGGCTGGAGGTTCAGAGAAGTACTGCTATGAGAAGCTAAACACTGAAGGAACAGAAAAGGGGAACTGTGGAGGAGATGTAAACCAAAGGATCCCGTGTAGCAAACAGTGAGTTACAGATCAAAAATAGTGCTGGACATTATTGGAACTACATTACTTTGTATAAGGCAGAATTAAAATCTGTTTTCTTAAGTCTCAGGTTAAAGATTTATTTGCCTTGAACGTAGAGGATCACATTTTCTTGAGGAAAACCAGCTTTTCTATTTCAGATTAGTCAAAATTAATCAAACACCCTGGTTTCTTTCACATTCCTGGTTATATTACAACCACCCAAAAGAGGGCACCAGAGGACTTGTTTCTTTACAGAACTGGGCCTGAAGTAGCCAATTATCCAGCTTTAATTAGTCTATTCCTGTTTTACGGATGTGTTCACACCCAGGACTCTTTCTTTCTTTCTCATGTATTTTATAACCTGGAACTTGTGCAAAAAAAAGTGTTGGCCTTAATTTCAAAACAATGTAGAAAATATTTAAAACACATTTTTCTTCTGTTCACTTGATACTAGTTTAAATAGAAAGGTTTTAGCCTGAGGTGCCTTTGCAACACACTTTTGGTCCTTTTTTGCTGAAAAGTCAAAACTTTCATCTTATCAAAGAGTTAAAGAGCCTCTTTGTATTTCTGTCACAGTGATGTGTTCTGTGGGTATCTTCTGTGCGCCAATGTGGGACGAATGCCACGCATCGGAACAGTGAAAGGAGAAACTACCCCCGCCTCCTTTAATCACCAAGGCAAAGTGATACAGTGCACGTAAACACGCTCATTTTATTATAACACCTGCTTATAAAAGCTATTTTTTACCAGAATTCATTTTGGCTCCATATTTTCTTATGATATTTCAATTTTTTCCATCTCCCACGGTTCTATCAGTGGTGCCCACGTCCTTTTGGATGATGACACAGATTTAGGCTACGTGGAGGATGGGACTCCCTGTGGGCCGTCCATGATGTGCCTTGACCACAAGTGTCTGCCCATCCAGTCACTCAACATGAGCTCTTGCCCCATCGGACCTAACGGGCAGGTGTGCTCTGCCCATGGCGTGAGTCCTGATAAACATGATGGTTGTTGACAAATAAAAAAATGTGAATTGTTTATGCTTGTAATTTAGGTGGATTGAAAGCATTGAAGTTAGGATCAGAATAACCCGGCTTTCCACCAGATGCGTAAACATCACATAATGCCCGAGAAGTGTAAAACGCAATAGCTGTCATTAGAGTGAATGTGTGTGTTTCCACACCCTTAGGCACGTTCTAGAAGTGTAACTTCACATTGCTGCGCTCAGTGGCAGAGCTAGGATTTTTCTGAGCATGGGGCCATCAAGGAGCCATAGAGGGGCCAAGCATTAATCCAACATCCTTACCCAAGATTTCCTTTTAAAAAGTCCAATTTGGCTCATTAGCGCCACCAGTGTTTGGACTCGGAATTGCATCCACCTGTAAACTGATCATCGTGCAAAGAACAGATGATGAGTGACTGGAAAGGGGCACTTCAAGAGGGTAACAGATTCCAGCAGGGGCCAATGCCCCTGTGGCCCTGCTCCAGAACAAAGAATGACTCAGCTAAATATACGCTTTGGGTCTATTTTTTACTTTTCAAGAACCAATGACTGTAAATGTGTTGGACAACCACGTAGGTTTCCGAAGAGCTGAATTCAAGCCCAGTGGGGAGTTCCCACCACTGCCATCTTGGATGCATCATGTGACTAGGTGGGGGCAGATGATTGACATCCATCAAATTCTGAGCCAATGTAGCTACAAGCTAACTGTGCTAACCAAAGCTAACGGAAGTTAGTGGGCGGTTTTAGTCATAACTGGTTTCTGCCCTCTAGGCAGAACCTCTAACCTTTTTGACTTGAGGCGGAGGTTGAGGCCTTCCCTGGAGCAAGCAGGAGGCAAGTTGCTAGCGCTAGCTGATGGTTCATCTGCTTCCTGTCAATCAAATAGGCAAGTAGGCAAATATTCATAATTCAAGCTTTAATTACATTTAAACGGTTGAGTTACAGGAAAATTCAGCCCCTCAGACTTGTTATGACAGTTAACTTGAAATATTAGATTTATTAAGCTTTACTTGGCAGGTGGAGTTTGTCAAACTCGTTGGTTCAGACTGGGCCAGACAGGAGATCAAATATATGAGTAGTGTAAAACATCCGGTAACTTCCAAAATAAAAGTCTCATGAAAATTTCCTGTTGGTTAACTAGTAAATAAAATTATGTCATCACTGGTGAAACTTGCATTGGCCGAGGAAATAAATCGCAGACCTTTTTGATACATGCTGCCACCTTTCTCCTTGCTTGCTATCACGTGATTTCTCGATCTTGCAAATTTCCTTTGAGTGCATCATGTGGTGGGACCAGCTGTGTGGATAGCTTTCGCTTCCGATTTGCGTCTTAAACCCTCCTAGTAGAAAGCTTGTGGGGAAAACGTATCTATTACATTACTCATCCAATGGAAAGCCTGGGTTCATCAATCAGAAATCTGTCTAATGTGAAGGTGGAAATATTTCAGAAACACATTCTTTCAAAACAGTTTCTATATAAATATATAAAGTATGTTGCAAGAGCACGGCCTTAATATCTTGTGTGAAACGGCTGCTGCTAGGAACAGCATCTTTGGATGTAAAGCTTCGCAAAATAGACCTGACGTGTCAGCATGTTTATAAAAAAAACCCTTACGTTTCACCTATTGCCTCATCTTTATCTGTCTGATCCACACAGGTGTGCAACAATGAAGCCACATGCACCTGTGACACCACCTGGGCAGGGACCGACTGCAGCATGTCTGACCCACCCAAAAAGCCTGATGTCACTCCAGACGAAGAACCCAAGGGTCGGTTTCTGCCTCTGCCACTAAATAATGGGCAAAAAGTTAATGTGCATGGATTGAAATAGGAAACAACTGGTCAAACACATCAATTACATTGGCAGCGTTTTGATTTCCTGAGACCAGAGTTTCACAGCAGATTCAGTTGTTTGAGTTGATTCTGTCTGAACACAAAATGATCTCACAGGCGCTGTGAGAAGGGGGTGGGCCGTGCCTTGATCCATGACTCTGAGGCAGAAGCCTGCTGTTTGTTTTCTGACAGGGTGGTAATAATGCTCCTTTTCCCTCTGCACAGTGAGCGTGGCCACTAACAGGCTGATAGGGGCAGTAGCAGGGACCATTCTGGCCCTGGGGGTGATTTTTGGAGGCACAGGGTGGGGAATAGAGTAAGCATCTTTAACCCTTTCACAGCTCTTCCTCTCATAGTGGTGCCTCAGTGTGCGGGCGGTCTCGTGAGCCGGCCTGAGCCCGTGTGTGCGTCCCGGTGGCTTTGTGTTTTCTTGTGTGTTGGTGATGACCATATAACTGTCATGTGATTGAATGTTTTTGGTGTTGTGTGGTTGATTGACGGATCCCCTCCTCCTACCTTCTCCTTCCTCCTCTCCCTCTGCCACTTCCTGTTGTTCCTCATTAACTCTCTCTTCATTCTCCCTTTTCTCATCTCCTCTCCTCTCTCTTGAGCTCTTAGTTGTCATGTGGTTGCTCCTGTGATCCTCTCCCTTCTGGGGCATGTGGGGCGTTTAGATGAAAACAGTCCTGCAAAGAGTCCAGTTAGTTACCTGGCTTGTCCCATCAGTTGGAGGCTGTGTGGCAACTGGGACCCCTAAAAACATTTTGTACTGCAGCCAACAACCACATGTCAATTTCTGTTTAAATAAAACCCTTTCAGTGATGGATGCTCAGGATCAGATCTTCTGGATAACAGACTAATCACTAATAATAATCACCTAAACTGACACCAGGGAGGTGGATTGGTCAGATTCAAACCCACGTTACAAATAAAACGGGGATGAAACGCATGCAAAATAGCCTCTCAGATTAAATGTAAACTCTTACGGTATGTTTTCTGTTCCATGTGAAATCGTTCTTGTGTAGTTTCATGTTATTGATCCAGTAAGTGAGTCTAGAAACTCATGTGTTTTTCCCCATAACCCTTCACAGGTCCTAGTGCCACCAATCTAATAATAGGCTCCATCGCCGGAGCCATCCTTGTGGCTGCCATAGTGCTGGGGGGGACTGGATGGGGCTTTAAGTAAGCAACACGCTGCATGCCTCTCCTGCTGTACCTCTAGCATCCCTGCTGCTTCTAGACACCAGGGTTTGAGCTCCTGCTACAGAATACGGCTCTAAAACATGTTGAGACGCACTTGAGAAGAGCGAACGCTTTCCTGAAGTGCAGTCGTGGTTGATTTTTTTGTATTTTGTAAAGGCAGAAGTTCCAGATCAATATAAATGTGAGGAGTTTTGAAGCTGGTAGATGAGGTTTGTGCATTTGTAGCAGAACATCAAACTGATCGGCAGAGCTCAGTGCTTGATTTGCATGAGATTATTACAAAGCAAAAGAAGAAGATTGGACTTTTTGATGACTACATTAAAATAAAATAGTTTGCTTGAGTTATTAGAGTTTTTTTTCTCTGTAAAATCTTTAAGATGAGAGGAAATGCACTTTAAGTTTCAGACCTGCTGTCTTGAGCAGCGGGGGTGTTACAAACTTTAATCTAACCAGACCTGCAAACTAATTTAGACTTATAGTCCTACAGCCACCAAAGCATGCCAGATAGCAAAGCATCATGATTATCGCAAAAAGAGCAAAACGAAGGGAGATAATAATAATAATAATAATAATAATAATAATAATAATAATAAACAGGTTAAAAGCCAAAACATTTTTGCATGCTGACATGTAAATTTGGAGGAGGTCAGTTCATTGCACAAAGGCTGAGCCAAACGCACATCCATCTGGCCCGCAGTTGGCGTCCTCTCATCACTTCCATGATTTTTGTCTCAATGATGCTGAGCCTTTAAACGGAGTGGTGAGAGCGACAGCACACAGAGCGGCCGAGAGAAGCCAGGATCATTTTTGTTGCCTGCAGCCTTTGTGGCATGGCTGGCCACACCCACCTGGATGGCCAGACTCGGACCGCCCTCACCGGCTGCCATTGCTGCCTGCTTCACAGACCTGGTACAGACACGACGCACTGCACTGCACTGCATGAACCACTGCACAGCAATAGTGCCAACCTTCAACTGGCTTACTATTGGAACAGGTGCATGACAGAGTGATAGAAGCCCCACAACAAGCACCAGTACGGGGAGGTTATGCATCACTCCTGTTTGTTGTTGTCCCTCTGTTTTGGTAGTAGTGATTGCTGCTTCTGCTGCTGCTGTTGTTGTTCATGTGGTTGTCTCCTCTCCTCTGTAGAATTTATTTTATGTTAGCTCTTTCCTCCCAGATGGTTATGTTTTGAGTGAAATCATGTCTTTCTCATCAAAACTGGTAACGAGACTTGTCTCCTACACTTCACTGTGTAAACTGATGTGGCACGAACATGCTAATCTGTACTTATCTGCGAGAAGGCAACAGAGGATGTTTATATTGTTATTTCTCTAACTGACTTTGCAGAGCTGAGGTCAGGTGATGAGTTATCATTTGTATAACCAAGGGTAAAAAGTATTAAAATTACTCTTTCTGAGTGCTTCTATTGCAGAAATTTGTAATCCTTAGTCCAGATTAGTTGAAGCGGGGTTTAGTGGAAGTCTTCAGTAGCTTACTCCTGAACAGGCTCAGTTTGACGAGCTAACTGCTACTCTGAGTGAGACCAGGGCCATAGAGGAATGCTTCCATCCGATAACAGTAGCTTTATTGCAGTTTGTGCAAATTACACAAGCCTAAATGAGTTCTGCCTTGTGGTGGAGATGCTAAAGCTAACAGTTAGCTTCTACTTGTTGAGACGTTCACTGCTGTTTCTGCCTCTTCTGTCATGAGCCAAAATGGGTGAGTCCATGAGTGTTAAGTGACAGCATGACGTAGATCTGTCAAGCTTTTCAAATCCTAGCATTCCACCATCTATTTTCTATCAGAAGCTAATGCTGGAGATAGGTGTAGGAGACTATTTTCATGTTCATGAAATAATAAAAAGAAGAGTTTGTCAGTGAAGTTGACCTTTAAATGAATGTCGCAGTTTCACTGGGAAACATATAATACTTGTTGTTTTTGAAATACGATCTAAAGCTCCGAGTTTCACATGCAGGACAAACGTGAAAATGTTCTTCAACCTTCATTTTCCGCATTACCCGCCAAAAGAACATAAACTAGGAAATGCTCAAGTCAGAAAAAGCCACAGGGAAAATTTTCATTAATGGGCTTGCTTATTTTGGCTAGTGGCGGGGAAGGTTGTTTTGATTTAGTGGCCTGGAGAGAGCAGAGCGCATCCCTGCTAGTAGAAGCTAACCGTTAGCATTAGCAGTTTCACAACATGGTGGGACACATTCAGGCCTGTGTTATTTGTGGATTTAAACATAAACGGTGCAATGGTGAACAGAGCCATCACAACATTTGCGTTGCTGTTAGTCAATCAGAGGCAAGATGTCTGCATATCCTACTGTTTTCTGCCCCCGGCTCCTCCGACCAACTTCTACTCCCTGAAGCATAGCCGCTAGAGCTTTTTTCTTTTCTCTGAAATAGTCACAAGGCATTAATTCGTACTAGAGACCACAGCAGATCTATTGGAACAACTAGTGTGTGGGCATTTTAAACACCTGTAATTACAATGAAAGTTTATCGACTGGAGTTGTTTTAGCTCCACTCAGACTAGCTGGTAGCTCAACAATCCAGTCAGAGTTAACTTTATGGGTGTTTCTCAGTGCCAAGGAACCTTGCCTTGATGTCTTGATCCCGAACCGGTTGCCTAGGAGATACATCATCAGGAACTGCCGAGGCGTGTTCCAATGGTGTTCCAATTCATATTCTACCGAGGTGTGCGTTCTCCGTTTGTTAGTCGTATAGCTAGCTGAGCAAGGATATAGGGGAGGTGTCTTGTAGCCTAGCTTTCGTCAAACATTTCTGAGAATACACCGCGGTATTTTCGAAAGGATGATGGATCAGAAGCTAGCAGCTACTTCAGGGGCAAATTTTCAAGTTTAAATGAAAGTCAACTAATTAAAAATATTTTTATTTTAGATCCAAAGAAGTTAACGATGGTTGGTTAGTTGCTTAGTAGTTGCAGCTTCAGTGGCTAGCAGGTAGTAACTCGCTTACATATTTAATTTAACAAATATATACATAATTTAAAAAGTAAAAGGCTGATATTAGAACTTAAATGTATAAAATATAACATTATCTCCCGTGTCGTGACGTGGGGCTTCCGCAGCAGTCACGGGATGCAAGTCTGTTCCATTTAACCGTTTTCTTTGACCAAGGAAGAACAGTGTCCTCGTAAGCAAGGCGATGTCTTGCAAGGCCAGGCGCCTTGACATTGAGAAACACACTATGTTTCCAACTTGGGTCATTTAAAAATCTATCTAGAACAGATAAGATATTCATGAGTCTACAGAACCCCTCTTTGACACATCTTAAAGGTGTGACCATAAACACCTCTGAGTGTCTCTCTGCAGTCAAGGCTGAACTCGCCAACGTGGACCAAACAAACCTCGCTTTTGGTGTTTTTAAAAAAGTACATTTTGGGGTTAGCTTCATTTGGCACCCTTGAAAAAAACATTATCAATGCATTACTTTGATTTTGCATTGCTTAAATGTCTAACGATGAGTGTGGTTGCTTGTCCAGGTTGGACTGTCTATCTAAGGGAAATGTTCATGACGGATACTAACTTCTGTTTTCTTTTGTCCATATAAGAAATGTGAAGAAACGACGTTACGACCCCAACGCCCAGGCCATTTAACCCGCGGAGAGATGACAGCCTCCGAGGCTTCCTCAGTTGGCTACCTGACAGCTGGACTGCACTTACTGCTGCTGATTTTTGGCATTAGTTCTACTTGAAAAAGACATAGTGGACATCGTAACAGATTCCATTGTAGTGACATTATAAATGCAGCCTTTTGAACTCCACGTGTAACCTTTCCCCCCAACTCCTCCACCCTAACCTCTATAGAGCAACGGAGCTCCTCTACCCTCCCCTAGTGCCAGTGCACAGGCGTTCAGGCGGAATCCACACCATCCTCTCACCTGGCATGACTATCCACACAAAGTGTGCTGCTTGCAGGACCATTAGCATGAAGAGCCCTCCCTGCAGGACTCGGCATGGCTACCAAAGCTATAATTTTACTGCAAGAAAATATAAAAAAAAACAACTAAAAAGACATAAAAAGAAGAAATTATTCATTGCAGGAGAAAGCCTCGTTAAAAACCAAACCCACTGGAAAGCCAGTTAAAACTACAGTTCACATTCAGGTGCTGCATGCAAGGACAGTGCAGACCATGTGGTGCAGGCGGGCACAAAACTGTACATAAATAGGGAGTTTAGGGGTCAGCTGCTTTTGTTTTTTATTCCAGCATGTTTTACAGCAGGCGTTTCTGAAAAAACAAAGCTACTGCTTTTACAATTTGGGTCAAAATTATTCGATTTTATGATAGAGCAGCTGTGGTGAGGATGAACCAGGTCTGGATGGATCCAGACCCTGACAAGATCTCCCCTTGAAATATCTCCAGCGGTGACTCCAAAGCCAAAGAACCAATCACCTGAACGTATGGATGTTGTTGCACACAGAGCACTTTCCTCTCCCTCTGTCTGCAGCCAGTGGTGCCTCTCCTTCTGCTGAGGGCATGAAGTCTGTCCACACGGGCGCTCACCTGTCCAGTCAGGTCTCCAAACAGTCCTCATCTATTACTGGCTTAGCCTTTTTGCTCTCACCAACTCTTAATAGGAAACAGTTTCAGCTTTTTTGGTAACACTGCATGAAGTCACTTATAGTGGGGCTTGTAATTCTATATGGGAGGCCCCTAAACCTGCAAGAAAAATATGCTACAAAAGATAGGTGCATGTAAAAAAAAAAACCAGGACGTTTAACTTTTATTTACTATGCAAAAAGAGATATTGCACAAAAGAGTGGGTAATAGCGACAACAATGTAGACATGAAACCACAAACTCATCCGCTGATCAGCTGATCTTTTCTATTTCGCCACTTCTTTCATTTCTCTCCAAACTATAAACGAACACAATTCATACGTTTAATAATAACGATAATAAACTGAATCGATATTTCCAGTTTAAAGCGAGAGAGCACCCTTTCACATTTGTGGAACTGAAAGTGATATTTGTGTGTTTTTCATCCAGTTTGATATTTTTAACCACACACACACACAATCTCAGACTGTATGGCGCCCGTTCTTCGTGCTGGCCCATCGTTTCCTGTCCAGCTGATAGTTGGTGTGTTCCAGGTGCTGCCGAAGCACTGGCATCGTTGTAATCCTCCGTGTTAATCAACGTCTGGTGTCCCTCTCTCACTGCATCATGTACAGTTGGACTCATTAATAAACTTCTGATGAATTTTACCTGAGCCTTTGCCTCTTTTTGTTGGATCAACTTAATTTTCATCGATTAAAAACAAAAATTCAATAAGTTTTATGTGTTAAGTTTTCTTCTTTATTTTGTTATGATGTTAAACTTTTCATTTTTATCTGTAAGATGCAGATACACTTAAACTGAGCAAGTTTAAAGCTGAAAGTTTTTTATGTATTTTGATCCATGTTGAAGGATTTAGTGGTGTATTTCTCTGTAAAAACTCAATTTCTGAAATTTTTATATTATATAAAAATTTTCATTTTAATTTCATTTTAAAAATAAAATATTTGTATTTTATTTATATAATAATCTTACTTTTTAGTTGTTTTTTTTTCCTGCGTTCTAATCGTTTTAAGGGTGAAACCTCAGCACAGACCGGGGTTTTAGATTTCACTACACTGTATGACATGAAATGATGAATTTACTTAGAGGCAAATTAAGCGACTTTTTCATATTTTAAAATCTTTCTCGACGCAGTATGTGCTAAAATGACCCTTAACAGGATGAATGAGAAGTCTCTCGGCCCCCTTGTGAGCAGTACCCATCTGTAACTTCAGCCTCTCCGGACTGCTGCCCTGAAGTGTCAAAAAGTCTTGCTTTATGGTAAAATCTGGTTAGCATTTTCTTGTAATGTGTTTATCAGCGTGGAGCATCAGAAGAAACGAAGAAAACATTTAAAAAGAACACCTGCCCACAATAGGAGTCAACATTGGACGTTTTCTGAATCGCGAGAGCTCCGAGACATGATTCCTGCGTCATTTAAATCGTGAACAGCTGATTTGCTTGATTGAGTAATGAACCATTCCTGTTGAAACTGTGGCTGAGGAGACATTTTGGCAGTTAGATTAAGGTGTTAAAAATGAGCGCACAAGAAAGAATTTCACTTTTGTTTTTTTATGTCAGTGAATTAAAACAAGCACTAGGGGGTGCCAAAAGCAAGCCTAAACTGCAACCAAGTTATGCCAAGTTGTTCCACTTAACCTAATTCAATTCAAATCCAATTCAATTCAAAAATACTTTCTTAATCCCAGAGGGAAATTGATTGCCTAAATGCAAAGAGTGATATACATTGTTACATTGTTATGTTAAAAGTAATATTTAAATGTACATTTAAGAACATAAGTTTAGTAGAAACCAGTTGACAGAACTTGGTTAAGTAAACTCAACATTTTATTTCTTACAGTGTACATCTACACTGGCTCAGATTTAAGATCTTAATCATGTTTTATTTTTTGATTCAATGTAATGATTCAGGAGTTTTTTATTCTGTTTTTCAAATGTGAGATTAAACCTAAATCAGTGAATAAATGACTCCTGAAATCAAAGATGTGCGATGGCTCAGTCTAAGAATTACTGATGACTCCAGTCAGGACGAGCAGTTTCTCCTCATTCAGCTTTGACATTTATTGTCAGTGATTCATGTAATGACAAGAATAAAAAAAATGGGTCAAGACGCTCACAAATTTGTAGTTCTGCTTGCAACAATCTTTTTTATTGTTTCTCCACCACAATCGCTCTGATTTTACAGGCAGACCTAATGCAAAACCAATATGATAATGAAGGTTCAAATTAGTCATTTAGAAGCTGGATCGTTGATGTGAGAGATTACTTTGGCATTTTTATCCGATAAAATATCAAAATAAATCATTTATTAGAAAAAAAACTGAATTTGTATTTTCATCAAAAACTTGCTGTGTCCAGTCTTGTACATCTTTTCTGCCCTCTGGTGGTGGATCTGAAAATGGAAAGAAACAAGTTTATTATTTCTGTTATGTAACAATAAAATGAAACAGGTTAACATGCAGTTTTTATATTGGGAATTATACGGTTAATATTTCAGTTTTTAAATATTTATTCCAAACCAGGAATATCCCAATGTCAAGACTTGCATGTAGCAAAACCTGGAAATGTGTACATGGCATAACACACACCCGTAAAGCTACACAGGGCAGACACTCTGAGGCAGGTGTATTTAGTTACTCACGGGTAATTGAAGCCACAAAGAAAAATCAACAATAAAACAAGTTAAATTTACTTATATTTACATATGGGATGTGAACAGATCTTTTAAAGTAATGCTTTGCAACTTTTTCATATTTTTAACCCTCCCACTGTGCTAATGGGTGTGAGCCCGCGAGGAAAGTTGACCATTGAGCAGGGTTGATGGTTTATCCCTTGGGCCCGTGTGTCCGGAGTGAGGAGTGAGCACCACCTTACCCCTGCCACGCGGACCTCTGCCATGGCGCAGGAGGAGGAGTAAGACCTCTAGAACTAACTCATGTGCAGTAACTGTCTGTGTTTTCTCTCCTTGTCATCCAGGTCACTTCTCCACTTCACAATTGGTCCTCTAACTTTGACGCACTCCGTGTACATCTGTGAGTGCAGTGCCATGCCTTTGATCCTCAGCGTTGTCCTTTTGAAGCGCTTTGAAGCTTTCATCAATCTGGAAAAGGGGGAACTTTGGGCGGGTGTGGAAGAACCCCTGCCGTTTGTTTTACCTCCTGACCTTGACCTCCACTGTCTTGCGGTTGGTGACCCTGAGCATGGGGAAATCGCATGGTAAATGGTAAATGGCCTGTATTTGATATAGCGCCTTCTAGAGTTCTTGAAACCCCCCAAGGCACTTTACAACACAATCAGTCATTCACCCATTCACACACACATTCACACACTGGTGGGGATGAGCTACAATGTAGCCACAGCTGCCCTGGGGCGCACTGACAGAGGCGAGGCTGCCGAGCACTGGCGCCACCGGTCCCTCCGACCACCACCAGCAGGCAACGTGGGTTAAGTGTCTTGCCCAAGGACACAACGACAGTGACAGACTGAGCGGGGCTCAAACCAGCAACCTTCAGATTACGGGGCGAGCACTTAACTCCTGTGCCACCGTCGCCCCCATGTTCCCTGCCGAGCTCAGGGCCTCCACCACCACAAACTCAGCTCCCATCAGAGCCGCCCTCTGATGTTTTCTCTCATGTTGAACAGGTCGTGGACCAAGCTGATGCTCTTACCAATGAAGCTGAACGAAACAAGCTACGTCAACTTGTGTTAAAATACAAATACTCTCTTTCAGCCGACTCCTTGTACTCCAATTCACCATCTGAGTTGAACATCTTCTTGGACAAAGCCTGCCCTGATGCTCGAGAGCGAGGTACCCTCATCTATGTCAACGACATTCTTGTTCGTGAGCGTACTTTGGATGACCACCTGTCCGAGCTGGACCACGTCATGGGTCAGCTCACAGCTGCTGGTGCAAAGATTTCTCTCGCGAAAGGTCAGTGGTGCAGGTCAAAGGTTCTGTTCGTTGGCCTCCTTGTGGGACCACAGGGAGTGCAGCTTCAACTGAGCAGCAGCAACAGGCCATGGATGACCTGCAGGCTGTACTATGCTCAGCTCCGTGCCTGGCGCTTCCTGATTGTGACAAAGGGTTCCACCTTGAGGTCGGGTTCTCATCTAACTGCTTGAGTGCCAGTCTCTATCAGGTATATATGACTGCGACAGGCGTGTCGTAGCCTATGCTAGTAAGCTCTTGTCCGGTCCTGAGTTAAAATACTCTGACTGTGAAAAAGTTTTGCTTTCCACCATGTGGGCGGTTAAACACTTTTCCAGCTACATTGGTGGACAGAAAATCATCATTGAAACTCTACAGTGACCAACCTTAACAGTCAACACATCAGAGATGGTGCAGTGACAAATGCACGCATTGCGTCATGGCTGCTTGCTCTTCAGAGCTTCGGCATTGAAATACGCTGCATGCGTCTCAGTTTCACTTGTCATCTACCTTCTTTGAAAAGTAATGGGTTCTTAACCTCTAACCGGAATCCCGTTCAACATCAAGACCTTTTCATGGCTTGTGATGCCCTAGCGACATCACATGACATGCAGATCTATTGGCGTAAGTCAAATGATAAGGATCTGAACGATCTTGCAGACTCTCTTGGTGTTTCTGAGGTTGTCTTGGTAACCATTCCTCAACTTGTCAACCTTTGGTTGGCTACGCAAATCATAACATGAGATCCTTAAAACTGGATCACTCTGGGTGATTCAGCAGTTCTAGGGAAAGCTTCGGACTGGCCACCTGAAGCAAAACCCTCTTAAACCATCAAAGCTTTTGACACGTCATCAAAACCTTTTTGCACCTGCAAAGCTGATACCGCAACAGTTCCTGCAGAACAAGCTGATATTGTTTAGACTCCTTCAGAGTGCCAGACGCGCGGTTCCAACTATCTGTCGTGACCCGAGACACCTCTGGACTGAAGCGTCGGTGCCACGGTATTCTACAGCCCTTTGGTGCCAGAGGTTAGCCGACCTCTCTGACCTTTGGATCCACCAAGAGGGTCTCCGAGAGTGGGTGAAGTAGACATGACAGATTGCGTCTGATGTGTTTTGATAACAACCACCTTCATAGCTTAACTCAAACCAAATTCTTTTACATCCAGAACTCAGCTCTACTATATAAGGAAGTTCTGACTAACACCGCATTCACACATAGGTTTCATACATCACATCTAGTTTCATACATCACAGTAAATGCTTAGTTAACTCATCATGCTATAATTGTTTCTAAAATAAATTCTGACTTTTATAAACCTGACTCTTTTCTGAATCAAAACGAAGTGTGTATAATCCCTTAATAAATAAAGAATTCTAGAATCTTCTGATAAACACAGTAAAGACCAAGCAGTTGAGATTCTATATTTAGATAGAGTATCACAGCTTATTGGTCGTCATCGTCGTCTTCCTCCACTTATCCGGGTCCGGGTCGGGGGGCAGCATCCCAACTAGGGAGCTCCAGACCGTCCTCTCCCCGGCCTTCTCCACCAGCTCCTCCGGCAGGACCCCAAGGCGTTTCCGGACCAGACTGGAGATGTAACCTCTCCAACGTGTCCTGGGTCGACCCGGGGGCCTTCTGCCGGCAGGACATGCCCGAAACACCTCCCCAGGGAGGTGTCCAGGAGGCATCCTGACCAGATACCCAAATCACCTCAAC